CCGACTTGCTACATGCTCTTTCGCATAGAGTGCTTCGACTTTGCTGCTCCCATTCGATCTCTCTTGGTACTGTACTGCTTGTACCTTGCCATTTACACATATTCACTTGTAGCATCACACTTCTGATGACCACGCTTCATGTATACGCATGTATTACCTACCGTTCAAAACATCGTAAATGAGTATTCTCCGACCCATATTGTACCATGCCAAAGATTGTAAAGTACCAACAATGAATCAATAAATGACCAATTACCAATCTGGTAAAAATGGCTGTTTACCACAAAAAACATCGTACATCACCAGAAAAATCGATGTCATTCACCATGTCTGGTCTGGTATCCATTTCTGGTCCATTACTACTTACAAATTGATACATTACCACTGCTCCGGTGGTGTTTGAGCTCGTATTTTACCAGATGAAAAATGGTATATATTTTCCACTGTGTAGGACAACCAGCAATGGCACAGCACTCCGCCTGAGTCGCTGAGGCCGAGGTCCTTCCACGCTAAGTCTCCGATTCCACTCCGGAGTCGTCCGAGTCCGCCGGTTCTAACACAGACGAGCGGTTTGGAAAGTTGGATGAAGGCTCCCATTTTGCTTTGGTGCCAAATGGGTCAGGAAATGGTGGGTTGGGCCAGGACGAGCCACCCTCGCCACCATCCTCGTCATCACCATCCCCACTCGGATGGTGGGGCCTTCTTCCCGAGTTAGACCTAACTTGGTCTAAACGCCTCTTGCTCCCTTCTGGAGCTGCAGGCAGTTGTGAGAATCGGTGGTAGTTATCCAGCACCCATCTGAGTGCTGTGCCATGGGACAGTCTTTCAGGGTCTTCACCGTTTGCCCCATGACCCACATTGTATACGAATGCTGCGTCTGTATCCAGACAGGTGTTAAAGTCGAAAGTAGATTCACTGAGACTACGCTTAGCGAAGATAGGTCTGACCTTGGTGGGCTGTCCACCAATGTCATCTACACGATCCTGGACGTAGATCAGGCATTTTTTCCGTGTGTAATAATCGTACAGAACACTGGTGACTTCCGCATCACCGTCTTCCTCCTGTATCGTCTCCACAGTGGCCTTCATCGGCACTGCTTTCTTTCTCCCATGGTCGGGAGGGAAATTACGCGTTTGAGTAGCGTCAACGTGTGGTATTTTCACCCCACTGTTCGTGGGTTGGGACGACAGAATGAACAGCGTGGGCACGAAGCCTGGTCTGAAATGGAATGGAGAAGTTCCACTCTCCCCCACAGTCGACGATCCAGCCAGTTGTCCTGGGTCGATCTCCCTACCTTTTCCCTTGGCGTCAGTGGTTACTGGTGCCGTCGACGGGGTAGGTGGCTTAGTTCCACTAAAGATGGGAACAAAACGTCTGTCAGATTCTTGTGCCTCGACAGATGGGTGTGAACTTGTCACCTCTGTGACGATGGCAGAGACAGTGGGGATCCCTCCAGGTATGGGGACCCCACTGATTGGTTGACCCGTTGGATTAACGGGGACTACAGGGACCTCCTGGGGCGCTTGCGCCTCCACAGCAGGTTTAGTGATTGGTTGACCCGTTTGATTAACAGGGACTACAGGGACCTCTTGGGGCGCCTGTGCCTCAACAGCGGTTTTTTTCATCTGGTCCGAGACGACGATAGGGTCTCCACCCGTTGTTGGGTTCACTGGAGGGTTTGCAGGTGGGTTATCCACCGTTGCTGTGGGTGGCTTTGGCTCATCGCGTCAAGAGAGCTGTCAGAAACTGTGTTCGAGGGGATCGCGGGAAGCGGGGCGGAGTACGGCAGCGTAAGTGGACACTTAGCTAATGAGCTACTCCGTTGCAAGGCGTCGAGGGGGTTGGGACTTCGGCTTCAACGACTTTGCCAGAGCGTTGCGCCACGCGTTCTAGGCTGTCCCGTATTTCACGTTAGCGGGAAAGACCTTGCGGCGACGTTGACTTTAAGCGGGATGAAGTTGAGGGGCGAACTTAAGATGAAAGTACTTGGGGGAATTCTAGTCGATATTCGAACTGAGGTACATCGACAGTAAACTACAAGTATAAATAGGAAAGGAGAACAGAGAAGGGACCGGTCGGTCCGGCGCGGGACGGGAACGAGATGATAAGTACGACAGAACTAAAGAGCGATGAGGACCAGGGTAATGGAACAGAAGAGATGAATGGAACAGAGAACGGCGGAGTTGGGAGGCAGAAAGGATAAGCCGACAATCTAGGCGCGCGGGTCAGAATGTCAATATACGTATAAATCAAATATCAATAAAGGAATAATCAATTGTCAATAAGGAATGTCCATAAGGAGCGGATCAGCGGCGACCATAACAACCGCTAGTTAGTTAAGCGAGTGAATAGAATAAAACGATACCGGCCGAATGGTTGAGGAACCCAAGTGGTGGCGGGAAAACGAAGGAGGCGCTGCTATGGGGCCGTAGAACGGGAACCACTATCGGCGCCGCTAAGTGATGGGCAATGGCGAGATTAACGGGCGCGAGTAATGGCGTAAGAATGGGGGTGCAGAAAGTGGTAGAGGGGCGGGGACTTTGCGGGGCCGTGACAAGAGCGCAAGGAGAATTTCGTTTAGTTTCTCATTAAGTCTTTCCTCCACCTTAATGATGTTACGATCTAGACGAGCAATGTTATCGCTATTCCCAGAGATTTGGGTATTCATGTTATGGACATCGCCTCTCAAGTTGGCGGTGTCGTCGTCGACTTGGTCGATGCGATTTCTTAGTACTTGTGCCGTTTCAGATGCGAGGGAGTGGGTTGGGGATGGAGGACGCGACGCGACGCGCGCATTGGGACGAATGCTGCGAGAGTCTCCGCTGCGAGGGCTTCAGATGTTGTGACTGTCAGGGTTCAGCACCCTGCCTTAGGGTGCCCCGGACTCCCCACCTACTTTACCCCCTTTTATTCTTTGACTGTTGCCTTGTTGTTGCCTTTGTGCATTGTGTACACGCACGCACAGGATAGCGTGGGAACTTTCTGAGCGAACAGCTCACCCAGAATGTTCCCACGGGTCACAGCCACAGTTCTGGGCAAGCAACTCGCCCAGAACGTTCCCACGCTTACTGGGCACTGCCACCTGGATGTTCCCTCCGGGTCACACTACACAACTCTAGGAGCTGTATAGTTGTGGGCATGTGACCCATTCCTTTATATAGCAACCATGCGGGGAGATGAGACCTTTACCCTTCTTCTCATCTCATGCCCCGCATAGGCAAGTGTATATATTCCCTTTCTTTTACTATACATCTCATGCCCCGCATAGTGTGAGGACAGGTTAGATGGGGGTTGAGGTCAGGGAGCCTCCGAGTCCGAGGCCGGGCCCTGACAGTGACTTCGTCAACGTCTCTCATATAGGTGGGACACGTCTGAGACACGTCCCTGGGCCCTTGCAGGCCCAGATCACCACCATCACTTGAGGTGGTGTCGTCTTCCACCCTACAGCCAGTGGAGGGGCCGGCCGTGTTGGCGGAGCGTTGGACGTGCTCCTGGTGTTGTATCTCCACAACATCCAGAAGAGGTGTCGAGTCATTCAACAAGTTCGCGTGAGAACTTGATCGAAGTCGTGCGTTGTCAGGGGCCGACGACACGTGTGTTGCCAAATGGGGTTTCGGCACCGGTAATGCGGTGCCGAGAATGGAAAGAGAATAATAGCGTAAAAAAGTGAAAGGTATCTTACTAGTTTGGGGACAGTAACATTCCGTTCCCCTGTTCGCCTCAGGCCTCAGAAGTCTGTCTAAGTATACGCTTGAGTTTGCTGTATATTAACGGGGTAGAAGTAAAGGCTCATCCACCTTTTACAGCCACCCCGAGGGTTTATATACAATCTTATACATTCTCGGCACAAATAAATAGAGAAGCTTCCGCGACGCTAAATTAGCGTCGCGACATAATTATTACACAACACAACATCAACTGATGTTGTGGGCGGAATATAGACATGGGCCGGGCCTCACAGTTTGAGGGGAACCCTCATAACAATTGTAGCCTGGTTATTGCCGCCCACGGTCTGTACAGGTAGAACAAAGGCTTTGAGCAACATGGTATGACTGATGACGAATCCAAAAACAGCAAACCTCGGAAAGTTGGAGCAATAAGAGAAGCATATCTGGAATCTGGCCAAGAAGTGGGACAGGGGAAAGCTTCAGAGTGAAGGCTGCTGTTTGGAGGAAGAGCCTCGTTGTGCCAATGAAGATCGCTTTCTTTTCACCAGTAGGTGCTGGATTCGGAGCGGCTGGCGAGGGCGACGGCGATAGCGAGTTTGGTAAAGATGGCACATCTGAGGGTGGATCGTCACTACTCTCGTCGGTGGAGGTTCCAGTCCGTTCGGGAAGATGAGTGGCCGAGTCGTTGCAACTGGAACCAGGGCTTAGCCTTCTCCGGAGCCAGCCAGACATTGCGCTGGGGATCGACCCACTCAGATCTCTAAACAATGCGCTGAACCCCGCGATGTGTTTCCTTCTTTGGGAATAGGAACCGCTTGGAAATTCATTTGATATCGCTAAGCGCCTTACGTAGTAGAGTGGAAACGATTAAGGCATGAAGCTTTGTTCCGATTAGGGGTCAGTCGTATCTTGTGCTCAACCACAGCATTCACACCAGCGGAGCCTGGATGCATAGCCTCAGTGCAGAATGAGGCGGAGGACAAGAATAAAGAAGCATAGGGGAGGGAGAACATGCATGGGAAGACCAAGCATTGATTCGTTCTCCTGCCGTTGACTTGGTAAGCTCCATCATACCAGAAGAGAGAACAAGCGCCCTTGCAGCTGCCCAGATTCGACTTTCTCTTCGGAGTCCTGGTTCGGTTCGGCTCCCGAACCGAATTGGTCAACCTGACCAAGAACTCGGTTTACTTAATACCGAGCCCGAATTCAACCCTTCAAACCGTACCAGAGTATGAGCGTTGTTTGAAGGCTGGAGTTCTGGAGTCAACCTGTACAGTTATCACGTTTGCGATTTTAGGACCTCCGGTTCGGAGAGCCGAACCGAACCACGGCATCCCTATTGACAGTGACCGGTCAAAATGACTTATTAATTGGGCGCCAGAGTATCAGTTTCCCGACAGATATATCAATGGTGGAACATTGCATGCAGGAGCGGTAGCCACCCCATCTGCTGAACGAGGCATAAAATTGGCCGTCTGCCTGCACTATATGAGGTCAACATGCATGACATTCTCGCACGGGTTTCAAACTGTCACCGGCTGAACTAGCGTCAAGCACCCAATCTCAAGCACTCTCTTTCTCAACAATCTCCACCTCCTTACTAACAGGCTGTCCAACATTCGGAACAACAACACCCGAAACACCCGAAATCCCGAAATCCCTCTTATCCACATCCACATGCTCCAAATCATGATGCAAAAACGTCTCTCCAGCTTCCAACATCCTCCTCCGATACGCATTCGAACGAATCACAGACGATTCACGATACAACAAGTCGATCTGTTCCAGCGAAAGCCCTTTCGTTTCCGGGATGAACAAGTAGGCGAAGAGGAAACATCCAGCGCACGTCGATCCCCAAATGAAGAAAACTTTGACGCCTAAGTTGGCTGCTTTGACGGCGTTCACGCCCGTCGTGGAAGGATCGACGAGGTAAGGCGTAGCGTAACCTATACCAAAGTTCCAGAGCCAATTGGAAGCGACGGCGAGTGACATGCCCTTTGCACGGATGGCGAGGGGGAATATCTCACCCGTCAATACCCACGCCACGGGTCCCCAAGATATAGCGTAGAATGAGATGTAAAAGCATACAAAAGCGATAAGGACTCGTTGAGCGGTGACGGATACGGCTTGAGATAGACCCGTGGAGACGTCGAAATGAGTCTTTCCAGCTGTGACGCCTACGATAGCGACGATATATTCGCAGACCATCATACCGATAGCACCGATGATCATCAACTTTCTACGACCCACACGATCGATCAGTTGAACACCGACGATCGTCATGCAGGTATTGACGACGTCGCAAATGATCGTGATGATGAAACTGTTTGAGATGCCGGCGCTCTTGAAGAAGGTGGTACCGTAGTAGAAGATGAAGTTGATCCCTGTAAGTTGTTGCCATGCTTGTAACCAAATACCCGTCATCGTGCGTAGGAAGTTCTTGTTTGCGGTAAACTATACACATACGCGCGAAAGTCTCTTTTAGTTAAATTCCACGAGACAGTGGGAAAACCAAGAGGGATTTCTACCTTGAAGCAATCCAGATATGTGTTACCCCCCAAAGCACGCTCAGCCTCAAGAGCGAGCGAAATCTCAGCAAGCTCCGTATCCACCTCTGGTGAATTCTCAGGCTTGAGAATCAAACGCGAAAGAGAATATCTCGCAGCTTCCCAATTATTCTTATAGAGCAAATACCGAGGGGATTCAGGAAGAGCCAGCATACCTCCACCGAGGATGGCAGCCCATACGAATTGGACGGCGATGGGTGTACGCCAAGATGAATGGGAGTTTTGGTTCTTGGTTGCGTTGAGAACGATAGCGGCAAGAAGAGCACCGATGGTGATGGCGAATTGGTAGAGACCGACGATGAGACCACGTAGTTTCTTGGGTGAGCATTCGGATTGGTACATGGGTACGAGGCAAGACACAGCGCCAACTGGAGGGCGGGGCGGGGGGAGGGAGAAATTTGAAATTTCGAATATCAGTGAATTTGATATTTGGTCGAGCTTAAAAACCTTATCCGAAAGGGTAAATTGGAACTCACCTCCAAGACCAGCAACGACACGACCAGCGATGAAGGTCGCCCAATTTGTCGAGAGCTGAAGGCCGACTCCAACAGAGAAGATAACGCAAGAACAGATCAAACCGTACTTGCGACCAATGAGATCGCCCAAGGGAAACGAGATGAGAGCGCCGAAGAAAGTGCCGGCAGACAGGATGGATACCTATATGTATATATACGGAGAGATCAAAAAAAAACGATTGTGGTGAAGATTCAATTATTATTTGTCCTTGGGCAGTTGATTATTCCAAAGGGAGGGCGGAAACAGAGATACAGGAGAAAAAACACTCACCACTAAGGACTTGTCATTGGTCTTGAGGTATTGACCGATGGAAGGATCATACGAGCCGAACACATTAAGCCAGTCCTTCATAGCAATGACGCCTCCAATCGTTCCAGTGTCATAGCTAAGGGGGGGAGACAAAAAAAAATCATGGGTGAGCATGTCATGTATATATGCAACGCGCAATGGGTACCGTATGCAGTTTGCACGGGCGTAAAATGGGTGCAATGGGGAAATGCAACGAGTGTTGAACCTTACCCAAAGAGAATACCACCAAACGCGGCGAAGGAGCCATGATAATGGTCCAAAGCAGCGAATCGTTGTCGAGGCCTCCAAGTCCCCCTACCGCACCACCGGGACCGCCAGCCATTGTCTAATGTTCATTGTGAGGGCAATGTGTTTCTTGTCAGCGAGAAAGGCTTGGTTGGGTTTGGACGAGAGACATTTACGCTTATTTTTTTAGAAAATTATTTGCTTGGAAAAGTAAACAAGAAAATTGAAGGAACGGTGTGAGGGCCTAGAATATTGAGAAATATGGTGGAGGGGGGAGGAGGGGGGGAAAGAGATCGATGAGGATGAAAAAGAAGGTTCTCTTGCCCTTAAGATTTTTATGCATGTATCGTGCTTCGATTCGGCGAACACGGCAATCCGAAGTTTGACACATGTGGTAAGCTGACAAATAGACTCGGCAAAAGCCGCATAGAGTTACTCCTCCTTGGGGGAAGCTATGTAATAGAGCTTGATGTGGCGAGGGAAAAAAAGCAGGAAAGACAGCATGCAGGAAGAAGCCACCCACAGATTTAGGAATCTAGTCCAACCAACGAAGCCGCTAGGGGTGAAGTGGAGGTACATAGATAGATGGCTTTTCTGAGCTGGGATCGACGGAGACCCAATATGCATGATGGCTTGACCGCGAAAACATAAATTATCTAACAGCTGGGCTTCAGTATCGAGCACCAGTCTTCTCTCTGCGGAGAAGAACAGAACCCTGATAAGAGAACGGACTTGGATCCCCAGGATTCCAATTCATTTGATGGCGGCGATCTCTCCGACCAAATGTCAGGGGATGCAACGGCACGTGCACACAAGCCTCCGGTGTGGCGAGTTCTCGCCGAATCCAACACGCGTGGATGAAGCAGGACTCCATAAGCCTCTATGACTTCGTACGCGTGGATACTTGCTCCTGTTTCCATTTCACTGTGCATAGCTGTGCCTTGTACCTAAAGGAAGAAGACGTAACGTAGTGCTCCCTTCCATCGAATCCGCTGATTGCTTTATTACGAAGTCATAGAGGCTGGAGTCTTGCCTATGATTGCTTAGGACATGAGTTGTAACTCTGCCCCCCCAGTATAGCCACTACTTTAGTAGAGGCTGAGATCCTGCCCAAGTCTGGCCGAGTTTCGTGCCAGTCCCTTTTTCCAGGAATTGCTCAAGTACGCACTCGGCGATGATAACATCTCCTGTTCCGAGGTTGGATTTCGTAGAGGACATTGGCTTTGCGTGTGCACGGAAGCTGCGTGTACAGTGTAGCCTCATGCCCACAGATGGTCACCAGTGCTTAAAACTACTGCGGAGTGCGTGGGTGAAGTGCGATGGACCAGTAAACGTCAAAAGAGCTCCCTCCTGTCTCCTATCTTGGGGTATCAGCATATTTCACTGCCGTTGAACTGTGGAACATCAATATGGCTGCAACTGTGTAATTCCTCTTTCATCATCCTTCTCCAGTTTTCTTGAGCCTTGACGGAACTTATCGGCATCATCAGCTTACTCACGCAATTCAACAAACAAACAAGTGCTCGCTACTCGACTCATCGATCTCCACTGAGGGAAAAACTTGGTGTTGTTGTTGCATGTGGCTGGCCCCGGTTCACATCATGTGATGCATAAGCAACACATGTCCATCCTCCTAAATGGTCATACAATTGTTTGTGCTCACTCGTATGCACATGGCCTTTCACCCAATATCTACTGAGACATCCCTATTCTCTCGATTCGCGACATGGCCGGGCCAACCAAACTAGCACCGCGCGCGTGACTCTCCCCCCCCCCCCCCCCACACACACGCACATCACAAAACTCTAGAATGTGTGCCATATGACGATCACACCATTCATTCGCCTAATCCTAATTGAATATTGTAATTGACTTCAAAAACAAGCCCCCCCAAAAAAATCGTCCCGAACCAATATATATCGGACTCAAGATATAAGCGTGACCTACGAAACGAAGACTCTCGATCTGGTCTGTGTAAATATATGAAGGGGTAATATCACGCACATGCTGCCGTGCCTCGGACCAGGTCCTTTCGCCGACATATCACCTATGTATTGCCGTTTATTGACCGTTGTGCATGGGGCCCCCCGGGGTGCTAGAGATTACCACTCATACCCCCCCTGGTGATTGTGCATATACAGCACTGCTACTCGCCCCTGTAATATTAGTTAGCAACAATATTATTTCCGCAAGCGAGCGCCGCCCCGCGTACTGTACTAGCCGGTCACCAGTTCGACTTCACGGAAATCTTATGAACAACGTTCCGGGCAGGATTCTGGAGGGGGGGGGGGGGTGCTATATACAGCTTACAATGAACACGTACGTCCCAATTGCACCAAGTACAATCAGAATTCTTGCTCCGATCAAATCACCTGTACATTCTCCCCCGTCGCTCGCGCTGCATGTCCCTCCTCCCACTGGATTTTTTCCCCCCTCCAATTTCATTGCCCGTAGGACACGTACAGATAGATACTATCACAAAAAAAAAAAAAGATTGATTTAAATATCCGGATTGACACATCTGTCACTGACAGGTGGAGCTTATACGCCGCGGCGATCCGCCTCCTGGTCACTCGGTCGCGCGCGCGCGTATCATGCACACACGTACAAGTCCTAATTCTATATATCAACTACATAACTACTATACTACTAGGCGTCCGCCAGCTCGACTCGACTAGCCCCACTTCAACTCCTTGTTCTTCGTCCCTTGATCTCAGGTGCATATATAGTATCTACTAGATAGATGCAAACAATTTTATAATTTAATTCAACCACCATAGACTAGCTCTAGTATAGACCATGCGCTTCATCTTCCTGGCATAACTGTCTCTCCGCATATATATATTGCATGCACCACTTCTCTTAAACTTATTAATTTCTGCCCAATTACGTGAGTTCTCCCCTCCCGCTCTCCTATAAGCCATGAGACAAAGGGACAACAGCGCTCAGTCTCAAGCAAATAACGTTACGTGAATATAGAGAGCAGGAGAAAGATGAACGACTACGTTATAGCGCACTCAAGCACTGAGCAAAGATGAACAAATCGGAGATGAAAAGAGTAAATCGCAAAAATAGATGACGCAGTGACATGTATGGTAAGGGCAGACTGGAAAAAATATAATATATCCTACATCGATTATCGAACATGTCTCACCAATCACGGGCACAAGATATCGGATATCATAGCACGGAAAGTCAACCATTAATTGCTTAACATCAATTCACTACGCGCCGCTCTCCAACCCTCCAGCACAGCAGCCGGGTGCATGTCGAGCCCTCCTTGTGTGTACAATTATGTAATTGGGGGGGGTAAGAAAACCCATGTGACGGTACGTGCATGCATGGGAGGACGAGCTAGGCGTTCGAATTAAAGTGGCGCGGCCATAAATTCAAGCCAGAAACCCCCCTTTACGCCCGTTACATGCACGGTCGTAAAGCGAACAGGGAGAGATTGAGACTGGCGTTTCGGACGAAAATCGGATACAAGACAAAAAACAAAAACAAAAACAAAACACGCCCTCTGATGAGAGGAGTTTTGGTAAAGCAACGGGCGGAGAACGAGGGAAATTACACCGAACGAAAAAATGAGACACAAAACCACTACGGTGATCACATTGGTCACTAGCATACAAGGAGGAGAGGGTGGGAGGAAGAAAGGGAAGACCAGAAATAAGTAGATCGTTTTATTTATTCCTTGTGCTCAGCGATGTTCTTTTCGTCCTGCTCGTGAAGATCCTGAATGTTGACCCTGCCACCCTCGACATCGACAGCATGAATGTCATGCTCCAGGAGGGTCTTCCGGTATGAAGCGCTGTTGATCGGCGTCGTATTGGCGTACATGATGTCGATCTGCTCGAGGGATAATCCTTTCGTTTCCGGAATGCAAAAGTAGGTGAAAACGAGGCATCCAACACAAGTGGTACCCCAAATGAAGAAAACTTTAACTCCAAGGTTTGCGTGACCTGCACCAGGGTTGACGAGGTAAGGAGTCGCGTAACCGATACCAAAGTTCCAAAGCCAGTTTGATGCTGTTGATATGGACATTGCTTTGGCGCGAATGTTCAGTGGGTAGATCTCTCCAGTGACGATCCAAGCGATAGGACCCCAGGTGGCGGCGAAAAAGGCAATGTAGATGCACACAAAGGCAATCAGGACCTTCTGACCAGCCAAGTTGGAGGTCGAGATCGTGACACCAACGATAGCGATGATATACTCGCAGAAAAGCATCCCAGCTGCACCGATGAGAAGCAGACTACGGCGGCCGACCTTATCGACGGCCCACATGCCAGGGACGGTCATACCGACATTGACAACATTGGTGGCAACGGAAATGAGGAAAGGATTTGAGATGCCAGAATTTTTGAAGAAAGTTGTACCATAATAAAAGATAAAGCTGGCGGAATAGATAGATGATTAGTCGCCCGGAAACCGAATATGTACAAAGAGATTACGTACTTGATACCAGTGAGCTGTTGCCAGGCTTGAAGGAACACCCCGCTAAGAACACGGAAAAGGATCTAGATAAGCCATTAATGAGCACCAAAAAAGGGCGAATTCTGAAACCATAAATCGGTTATCGCACCTGGTTCTCGCTGGAGAGGAGCTCTTTGTAACCACCAGATGATCGCTCCATCTCCTGGCGCAAGTTGGCACGGATATCGCTCAACTCAGCCGCAACAACAGGATCGCTGGTCTCGGTAGACATCAAACGAGCCAATGATCGTTCTGCCTCCATATCTCTTCCTTGACGGATCAAATAGCGAGGCGATTCGGGCATCAACCACATTCCACCAGCAAGGATGGCAGCCCAGATGAACTGCAAGCCAATTGCGATACGCCAACCGGAGTGGTTCGGACGATTCTGCTCCGAGTTGTTGACGATGGACGCGAGTAACAGACCAATAGTGATCGCCCATTGGTAGCAAGCGACAACGGCGCCACGGATCCATTTCGGCGAGCACTCCGACTAGAAGCCACACAAGTCCAAACTTGGTTAATGATTCAAACATAAAAAAAAAAATGATCAAGTGACGCACCTGGTACATTGGAGCTGTGCACGAGACCAAACCGACGCCGAGGCCTGCAACGACACGACCAACGACGAATAGAGGGATTCTGGTGGCAGCAACCTGCAAAGCTACGCCAACAGAGAATACGGCACATGAGGCCACCAACCAAGCCTTCGCCCAATACCATCAGCCAAAGGGGCAGCAAGCAGAGCACCGAAAAATGTCCCAAGGGAAAGAATGGAGCTATGATATCACAAATGAAAAAAAAAAAAACAATCAATAGAGTTTTTGAAAAAAAGCTAAAATACGAGTGGGACGCACACAATGAGCGACTCCTGAGATGTGGTAATGCTGCATTGACCAAAACCGGGACCGAAACGAGTCCCGAACGTGCAGAGCCAGTCAGGCATGACCTTAACACCCGATATAGTACCAGTGTCATATCTAAGTGTATGAATGAGAATTACATCATGAAATGGAAAGCACAACGGCAACGGTCAACGTACCCAAAGAGAATCCCACCGAAAGCAGCGAAGGTGGCCATCAAAATACCAGGCCATGGGTTTGAGGGGCGGACTAGTGAGAGTAGATAGATGGATGGATGAACAGTGAGGGTATTGTACGAATGACAGGGCGGCCATCATGCTCACCATCACCGCCGACGCCATTGCCAGTTGCGACTGCTCCACCGGGCATGCTAGAGAAATAGGCTGTCTAGTGGAGGAAGATGGAGAGATGGAGGTGGAGAGACGGGGTAAAGAAGCGGTCAAATGTCTGAAAGTCCCTCTTTATACGCCGAACGGTAGAGTGGAGCAGCCAGTTGTTATTGTCACCTCACGGGTCATCGTCTACCCCTGGGTCGTATGGAAACAATGTAGTATGTATGTAGCAAGACAATCACGAGGGGGGGGGGTACGGATGAATGTTGTGGGTTTGATCAGGAAGGGTGTGAAGCGAAACATGAGAGCTGCCAATAAACCCGATGATGTAGGACCCAAAAAAAAATTCGCAGCCTCGTATTACATATGAGGGAATTCGTTGGGACGACGTTGAACATTAATGGTACCTTTGAATAATCATTTTTCCTCCCCTCTGATGACCTTTGAAAGCTCTTTGCGCGAGAAGGTGAAGAACGTATGTTAACTTTTTAGAATTAATTGTCCGATCAATTTAAATCACATATGAGTTAATTGATAAATATGTCATGTGGCGATGGGACGACCAATTCATTCAATGCACTAAATATTGACCCGTTTGACCCCGAAAGCGGGCTCAACAACCGTGAACGTCGTTGTAGTGTACAATCGATGTCTTCAACACACCAACATTACACTACAGATGCGACCTATATTCCCTGGTTGCGACTTTATGTCCTACTTATTGCGCTGGCACTCGCGGTCATTTTTGGTTCGTCTGGGACAACCCCCCCCGCTCAGTCAAGAGCCGATCTCCCACTCCGATTCCGCGACACCCACCTTCCCAGGCGTCCATCAACCTTTTTTACCCGAACGGTGTATTACATTGCACACCGACTCCCAATTAATTCGCCTTCCTGCTTGCTCGCACACTGATCCTTAGATATTGCTGTCCGCACTCATGCATACATCCCTTAAACGGCCATAAAAGCTCTTTGTGCGTCATCTTTTACCACCGAATTGGCAGATCGAACGGGTGAGAGAGATTTGTATCTACACCATTTCACCAGCCCAGCCCCAGCCCCATTCCAATCTTGTACCATACACACAAACCAAATGAAAGAATCCATCATTCTGACCCTCTCCATGTTACGTGGCTACACCCATCTGGAACCAACCAGAGGCCGATTTCCACTTCAGCTCCCCCATTTGACTTGTTCACCATGTTCAACAAATTGTGCAAAAAGCTCCAAGTGGACATCGAACAAGCCAGAACCGAAGCCACCATTTGTATTGTGAGTACATCAGGGTTTCAATGTAAACGACCGGCGCACGTCCCTAGATCTGTATGTTGGCAAAGGTCATTGGGGCCTCAATAACCCAATATGCGCAAGGCCTACCGGACAGAGGTCAGGTGGAGGCAGTACCGTCCCCCATCCGAAAATGGGACCTAGCCACTCGATTCAAAGCGGGCTTCCTCCCAGAACGAGTCATCTTTGATAAAGTCAACATGCAGAACGAGGATCGAAGTTGTCGCAGATGAGTCTATCTCCTTTGCTATGTCACACGATGCTTTACCCCGCTTCTTCGTGTCACGCTTCGTGTCACTGTGGTGAGTCCGACGACCTATGTGCGTGTTGTGCAGCAATAAACCATAATTACCTAACCATCAAATTGCTGAAGGATGTATAACAAAGGGCTTACTCTGATCCGTCTCCGTTTTGAATATTGGAAGTTCCATGCTTTCCTGCATCTCCATCACAGACCTGTCTCGAATAGTATGAACGCTCCTCTCCGCATTCAGGCTTGTATTTTCTCCATTACTGAATGAAGCCGGAGCCCCGGAGTGCGGCCCAGGATGAGCTTGTATATCAGACAAGCCTGTAGGTAAAGTACTGGTTACGTTTACTTGGCTAATTCGGTAATCACCCCGAACTCACTCTCAGCGAGGGAGAATGGAGTCGGCATTGGGTTCAGAAATTCTCCAGTTTGATTGTCAGGAATGCGTTCTATCAATATTGAAAAAAATAAATTTGATCAATCTGACGTCCATTTCGCCACTTTTTGCGAGCATACCTGAATCCAAATCGGTCCGAGTTAACAAGTGATCCATAGCTTGCATCCCAGCCGGCTCGGTAAAGGTTTCATCAATCCGAACGGTTAGACCCCCTTCTGGCGTAGGCCTTCCTACGTGTGCGTCTCCGCCATCAGTTGAAGAGGCTTTACGTGTAAGGACACTTCCTTTTCGAAATATGCTAGGCAGATGGTTATAATTGATCTTGAACTGGCCAAACAAAATCTCGTGTTTGTCTTTGGAGAACGTTCCCTAGAAAATGCGGTGACCTGTTCAGTGATCTGCTATGCAAAAGGAGATAACTCGCCTCCAGAAAATGAAATCTCAAAACGAGAGAGATGAACGCACCCGTAATCTCGCATGTGCTTCGCTAGTGGAAAGACCCCCTTGCTGAATGAGGGCCCAGAATGCAGTATTGTACAGGTTATTAATATGCGCTTAGGATGAAACCGGAATATCAGTTACGCCACCAAGTTGGGAGGTTCACAAGATGGACCACCTACTATCTGCTTGCCTCCAGGAAAAATAATCACGTACTTCCTTAATGGTTGGGTATACGACTATGCGACCGTCAAACGTTGGAGGATACTGAAGTTGGGTGTCGGGGAAGTAATGTGGCCAGTTGAACACATAGGACGATGTGAACAATGAAACAACAGAAGTTAAAATCTTGCTTCGACAGCGTTATTACCATTTCCGACATCCTTCCAGTACTTCTTCGTCGGGCGTACCTGTGCCTTCGATTCCACAATTTACAGCTCTTCCGAAATAAGAAGCTTACGTGAAGTGTTATCGATGGATCGATGCAAGAATTCGTAGCTCTGCATGCCTTACCTAAACTCGTCGCTTTCTCCAAACGCAAGGACTGAGTCCGGGTATGCTTCCATCACGTCTCTAGCCGCTTTATTCATGAGATGAAGAGCACGTTCATCGTTTGGCTTCCGGAAGCCATGTAGCTCAGAGAATCTGCCACAGAATAGTATTAGACGATCATGAAAGGATTGCGGCATTTCCAAGCTATGAGAATTGGGCAATAAGTTTGCGACGAACCGGTGAAATCCATGTCCGTCGACGCGCAGAACGAGGTAGGTGTTGGGGAGCAGCGGATCGGGCAACTCGAACGATCGCACATATGCGAAACGCGTACCAGCCATCCTAATAGTGTCCTTAACGATGAGTCTGAGTGTGTGTAGATGTGTCCGGCGAGTTTTGTTCCCACGGTCTGCGATCGAAGTGCGTATCAATATTCAGACTGGCGGCCTAATAACATTAACTGCAGGATTCCTTCCCTCGCTGTTATCCATCAACTACAGCGTCTGGACGCATATATATCAGTTCCTGAGCTATCAATCCACCGTTTTCGAATGGAATTGCGAGTCTCTGGACAGCCAATACGTAAAATTCACTCTCCATACTTCAGCGCTACTTGGTTACAATAACAGTTTACCGACTAGTGTTCGGCAGAGATTAATTACGGCCTCTAAAATATATACGGAGGCAGCTTTTGAGTCGTAGCGAACCGCCCCCCCCCCAAGGAAAAAAAAAGAAGAGAAACCCGTTGATTTTTGAAGCCGGAATACTTTGGATTTCCGGGGACAGTTGTCCTGTTCGTTGGCGAAGATAGGACCCTGCTCGTGAACATGAGTCATTCCTCCCTTCGCCCGAGTCGCTCTCTGCTTCGACACATCGACCTTCTCTTCAGCTATCCTCATAGGGACGAATGAATAGTGCAAGTTTCAAATCCAACGCTGTGACAAAGGACCTTCCATATTTTACCCAAACTTATTGTTCTCACATGCAGAATATGTTATTCGGGCAGACTTCGGAACTGATAAGTAGTTGAGAAGGCGTGAGAATTGAGCTCGATCCAACCGCAATTAATCATCCTCCAGTCTAACACGTCACTCCCTGCGGCAAGCATGCATTTCACCATCGTTCAAATCGTGTGTGTCGTGTTCCATGTCCATCTCTCCGCAGCGAGCCCGAAAACGCGTCCATCCTGTACGCCATACCGTTCGGAGTTCCGGACCTCATCGAGCATATCCCAAGAATATTTTGTTCCAGTCGATACACCACCAAGGTCGTATGGTTTTCAGTCTCCCGGTATTTTAGCCTTACGTCTTGACCGGCCAAATGGAAGAATAAAGACTTCAAAAGGCATCAATGACAAAGTAGCTGACGGCGCCACTCTAAACTCGACAATGTTGAATTTGCACGTAACTTCCCAAACAACTGAGTTTTGTCTCAGCATTAAAAACGCTGCTGTTCTAGGTATGGGAACTATACTTTCGAAGTGCTTGGTCCTAGAATCTCGGGGATTGTCACTGCAATTGTCATCATCGCACCCGAAGGCGATGAGATCGACATAGAGCTCCTCGGAGGCGATCCGCACTGCTGGCAGGTATGCTGTATGTCTTACAGAAGTGCAGAGATCCCGCTGAATGGGGCCTTCACGGCAGTCAAACGTCTTCGTTCCTCATCCTTCCGACAAAGAACCTCTTTACGGCGTCTTCGCCGGGCGACATTGTTACAAACCCTCGTCAAGATCCCACTCAGCCTCCACTGACACCGTCGACTCCTACCATCTCTACACTGTGGATTGGAACCCGGAGAAGATCATTTGGGGCGTCGATGGAATCCACGTTCGAACTCTGCGAAGAGGTATGGGAAGCACTCTAAACGCTCGTTAGGCTATGCACTAAGTCCGCGCGTAGAAGACACCATTAAAAATGGGGTATATCATTTCCCCTCGAATCCAGCGAGAATACAGCTCGGTATCTGGGATGCAAGCTTTCCTTCAGGGACGTCAGCATGGGCAAGAGGGCCAGTGAATTGGAGAACTGCCCCAGCTTCGATGTCTGCTTTCGCGAGGAGCGTACGCATTGAATGCTAAGTCGCTGCCTTACCCCCACACTCGATATCTCATGAACATTCGAACCTTCAGTAACACTTATTAAGTCCACTACATATGTTAGATTTGTATTTTGTAAATTGAAAAACCGGATTCCGCGATTTAGTGGATGAACAGAAGGAATATGTTATTAGAGGCAGTGGCTAGAATGCTACAAACCGGATGACACAAAAATATGAAAACAATGTAGTTGATAGAAGGATGTTGAGACAAGTTTACAATTATGAGTTAACGAAAATCCCCGTCTTAGGGTCTTAAGGGTAAACAGCGAGTATACGAAGAGGCATGATGAAGAAAGAGTGAAATCTATTTGGAGATTAGTAATGATGAGCCATGCGCGTACCAGCGGGACTAACACATACCATTAGATTGTACTGCACCACCAACACTACCAACGCCAACAAAGATCATCCCGTCGCATATCCATGCGAACCCAGTTCCCCTTCTCCTTTTCCCAGCTACTGATCATGGCACCAACGTTCATCTCCAATCCAAACTCCGTCTCTTCTTGCAATTGCGATCCAAATGACACCGATTGCAAAGAGGGGCAAGCGTCATGCCACGTATGCACAAGTTCTTTCTGACAGTCGAAGGGGATATCTTTCGATTCTCCGGAGGAATCTAAGGAAACTTCGATCTCCAGGTATTTGAGGTTGCGGAATTTGGCCAGAGCATCGGCCCAGTCAAGTTCGGCTTCGAGGCTAAAAACATCGCGAGGGTATGAAAGGCTGAGTCCAATGAGATGTGGGGTATATGGGTAGATGAGAGATAGGACAGAAGCCGTCGCCATGTCGCAGAGACTCAGCGACAAGTACTTGACTGGACCCTTCGAAGCGGCGAGTGGTTGAAGAATGAACAAAGGCAGGCCTAACGGAAGATAAGGATTACCTCTACAATGACCAAACATTTTACAAGCAGTCACCGACCGATAGTAGCCACTGTCTCATCCACGGTGACGTGGGTGACGGGACGGTGAGGGACAATCATATCGATGTCCATAATATTTCCATAAAAGTGAGTCAGAGAAGGAAGAGTAAGTGGATGCAGAGCGGAATGTGTGTCGGTGATTGTATAGCCGGAATGAATGTATTTCTGGATTTGGGACTGCCTGTGGAGAAATTCGACCATAGAAAGATCGCATTCCAAACTGGTGATAAATTCAACCAGCTTAAATTCGCACCCATCAAGAAGAGAGCTCCAGCTGAAGACCATATCATTTCCAGGTGCTTCCTCGAGGGGCGGAGGGATAATTGCGAGAGATCGGAGGTTGTGAAGGGCGACCAGCACTTGGTTGATGAATCTCCGATCATCTTGGCCAAAGCCAACGATAGTGCATTTTCGAACTAACGAAGCTCTCGAGTTGCACCGGGAAAGTGATTTAAAAAATTTCTCTATCTGTTTGTTCGACAGCTTTACATCCTGGTAGAGGTAACGCTCGGCTTCTTGACTCAGAGCAAAACAAGTTCGAGCAGCTGCTACCAGTGTGTCCTTATCCATGTAAGAAATGATTTCATACTTGAGCTCAAGAGGAAGACAAGGGAGGGACGTATCGTTCATAATGTCGACCGTGTATTGTTGTGGAGATAGTTGTGTAAATGTTGACTGTAAGATGCCCGCTCAGCGGTGAATAGGGAGACAAAGCCGGTCGGCAGCCCCAAGGACAGTCTGGAAACCTTCCAATGCGCCTCCCGAATAAGGAATGATTTGAGTCGAGCGCGTGTTATTCCCTTCGCCGTTCGAGTTGATGATCGAGAAGTTCAAGCAGGGTGTGAGAACGCGCGAAACGTGACCGTGACCAGGAAACAAGGATTTGACTCTGGACCATTAGTTACAACAAAAGGTGGTGTTGCAAGTCGAGAAATAGAGATACAACAGATCCAAAGTAACGTGAATAGTCCGAACAATAACCCAGCCGAATTGAGTACCGTCTAGAGGTAATATATATATAAAATGTAGAGATCAGCTGTCCGCATGGATTTTCTTCATCAACTCCTGCCAATCCTGCCCAAGCTTGGCAAATGTTTTACTGCGAGCTGGGGAGGAACGTTGTATGAACATCATGCGGTGACTACAGGCAAAGAGCCTACCAAATATGCCAGCAACATCCTTGAGTAATTCCCTTTTTTGCATCCCCATTATTGTTGGACACCAAAGGTCATCCCGTCCAGGTTTCCTATCACGAAAGGTGAGGCGTATACTCGACAGCCTTGCAAAAATACACACCAGTATAGTGGGCCGCATAGCTCTTTCATCAATTCCTCGGCTTTGGCACGGAACCCCTCTTCAGCTAGCCTCTTCGCATACAGATGAAGATTACTCTTGTACTCTGAAGGGCTATCAAACAATTTCGCTGCGTGAAGTCGGGTTTCCAGGTGTCCAAGCGTGAGCGCTGCATTCCACCAGGGAGTACTGTCCCCTCGCTGTTCTCCAATGTTCAACTCTAGGTCACTGATAGCGGCCTCGATAGAAGAAACAACCCCTCTGGCACCTGCAGAGCCTCGATTTGCAGTTGGTCTTTGCTTTCCCTCCCAGGCGTCGCTTCCCTCTGCCCAACGCGCTTCACTGGCCCTGAGCCATGCCTGGAGGGAAATATCATAGGTGAAAGCGGCGCCAGCGGAGATAGTTAACACAGGAGCGCCATTAGGCCTGATCATCGCTGACGAGAGATCAGACGAGTGAGAGGATATTAGTGGTCGAATGAGGACAGCAGATACGTGTGCTTTCTGCTTCTTCATATCCCTGACGCGGAAGGAAATATTAAAGCTGACTTAAAAAGCTTGTGTTATGCCCATACCAAATGTACATATGCGCTGAAGATGTTATTGCCATTAAGAATTGCTTGCACGCGTTCATCGACACGCAGGGGGAATCGAGTAGCATGGAAGGCATCAACCTAATGCAAGCACTGATCAGTGCGATGGAAACGGCAGCAGATGCAACGCATTATACCGTCTCCCTGTAGGCGAGTACACATTGATTGATCCGTCTTCCAAAGCAGCAGCACAAAAAACAGAGGTCGCCGTAACCGCTAACACACCCGCTGAGACGTAATCCAAAAACTGTGTCTGCTTGGCGCTGATAAGGCTAACTTCAGAGGGTGCTATGGTGGGAAGTTTCAGATAATTCTTGTGCCCTGATTCGGTGCCAGACTTACAAGAGCCATTTTCGGAATTGCGCCCCTCGAATACATCCGTTTCTCGGTCCTCCACTTTTGCAAATACAATGTTTCGAACCGCAGGAATAGCGAGGCGATGGTTCGTAGAACTGCCTGAAGGGCTCATATTCATCTGATTCGCGACTGAAGGTGGTCGAATATCTTTGATAGGTCCCATTGGCTCTCGTCGTCGATCTCCACCAAGTGTGCGAGCCTTGGGCAAGCGCGAGGTGTCATTGTGATTAGCCCCTCCATCGATACTGTCCCACATATTTCCGGACCCATCGGGATGATCCCCATTCTGGAGTGAGTTTGCCCTTGAAGCGTTTTGGATAGTGTCCATTTGAGGCACCTGACTTGGTGCGAATGAGCTGGAATGAGAAGGGAAGCGCTCCGGTTCTGTGTGATGGTAGGGGGGAAAGGTCGGATCCCTGAAACCTGGTGGCTGTGACGCAGCAAATGTATAAGGGTCTCGGAATGCGCTGGGGGCAGGATCAGGGAGCTGGGGAGCACCAAATGGTTGGGGGGCCTGAGAGGTAGATGGGTAGGATGGGTAAGGGGTTGCGCCGTTCATGGATGGCTGATTAGGTATTGGAGTCCCATTCGGGAGGCCAGAAAGATGGGATACAAATACAGGCTTGATGCGGCGCTTCTTTTTGCCACTCATGTTGAGATTTGGGGTGTCTTCCTTTGTTGGAGCGTTGTAACTCGTAGACGGAGGACCAGGTGAGGAATACATCATTGGTGGGGGTTCTCTGGGGACAGGGGTTGGTAGTATTGTGGGACTGGAGGGGCAGTAAAATTAAATAATTTAAGGTAATCCGCTTGAACAGAGAGCGGCGCTATTCCTTCGAGCTCTGAGGCGTCGAAATCAAAAACACCAATGGTTCCATCTGAAGAGCACGCATAAAGCGTCATGCCATCCAATGACCTAACGGGTGGAGGATTAGAGCACAAGCAGGGTTGTCCGTGCAACTACGCACCATGATAGATCCATAACAGGTCTTTCAAACGCATCTTTAGCAACAATAAGCGGCCGGGCCGATTTTGTTTGCCATATGGAGATCGACAAATCATCACACCCAAGAGCGACGACGCTGCAGATATTGGCTGTTGTCACGGGTAAATCTGGATCTCGACGGAATATGTGGGGGTTGTATGCCTGTTGAGGGGTGAGACTGTTGTCCAGGTGTTCCCATCCAAAAATACTTACTGCCACCTCAACAGTGTTTTCGTGCCCGACAAGCGATATATTGGAGCTCCACGATGAGCGAGAGATTACTGCTGCAACAAATACGTATCCATTGTTGTTCATCGCATTGGATGCAGTGATGTGAGCCCCGTCAGGGGACCAGCTGGTAGAATATTGTGGAGCAGGGATGTGGAGCAAAAGGCAGTCGACATACCTGAGTCTACGAAAAAATGTAGATCCTGGGGACTTCTCGAACGGCTGCGTGATGCTTGTCTCCAATTTCCAGTCGGTCGTGTTCCAGATTTTCGCCGACTTATCGTCTGACTGATTTATGAGCAGTGATTATGCAGAACTATCCATTTGAGCTATCTGTACGACATACCTGGGTAGCCAAATATTGACCAACAGGGTCCCAACATACACCTTTAACGTAACCCTGGTGCCCATCAAGCATTCGGATTAGCTCCAAGGTTGCACCATTCCAAATCAGGACTTTGCTGTCCAAGCCAACACTGGCCAGATATCTATCGCCAGGGGAAAACGCAAGGTCGGTGACATCTGCAAATTCACAGGAAGATAGCAGCGGTTACGACGTTTGTGGGACAAAGTCAGTTAGCAAAATTCACCTGAGTCATGGCCAGGCAACCGTTTAAGAGCCTTCCATCCTTCGATATTTGTTTCGTCCGTCCCCCACACTTTCCCTCCACCAGACCTTAACGGTCAAACATGAGCGTTCATGCATCACCAGAAACATAAAGCGAGGAATCACGCACAGATCCAAGTCCCATATCATTATGATTGTGTCGTCCGATCCGCTAGCCAGCCATTTTCCAGAATGGGACCACCTCACCACCAAGACAGGTCCTGCACAGAAAATGGACGGTGAAGCTTGACTTGACAGAATAGTCAAGATTGCGCACCAGCATGCATGGAAAGAGTGCAAAGGGACTTTGAAGGAGCATTCTTCGGATCCACAGAGGGGATAGAATCATCATATTCTGGCCGAAGGATAGGCAGGGTCGACCAAATCCGTATTTTTGAGTCTGCACCATCGTTCAGACTGTGTCAGGCGGCAAAGATAAGCAATAGCGCACCGAGTCCCCCCGTAGCTATGCGCGAGCCATCTGGATGGACACTAATGGAGAAAATCCCCAATTTTTTCTTATCAGAAGTTTCTTGATGAACGACCCATGCTGGTTTTGTGAACCTCATTGGGCTGCAGAGAAACTACCCAATCTTGTCTTCTTATGATTTTGGAGACACCAAGTGCAAGAGAGCTGTTTCAAATGGGGGGACTGCCGACTGTGGAACCTCTCAATACCTGGGACGTAATGATAGGCAGGAATGACGAGAACGTCGTCGCTTGCCTGGAACAAATAATTGATTCCTCGTCGGGGACCCCGTGACTCCGAGTCGCCGAACCTTAAACTCCGCCACATCACTGCAATGGTTCTTGTACTTCTCATTGGCGACCTACACATACCGTACAGGTACACCAAGTTGCCAGAGACCGATGACCCGGTACTCAATCCGTATCCGTAGGACGCATGATCTCCCCGCAAAGTTCAAGAAACTGCTGGTATAATACCTGTCGAGGGATCTGCATGACTGGTTCTGATCGCTACGGCAGCTCCCTGGAAAGATTCAACAAATCATATGCACCGGGAACATTTGTGACAAGGAGACGTACGACTATTTGAGGACAATTGCTTCTGAAGTCCACGTTGTTCGTGGAGATTACGATGAGGTAGTGCATTGCACTCAAGTTCGTCTCCAACACTTGTGCCTAAATGCGTATCTTAGGACCCCCGCTTCCCGCTGTCATTGGCGCTATCGCATCCTCCTCTTCGTATAGGAGCAATACATGGGCATCTGAACGTTCCGGTCGGCGAACTAGATTCCCTGGGAGCCATCGCGAGGCAAATGGACGTCGATGTACTTGTTCATGGCCACACTCACAAGTGAGAAGTTCTGCATAGATCTCTGGCTTTTTTCGGTGTATCATTCATCTGTAGGTTTGAAACCATGGAGCATCAAGGGAGATTCTTTGTGAACCCTGGAAGTGCAACAGGCGCGTGGATGGGGAAATCGATGGAGTCGGTGCTTAATTTCTATCCATATCATGCAGTCTGATCATAGAATGTCCAGGACCCTTATACCATCATTTGCCCTCATGGATGTACAAGGGCCAGTCGTCGTAACTTATGTTTACCGTTTAATCGACAATGAAGTCAAAGTCGAGAAGATAGAGTGGAGGAAGCCTACCCCAGTCGAACGCCAGCAGGTCGTCAACGGATATTCGGCCCAGGACAGCACAAGAAGCCCCGGTCCAAGCGCTCCACGAGATATTCCGCCAAGCACAAGTGCATGGGCATAGTCATGCCTAGCCTTAACCACGCACTTCAGACATTCGCGATTAACTTCATTATCTTCTGCTTCGCGCCCACTGTCAACCTTACCGCACGAATTTACGAAATAACGCCAGACCTCATAATTCTAATGCGCATTTCCCGACAGTTTTCAGTCAGGCAGATGGGGAACTAGTCGGGCCCCTAGAATATGGGATAATTAGCATTAATTCCAAGGTGACAAGGAGCTACTCGGTTTATGCAGTCAAAATGATCAGACTCTCATGAGTGGTTATATGCGACGGATCCCCTTTCCTGAAGCAGGGAGTGTCCTCGATTGGAATCACCCCCGAGACCAGTTCCCGACTTTGCCGAGAGGCTGGTCACCTGCCTAGACTTTGCCAAAACTCTGGATGTACAGCAACAACATAAAATTCGACCAATTTAAATTTAAGCAACTCTCCTCCACATCACGTGTGACCCAGCCGAACCTGGACCTTGTCCGTCATATTCTAAGGGTGGGGCCAAATATTTGGTCGCAGTGACACCAGACGGGATAGCCTACAGCAACGCTGGGTTACCGTGTGCACCTCGTCCGCTCTATGTCACGACTGTGGGCCCCCCACTCTCGCGATCACGACAGCGTGAGTAGTCCACACAGGGCCCACCTAGGTTGCCAAACCCTTCCCCATTCTTTAGGTCCTTTCACCCCCAAAGGGCTATGTGACACCGCCCTTCCCAAGCCTCCACAACCCCAGCCAGGATTTCCGCAATCGGCGTAATTCACCCCAACTGTACTATTCCAAGGGTATGATTATATTTTTCTTTTCGTACATCCCTCTTCATCATCATCCCCAGACATATTTTTTTTCACTCTCTATTGGACGTTGATCATGTATGCGGCAACATACGGCCTCTGTGGCTTGTGGGCAGCGGTTATCAGCTGCCGCTCTTCTCGGAGGAAAGGGCGTTCGCCCGTGCCCGCGTTACTCTTGCTACTGTTATTCCTTAGTGTTGGGGGGGTTTCTGCAGTCTTGGGGTCGGCAGTAGTTGGTGCGTCCGCATAATGGGTCACCACTATGGTAAGATTCTCATCGGTTTAATATAGGATACGTTCTGGCTGCCGTGTATTCCGTTGGATATTTCACAATGTCAACGTAAGCACGTCCTTTTACTTCAGACTCGAAGTAGTGACCTCTCGCTTTGGAGTAGTTGGGTGCCCTTTTTGTGGGCGTTAGTCCAGACATTGATTACAATAATGGGGTAGGTCATTGCATCGTGCAACCTTCCGATGACAGGTTAAATCTCTTCCAATTAGATCTTACTCAACCATCGTTACTCTTTTGTAGCAGAAGGCATGAGACCTGTATACCCCACCGCCCTCGCTCATTTCTCTGGTCTCTATCTGGTACCATGTGGTGTCCCCTGCTCGCAATTCTATGCTGTTCAGCCACCAACGCCAGCTAGGCCGTGGCCCAGCATCAGGTCCGTCTGCCATACCTAGGCCTCTTGCTCCCCTTGGGATCCATAACAAGTGCGCCTTGGCCCTTGAGCCTGCCGCGCGCATCCTGCTTGGCTGTGTATTGAACCCAAGATGCCTGTCTTAGATGCTTGCAAGCATCATACTTAAGGGTGTACCGTACGCCAGGTTCGCAACTCAGTGGCCATTTTCAGTTTTCGAGACCATGATTCCAGACATAACTCTGTTTATCTCGTGTACACTTGACATTCAAAGAAATTGCTAGAGTCTTCCGAAACACTGTAAATTAATATGTTAGGAATAGTGGATTTAAAATACATATGTCGAAGTGCAAAACTCGTGTACAGCCACTGAATCTACATTCAAGGCATGCCACCTGCGACGTTGATGGATGAAACCCAAGACTTGTATGAACCTCCGACGTCGTCGAACGACCAGGCCACACATTCTACACACGATGCTTCTGTGCTCTCTCATGCTGCAAAAAGGAGGCAGCGTAAACTGCTCCGGAAGGGGTTATCATCTGTGATTCCTAGCAAGTCGGGGAGGCCTCGCGCACTAGCCACTGGATCAAATTGCATATGGGTTGGTAATTTGTCGTTTAAGACGACGGATAGGATGGTGCGGAGCTTTTTTAAGGATGCTGGGAGGGTCACTCGTGTCCGTATGCCAGTGCAGAAAGGGGGTAGTGCCAGCCAATCCCAGAATCGAGGGTAAAAACACTTGGAGCCATGATGGACAATTGTTTATTCAAACCCCAAACTAGGTTTGCATACGTCTATTTTGACAGCAAGGAAGCCAAGCAAGAAGCTATATCGTACTCTGAACGTGAATTGGACGGCAGACGTCTATTAATTAAGGATGGTAAGCATCTTCTCACCAGCTACATAACTATGGTTGAACAGCATCAAAATGGCTCCCAGGAACCGACTTTTCTGGAAGGCCGCAACCTGATCCACTTGCGCAGAAGGCACTCCAGAAACAACAGTCTTCACCTGGGTATTTTCTCTTCGTTGGCAACCTTCCCTTTGAGGCTACTGCTCAGAGCCTACGTGAATTCTTTGGGGCCCACGAACAATCACGCAACATGGATGGGTTGAAGACCAGTGAAAATGACTCTGCCAGCGATTCAGACCCGGCCACTGAACATGAGTTCAAAACCTCCTAAAGAACGTTAGGATAGGTCAATTCCCAGACAGCGGCAGGTGTAAAGGGTGCGTAGTTCAGAAGCAGCGCTGGCACTCGTTCATAGGAAATTTAGGTGGGCGCTTCTGGAATATTCGTCAGAACAGGAAGCCACCGCTGCGCTGAATGATCCAAGGAATCATGTTATGGATGGCCGTAACCTTGTGGTTGAATTCTCCAATCCCGAAGCGCAGCGCACAACCGAGGGTCCGGGTCGAATTCGAGAACATCGGATTCAAACAAGAAACAGAAATCTCCGGGAGACCACACAGAGAAAGAGCCACAAATGAAGCGAGAAAAACGATGGAGACGCAAAGCTGCTGGCCTGTGAAGTGGACGTGATTCTTCAAGGGCGCGCAAAATCACTTGCACCACAATCAGGAGCGTGTCTAATGAATGGTTCGATAATAAACCATAGTTTCAAATCGGAATCAGGGAATCAGATTTTCGTGTCAATACTGGGCGTGCAGTATCATCATCGGGATGGCATGCTTCGAATACAACACTGATTCAAACTCCGTCGGCTTCTCCAAACGTGTCAACCGAATATTCTCCACAGATGTCCCATCGACTTCCTGGTGCGGCGGCAGAAACATATTTTACGAATCGAAGGACGCCCTCGTCTCGTAGCACGAGCAAGAGTCGGTTAAACTGTGCCTGTACAGTAAGCAGCGTGCCCTCGCCGTCTTCCTCCACCTCGCCAGTCCCAGGATGAGATCTCATTGATCCCGAACGATAAACAGCAGGGTCATCCTCCCCCTCATGTGGTGCCATGTAGCACTGTAATGAATTTTATGAGCGTAGATTCAAGTCAGATAACTCGGTCCCACCTCCCAGCCTCCCCATTGACCCTCTTCCCATTGATTCGTTTTACCCTCCACAAATGGGGGGGTAAGTCCAAGAATGGCATCTAATCTAGGCTCCTCGTCGCTAGAACGGGCGAGAGTATAATCCAATCCAGGCCTAAATCTCCTTGCCTGAGTGAAGTACTTGGTGGGGGTATAAGACGAAATTATGTGTAACCATTTCCGGAATGCGGGGGATGTAAAAAGACCTGTTTCAAGTTTGTAAAGTGTACTGGATGCTGTGGATATTTGGGAAGACGAATTGTGATCAAGGACGCAGAAACGGTGTTTGTGTGGTGGCCCTTTGATTTTCCAGCGTCTGGTGGCTAATCCACTAATGTGAGTTGGTATACGACGTGTTCTTGAATACCCTAAGCCATCTGTTTGATCTTCATTACGAAGCGCGTCGCATAACGTTCGCGCAATATCCTCCTTTAGAAAATCGACTAACTGGATACTTGAGTCTGCTGTGAATTTCTGGTGCAACGCGTTTAAAGTTGAGGGGAGCAAGTAGGCGGGATTCAAGAATGCGGATAATTCTTGAATCTCAACAGGGCCTAGTTCTTCGGCTGTTGAACCGAGGTCTGCAGAGTAGTCAACGAGGTCCCCCGTGACCGATGAAGACAGTTGACTGAGCGAGCTCTGCTTCTGTCTAACATCTTTGTCATCATTATCCTCGAAACCTTCCTCCCCAAACTGAGGGGCGTGGTACCTGGTGGAGATTTGTGTATTTCGTACTACAATCACAGAGCTGTCAGTCAACGCACCACCCGCTAACACTGAGCCGTTGCCTTGAATCATTGGGGCCACCAACAACCACTTCTTCGACGGAATGGAAGCTGTGACCAGGTTGAACTTCAAAGAACACGAACTTTCGGGCACAAGCTGAGGACTAAGCTGCCAAGAAAATCCGCACACTTACCTGGTTCCACGAAGGAGGAAGTGCCCTTGAAGGAGAAGGTTCTGGCTCGAAACTCATCCCAATGGATTTCACTGGATAGAATTCGAGTGCTCCCCCCCATGAAGGGTCCCATTCGATTTCGTGGTCATTCTGAATCGGCATGTACAGTATGTAGCTCACTCTTCGTGTGCCGATCACGTCATCGTGGTTCAGTAAATGACATCCAGAACGGTAAGAGTTAATGGACATGTCTTGCTTCACACCCGATAATGATCCACACCCAGTGACTTGTTGCAGAAATTTACGGAATGTCGACGAGTAGAGGGCGTCGCGTAGCTTCAAGAGATTAGGGAACAGTGACAATTGGGCATGTGTGAGGTACGATAACGACGCTAAATCACCAGTTTGAAACACCTGAATTATTTTAGTTCACACCTCCATCGATGCTACACTTGGCTCAGACCTTATAAATGTCCGTCTCCTTTTCAGAAAAGTTCAACCCCTTAATGATCTCTTTTTGCGCCGCTCTGAGGAGGTCGGGATCGAACAAAGCACCGATGACTGCATGTTTGTATGGCAGCGAAGAACCATAACTCTCTCTTAATTGCTGTGACAGCTCCAAAAGACCAGGAGTGAATGCACTTTCGTAGCTTTCGTGCTCGATGGCATGATTGATTTTGATTTTCTTGTTAACGTTTGACGCTTGCAAAGTATCGGATGGACGAGGACGGTCGGTTGGACTAACCATTTCGACGTCAATTGATCGGACAATTCCGTTCCGGGACCTTTCTCCAATGGTTGGAGAGGTCCTGTCTGGAAGGGCAGGTGACTCTGGAGGTCCTCTAAAGGTTGGCCAGCTCTCGAACTACTTTCGACTTGCCGCCCCTCACACTTACAAGCGACGCCCAAACTCGCATGGCTACACGCCGGCAGGGCCGCCTTAAATTCTCCAAGACATACGGAGTGCTGACTCGCTCACAGCCGAACGGCTCTGCACAACCACATCGGCCAGCACTTGCGACCCTCCACCCCAACTTGCGTTCGACAACGTTCATGGTCAGATTGACGCGAAGCAATTCCGATGCCCCGTTCGATGATCTGGAACCTAGTCCGCGGAAAAGAAAGCGCGCAAGCTCGCCAGTTGCACGATCCGACATCAAACGACGCCGAAATAATTCACAGCAACAAGCGTTGGTTTGCGAAGACGAGTGTGCTCCGACTGAGCCTGCTGAGCCTGCTGAGGATCAGGAGAATAGCGCGGACGAAGATGCGGAGCACGACGGCCCTTGTGAGCCATGTTCCCTTCCCAATTGAATCGTCTATCCTGACCTTTGATCATCTAGCGGACGAATTCTTGTTACAGAGTGCAGCGGCTTGGCAGCTCAATCGTCTCAGAAAGGAGGACTTGGTTCGTCTTCACGGATTAACGCATTTGACTGAAGATCCCGAATCATTCAACAAGTCCACTCTTGTCAACATGCTTTTGGAATATCGCGCATCCCAGAATAGTGCTCTTTCTTCAGCATCTTCATCAAGTAGCGCAGTCCTAGATGAAGATGAGACACCACATCTCAGAAGGACGCGGAGTTTGCACCGGCGCGCTACGGAAAATTACCCGCCGTCCCCCTCCAGCCACCGTGCTATCACGACGCGAAGCACCTCTCTCGGAAACGCAGCAGGGCGGCTTCTTGATGCACGCTCCGAGACACGCAGGCCCCCTGGTTTGTTGACCAATATCTTAAGACCTCACGAGCCCTCCCCACGGAAAACCCGAGCACGTGCGAAACTGCTTGCAGTTCCAACTAATCGTGCAAAGAACCAGTTTCCTACACCAGAGACCTCAGGTGGATCAGACCATCCCTCGTTTCAAAGCCCCCACCTTATCCCAAGACGGCTTCGTCAACGTAACATTTCTGGCTCTTCTGCCATCAGCACAGAAGCACCACCATCCGTCACGATCGCCCGTCGTCGCTATCCTCGCAAGGCCCGCTACCACGGGAGCTTGCGAGAGGACTCAACAGAAGACAACGAAGAGAATGAGGAGAATGAACAGTCTCAGGAAGGAGCCTCTGAGGACGAGCCCGAAGAAGTCCAAACTAGTGATGCTTCGGAGGATGTTGAGAGCTGTAGCAGTGAAAGTGAGGCCATGGACATGGATCACCACCCTTCATCTTCAACCCATACCAAGACTGGTAGAGAACAGCGTCGTACCTGGAGCACATCCCGTTCTAACAGGAGCGGCACTTCGAATGGGGCTCGAACGACACGGAAACGCAGTGCTGGGTTAATATGCGAAACACGGGAACGTGCCACACATTCGGATGAAGATGGTGACGACGAGGATGAGGATGAGGAAGAATTGGTGGATCCGGATCCGCCAGCCGTCCATGTGCTCAGAAATGGTAAGGTCGTAGGTGAAATGGCAGATGAGACGGAAGAAGATGAGCTAGAGAGTGATGGGATTGAATTAGATGAATTAGAAGACGAAGACGAAGACGAAGAGGTTGAATTAGATGAGGGTACGATCATTTATTATTACCAGCATCTCATTCTGACTGTTGCTTGCCTGCCCCAGATGATCTCGATATGAGCCAGCAAACAAGAAAAACTTTGCTTCGTCATAGACGTGATGATTTAGTTCGCCTATGTGAGGCAAACGGCATTGAGCCTGATGGGACCAAGAAGCAGCTCGCTCGGGCACTTCTGGAATGGGCAAGTTTTTTTTCGCAGTCATCCCTATCGGTGCTCAATTTGCTTACAGCGTGACTCCCAAAATCACTTTCCTTCATCATCTACTGCCCCGTCGTCGTCGTCGGGAGCATCGACTGAACGACCTTCCTCAGGTCGCAAAGTGCCTCGACGAAATAAGGCGTCTATACCGGTGCTCCTTCGTGGTGGAGCCCGCGTGCATGTCTCTCCTCGACCGCCGACCATTGTCCCAGAGTCAAAGAAAGGCAAGGACAAAGAAGAAGACATTGAGCTGGACCTTGGCAGCCTCGGCCTCGTTGACAGAGAAATCCCTCCGAATGAAATTGTCAAGCTTGAGAAGATTGGGAGTGGCGGCTTTAAGGAGTACGCCTCCTGGGATCTTTAATTACTATTAAATTGATGGTTGCATTTGTAGTGTGTACATTGGCAAGTATAGAAATCGCAAGGTGGCGATAGCTGAGTTCCGGGACGCCTTGAATGCTAGTGAGTAATGTAGATATTTCTCTATCAAAGTTTCTAACCCATTTACTCCTTAGTGGATATAAAGGTGTGTTGAAGTACCTGTTCGCACTTCCTGTACTTAGTTTGTCTAGGAACTCAAGCTGCTCCACGAGTTCGATCATCCGAATGTGGTGCACTTCGTGAGTAGCAGCCATTTTCCACCCTTGACGACCGGGTCACGTATTTCCTCTAGTATGGCGTAAGCATACCAGAGGACACCCGGTCTTCTCCCGTCATGATTATCAGCGAGTTGTGTCCCAATGGAGACCTTTTCGACTATATTCGGAACGTGCCAGCCCCCAGCCTACGACGTGTGGTATGTCCGTGCAATGTCTGGAGAGAAATCGCACTAACAGTATTACAAGCTTTCCCTAATGTTGGATATTGCCCGTGGCCTCGAATATCTTCATCTTAGGAATCCTTCCGTCATCCACCGCGACTGCAAGTCATCAAATATTCTCATTACTTCTAAAATATCTGCGAAGATTACGGACTTCGGTCTAGCCAAAGTTAAGCAATCTACTCGCTCAATGGTGAGGAGTTTGGTTGGAACAGTTAATTGGCAAGCACCGGAACTGTGGTCACCGCACCCTAAGTACGACCATAAAGTAGATGTTTTCTCGTGTGCCATGGTATACTGGGAGATGCTGCAATGGCACAACCCCAAGAAGACATACCCTTGGGAAGTATGTACTAAATGCGCTGTTTTTTTCCTACCACTAAGTGAGGTCATTGTAGGGCATGAACGAGCACGCCATCTATGATGTTGTTGGGACAAAAAGGCAAAGGTTCGCGTTTATCCTGATGTTACGAGGTCGATGCTCATCCGACTTTCTCTGCGCAGACCTTCGGTTGCCGGCCTGCGCAAACAGTGGTGCCCCGAGATCGTTGATCTCATGGAGAGGATGTGGTCGCAGGACTCCCGTGACCGTCCATTCATCACTCATGTTGTCCAGGAGATTGAAAAAATCATGCGGACATGCTAGTGTACACTCATTTTTAATTATTCATCCCAGATTCCTACTCGGCTTAACCTGTGGACACCAGGAGGCAAACAGGCAGGGCTGGTATGAACTTAACCTCACTTATTCAAACTTTCCTGCTTCACATTGACTTTGCAATCCATCATCGATCAACGACTGCATGCAATTCATACACTGTCCGTGTTGTATTTATTCTACAATTGATTTGTCTGCAAAAGCACTACCATGGATCCAGACCGTACTGGTGCGAGGATCGAATCTTGACACTAGAGAACAGTCGACGAACGAATGAACGAATGCTCAAGTAAAAACGACATCCGGGGGACTCGAACCCCCAACCTTCAGCTAGGTGTCCGATAATGTACCAAAACCGGAAACTGACGTGATAACCATTTCACTAGGACGCCAATCAGTCAGAGAGCTTTTCTTGGATGGACAAAAATTCATGAGCAACTTGAGACTGCGGATCGTGTGGGACGCAGGGGGTTCATCTGTGTGACGTGATTTATCCTGCTAGTTTCATTAGATCTTTGAGTTATCTCACTAGAGTGCGTGCTTTGCATCGCGGCCACCTGCACAGCATGCGTGAATGGATGATTTGTTTCATATTGGAGAGCCCTGATATGTGAAGTACATTCAGGCGGGGAAGCAGTTACATACAGCCAGTGTTCGCAAACGTTATTGGTGCATTCAGAGGACGAAAAGCTTCTATAGTGATGTATGTGGTCGAACGGTTACCTACAGATGGTGCGTTTGGAGCGAGGGAGGCCCGAGGTATCCAACGCTATTCAAAACCGGTGCTCGATCCTGTGAATTTTTCAAGAGCGACGACGATGTCTACGGGTTTGAGTTCACAGTGTTCTTGCCATGCTGAAAGTGGTAAGAACCGAGCGGTTTCGCATCGAATGTGTTCGCAGCTGGGAAGGACCAGGGAGGTATATAGACATGGAAAGAAACATTAGTATTTCATTCGTGAATATCGTCAAAGGAACACAGTGCTAAGATTTTTGACGTTCGCTGTAGGGGGGTCGATCAGTGAAGAGAACAGACTGTTCAAGTATGTTTTAATAAAACATTGAATGAGGCTTGACGCATCAATGCTATCGTGTTTCCGCCGATTTTGGACTCTAAGTCATAAATTTGACAAAAGCTTGGTAATGGATAAAAACACAACACGTCATTAAAAGCAGCATGCCTTACGTAGCAACCGGCGGACGCCGCCTGACGCGGCAGAACCCACTACTCTGCCTCGACTAGATACTTTCATTTGGGAAGCGGTTTGACGTCAGGTCGAGGGAAGGACATGGTGGGCGTTAACACTACTGGAATTTGCACCCTTCTCCGGATCGTCTGTGTACTTATCACAATGACGATCACATACCTGTGTGGCTATTCATCATCTCCAGGACGCAAACCCACCGCAGCTGTCAGAATATGACAAATATGAATCTGCAAGGGCACAGTGTTCACAGAAATCCCATGAATTTCATCATATGAGGATACGCCCAGCATGATAGAAAGCTCAGGACCCTGGAGAATTGGAGGACCTTGTCATGAGATGAATCCATTTCAGGATCGAAAAATGTGCGAGGACAAGTGCTAGGATAATTTTAAATGACAGTACTGACCATGTGTTTGGTGCCCCCTCAAGGCCCGGGAGTACAATAAGTTATGCACGAGGCGATAGTCACAATTCATCGAGCAGACACGTTCGTAGTCAATGGAGAATCTATTTGTGGTATCAGGCTCCACACATAATCGTGGGTTTGATCCACAAAATGGTGCTCATCATGTGCAAGATAGAACATCACCTGTCCTTTCACAGGCGGATATGGCCATATGAACTGTTGCATATTTTAGTTCAAGATGAATAACGCAACGATACACACAAAGCGAAAACGACGCAGGGGCGAATGATAAATATGCAAAGCCAAAAGAAGATCGGCATTGAATGAAGAATGAAGACGAATTTGAATTGAATCATGGCAAATCCCTGGCCCGCATTCCGCCCTTGGTGCTGGAATGGAGAAAAATCAGGAATATGAGCAAAAGATGGCGAATACCACGAGGCAAGACTGCTCAGTTTAACTTGGGCTGGAGGGTGAATGGCTATGGGGAAACTGGTGGTTGCGGATTCTCCCAGTAAGAGAACGGGTGGCTCGAATCAGGTATCTGGGGGTCGCAGAAGACATGGTCAAGGGCTCTTGATCATTTCTCGGGCGTTCGGTTCCCCAGGCGACAAGAACCTCAAGCAACGAAGGACATGCGTTTGGAATACTCGGATCGAGCTGCTTCTGTGGCGTAAACTGTCACTCATTTCTGGAATATGGGTGCGGTAGGGATGAAAGTAAGGACCGCGGGCGTGATATTCGTTTGGTGCGTGTTTCGTCGATTAGTTTTCGGCGTTTGAGCAATGTTTGATCGAGTGCGAACCGACGTCCAGAGCGGATTCAGAAGTCCCGTCACGGTGTCATATGAAAATAGCTGAGATGTAGTATTGGAAGGGACGGTAGTGCAAGGGACGATCGTGATAGGAGAAGCTGTGCCAACCGCTAGTGAAAATTGTGCGCAGAAGGGCGATAAGGGCTCAGTCGACGTCTGGTTTCGAAGCTCAGCATGCAATGAGCAAACCTGCAAGTCGGGCTGGTTGGGTACGGTTCTGGGCTCGACATGCAGAAGGAAATGTGCTGGCTCCGTAGTGTTTGATACGTCAATCAGATAAGAAGGGGGACTCGCTGAGTCCATCCCTGGAAGAGCGGTCAGGATGAGGGAACCAATGAGAATAGCCTCAGCGTTTATAGCAGGTGGTTGGGCCATGAGATTTATAGTTCCAGATATATCGAGTGATTGCGAGCAATTCTGTATATCAGTGCTATTGAGGGGATTCCGGGATACATGGGAGATAGCCTGTCAGGGGGAGTACATTACAAAGAGAATTAGCTGACTATGGTCGAAGACAGCTTACCGATGGAGAAGGGAAAGGAGATGCCACAGCAAGCACGACGGCGAACCAAAGGAGTGCGAACAGTCGCAAAGAGACCATGATGAGCCAGTCGGTAGAAGATAGTTGCTTGCTCATGCCCTACCACTGTCACCTTATAGTGGTCTGAAGAGAATGAACGAGACAACACGGAACCGAGTTTAAGTGTTGACTAATCAGCTGAGACACAGGATGTTTGACCAGGCCAATGTTGATGGACTGCGGCCAGCCCCGCAGCCCAGGAGTGAACAATCGGCCAAAGATAGTGACCATGATGCGAGGAGTCAATGAACTTGAACCTGCCACGGGGAAAGGACAAGTTGTGGAAACCTCCAGAGTCTCCGCAAGATACACATGATGCACGCAAGCAAAACAAAGGGGAAGAGCCAACGAGATCGAACCCAATTGGACAAATGTTACAAGACTGTATCCACAGGGCCCCTGGCAGTGCGCCCAGGTTCGCACAAACTGTAAATTTGACGGGTGGAGGGCACGTGCTGTCCCTGTCGTCCACTTCGCGCTTTGAAATCCAAACAGCCCCCCCACCTAACAATACCTCTTCAGAAACAATCACCACTATGAGGAGAAGGAGGATCCAGCCGCGGGGACCGACTGGCCAGTCACCACCCATGTGGTGTATCCCTGGACACACTGGCGCCACTGTGGTCCAAATACTTCGGTTCCTGCGCAAGTGTGTTTCGACGGACCCTCACTTCATCGAAATGACGAACCAATTTGGCAACATGATTTTTGAGGCGGTCCCAGAAAAGTGTAGGGCTCAAGAGGCTCATGTCCTTTATTAGAGTTACGGTCCTGCCAGTGCCTGCCGACCCCTCAGACCGAGGGTGGTAAGGGAGAGCATAAGTCCCTCAAAACTGACACTCTCACTGGTTCCGTAGCCGAATATCGCTCGCAGACTCCTAGCTTCTGCAGACTGGGCCGTCACCATAGAGGCTCTGCTTGACAACTCTCATTCCAAAGCAAATCGAGCGACATGCGAACCCCCCTTTGGGAGAGTTTGCAGGAAACAGTTGGAGAAATCGTGGGTTCTTCTGGAAGCCAATTCCATATCTTCCCTGTCGGGCAAACCGTCGTCTTACTGCTGTATCTCTGGGGGGCCCTGCACCATGCACGCTGTCGGCTTCACTAGTTATCTTGGACGCCGGCTGCCGTATTGATAGGGTACAACCCCAAAAGATCCCGATAATTTCCAGGCTGAGTACTTCAGACAATGTCACACCTCGCTGCCCCATTAGTCGGTTGGCTCTACATTGTGACCACGCGCCTGCTGTATTAGAGTTTGGGCGATGGATGGGGGGTGCCTCATGAGCATGCACTTTGCCTTTATGCTCATTGGCGCTGCGTGCGTGCTGATGCTCGGGGACGAGCACTACGTCACCAATGAAATGAATTTTCTATTCCAAGCAAATGTGTCCCCACGCCGGCATTCCAAATATGTACCCCAAAACGCTAAACTCCATTCGGCATGTGTGGACTCGCACTTGGGGCTCGGATAGTTGACGACGTTTGATCCATTCAATCTGGATCACTTTTTCTCAACGTTCTTTTTTGTTCTTTTTCCTTTTGCGTCGACAGGAGGCTAAACCCGTGCATCCATGATTGTGGAAGCTGATGACCAAGGGGGAACTTTTCCTTACACAGACTTTTCCACGGTCCGTAGCGATGACCACCAGTGATTGCCCTAGGGCAAGTCCCGGCCGGTTGTTCATGCGACGTTGAGAAGCGACGGAAGCCGGGAGCCAAGGGTTATCAATGTCCGCCAATCCTTCATCGTTGCAAATCCTCATTCAACTCCTTCGATCATATACTGAGGAATTAATAATGGAATTTACCCTGGCCTTCCTGACCTGACAGAGTGCTGGTCGGTGGCCTGGCATGGCCAAGTGTTAGTACGCAGGTTTTTGACTGCACGAAGATAGAGCGGAATTTGCCTCGGCAAGATTCACCTTAATTAATCGGGCGAGCTGAGCCGACCCACGCGGGTAGCGAGCTCTCCGTCATATCCTAAAAGCGGCTGTGCACAACAAAGGAGCAGGGGCACATCCAGGAGGCGTGAGAAGCCAGAAGACCAAAGGGCTGGGCGGCATTGCTGAATTAATTTGGAGCGGAATCCGGATCCCCTCTTACATGTATTTACAATGCGGGTTGTCAAAAGTAATTGGGCCAGTGCAAGAACGAAAAAAAAAAGTGCACGGGGAGCGAAACAAAAATCCCTCGTAATGGACGGAGGTACAGTCAAAATTAAGGGGGAAGGGATACGAAAAAGAACAAGTGGACAATTGCGGTTGTAACGTGGGAGCGAATACATCATTAAGAATTAATCAAGTAGTATTTGGTGCGCCGCTCAGAAAATGATATTTTGAGGAAGACGTGGCCCATCTTGAGGGTATTGAAGTGTGGTAGACGACTTTGGCCGTGATGGCACTGAAGGCGCACCTGACTTAGCCCTCTCTTCTGCTGCGCGTTTGCGGAGCTAATCAGGAGAAATCATTTCATGCGAATCCGTAACAAAGGGGAGGACCGAAACATACCACTTTTGCCCACACGAGTCCACATGCATTGCACAGCGTACGCGGTCCTAATGTGGTACAGCAGGTCATCAGAGATGGACAAGGCAAGGACTAGACCAGGTTAGTCTTCTCACCCATTGGACCCTTTCGCCACTCAGGAGTTGATGTGCTATCGCAACTCAAACATTTTTGTATAATACGCCTCTATGAAACCAGGAACCGGAAAAATTTAGCTTGATTGGAACAGAAAGGGGGCGGAGTTCCGATTTTTGGCAAAAATGAGTTGACTCACTCTCTTCGTACGAATTATTGGCATTTGGTACGCGGCAGACAGTGAAGGTGAAATGCCGCGAAGTTCCGACGTACTGTCTGGTGGCGGACTGGTAGATTGAAATCGCGCGTTTGGATCGAGGGTTTGCAAGCCTGTAATGGCAGTAGAAACTAGGCCGTTTAGGGAGGTCGAGCTCATGGCTTGGCGCGCGTTTTCATTACTCCACTCGTCTGGACTGGGAAGATCGACTAGCAAACGTTCATATGAACGAAGCATCTGAGATGTGACAGGACATGAGCAAATACCGAGAATCTAATTCGCTTTGCACAACATACCTGCTCATAATCCACTGTGGAGACAACTTGAGCATGCGGCGCAGTTGCGGGAAGTGGATCGACGGGGGAATACGTCACAGCGGCAGTGTTATAGCCCTGAGGAACGGTGTGCTGCACCGCCTGGTAAGAAGGGGTGGACCCAGGTAGCATCGAGTTAGGTGGAGATATTTCCGTCCCATAACCAGGAATGGAATGATGAGAAGAAGAATATACTGGGGTGACAGGCGCTTGCCGCACGTCAGGGGGTTGATGCTGAATGTGAGATGCAGCCTGAGGCGAGCTGGATGGCATTATTGGCATGTATCTTGCGTCTTGTGCGTAGGAAGGCTGTGGGGTATACGTCTGGTGATGTTGGGAGTACTCTATTTGAGGCGTACGATACTCGTCAGAGGACAGAAGGGTTGCGGGGCGATAGGCGGCGGTAAGGTGTGGATTAGCCAATTGGGAAGAAGAAAGTCCAGTGTCACTTGCAGACGTCCGCCATGCGGTTTCTGCACCATAGTCATGAGGAGGCTGCTCGGTGTGATAATTCTGACGTTCGTTATAGGATATATGACGGGCCCATTCGTCAGAGGTTCGCAAGGCAGTCGAAGAAGCCATTCGAGGGGGGTATGCACAGGACATGTTTCCAACTATGACACTTTAAGTGCATTAGGCCAATGAGTAGATATAGGGGGTGGAATTAAAATGTCCAAAAAAATTATGAAAGAGCCGTATCAGAATTCTGGGCCGATTACCGCTACGGTAACTGTCGTGCGATTCTCAACGCGGCGAGCCGCGGGATAATTGAATGGTATACAGGGTGTGTGATCTGCAGTCGAATGGGTCAGCATGTGGAAAATGAAAAAAAAAAAAAGTCGGTCAACCTGTGTGTCCATGAATATGTAGTCATTTGTATAATTTGGCAAGCGGATGCAAACATCTAAGGCAGGTGCTCTCCCGCCTCTTGGGACGCTTCCTTGCCAGCAAGCCCGAATGCCGTCAACCACACGCTGGCGGGCGCTATGCCCAAACTGAGGGAAGCATCTCTTTATTGCCAGGCTGTGTTTACCCTTGACGCTTGCGATGTGGGCTACATTATGTATTGATGCGTTTCATTCACCAACACGGGCTCGAGTGTGGGAAAAGTCAAAATGAGTGGGTTTCACCATTCAAATTCCAACACTGAAAATTGTATGAAATGAACGACATGAAGGGATTTTTGTATAAAGAAAACAACACATATGAGGCAAAAAGTGAACGAGAAAGCCAGAGATCGTCATGAATGAAGGGACCTCCGCACACCGGATTAGGCAGTTCGTCACTCGAAGTGGCTGCTATTCGAGGTCCTGTCCTCGTTCCCCCTCATCTTCATCGTACTCTTCCCCCTCATCTGTCTCATCCTCGACGTAGTTCGACGGTGCCAGCGAATTCGCTCGGCCAAACCCTGTGGTGATCATGGCCGCTTTCTCCCGCGCACGACGGCGACGACGCAGGATCTTCTTCCGGTTCTTGACTGCATCACGAAAGCTTGCCTCCCAGCCATAGAACAGGTCATACTCGCAAAACAAACAGATCCACTCATCCGATGCTTTCACGATTGGCGCCTTTGAAATGGGGACCATCCGGCCATTTTTTTCATCGCGTGGTAGGTCGGCACTCAGAAAGTGGATGGGCAGGGGGCTGATGGGATTTTGACCAGCTTGCGTCACTGCAGCTGACGATTTGGGCACAGAATTAGGGAGTCGTGAGGGTATGTAATTGCGGGAATGATGGGGATTGGATGCGTTGGCGAGAGCTGCGCCCTTCTTCTTTTTCTTTTTGTTCTTCGAAGGTTTAGCCGGTGCCTCTACCGCCACCGGCTCCGATTTAGCAGGTGTGTTCCTTGTCCCAGACGAGGTTTTTGTGTTTTGTTGCTCCCCAGCATGACTGGTGGGCGGTGACGCCTTTTTACGTTGTAAAGCACCTTCCTTGACAGCAATTGCCCCTTTCTCTCACTTGTCGTTTTGGCAGCAGGAGTTCTTGCTGCTTCTGCAGCGTTTGCTTGACGCAATAGCTCCCTTTCAAACATATCTTTGAGATTCTGTGCTCGAGCACGAGCAAGGGCAATACGATCCGCGGCTTGAAAAAGGCAACCGAGTACATCAGACCCGGCCTATATTCTACACAGGGCAGATATTTTTGACACTGACCAGGACTATGACACTCAAATGTAAAATCGGCTTCAGAAAATTTTATAGAAGGTAGAATAGGTCTAGGATCAGGGCGATGTCGAGGGGATGAGGGATGTGCGCGAGGACGTGATTTTGTGGGTGAGTGAAACCATGGTAAAGGTGCAGTAAGAGCAAACTCCAAAGCAAGGGGATCACTCTGGGGCAGACTTTCGATGACAGCCAGGACTTGACGCTTACGCGACTTGACAATTTCTTTTCGCTTCAAGCCTGTCATAGTGGCAAGGCTTGCACGGAAACGTGGACGTCGTAGAGTCACCGGCTTTACATTTTCGATTCCCTCAGCGTTGAGCCGCCGTGTAACTTCATCGTTCTGTAGCTGGACGCTTTCGTCCATGCCATCCAGCTTGGGATCAGTCACCGCTGACGAATCATCGAAGACCCGTCCGCCTGATAGCTCGTGTGCTGCTGGGACCTTCCGCTTCTTCTTATTCCCAGGTTGTTGGAGGTGATCTCTTGAATCGTCCAAGTGGTCATCCTCGTCAGTAGGTGTGACAGCAGTAGAAAAGCTTCGATAAGTAGTGTGATAATCAACTGAGAGCGGCGGACGACCAGCACACCGCCCCTCCGCATCTGTAGTTGAGGGAAGAATAATGGGCTGTGGGCATTGCGTGAAGGATGGCCAATGAAGTATTGTGTCTGGGTCCGTGAAGTCTGCAGAAAAGGAAGATAGAAGATCATTATGAGTTATAGGCTCTGTGGTACGTCGTCGTTTTGGCAATGGTTTGACCCTTCTATTGGTTGGATAGTCTTGAAAAAATTGGGGGGAGTCCTCCCTGTAGCAATCCTCAGTCATGATGGAACACGAGTCTATGAACGAGAGAATGAACAGCGCCCTGGATGGTCACACAAGGGGAACGAATGCGCTGGGCCGACGATGGAGGCCTTGCGCAACTAGCTTACGTTGCCGATATGAATTATGAGAGTTGTATTGCAAAAGCTGCAACGTGGGAGTCAGCACTAGTGGAGTCAACCGAAACTGGTAGGGGGTGAGACGCCACCAACAACCTGAAATTCGCAAAAACGAACGTACAAGGGTAGTAGCAAGGCATACTATCAGTAAATGCCAACAGATAGACATGGGAAAGAGGTAAAAGGGGAATGACAAGAAAAAGCACAAAATTATATAGGATGCTGCTGAAGTCTACCGATCTCTCTCTGATACTAAAACTACACGCTCTTGGATGTCGTATGATATGATGGGGTGATACTGCAGAAAGGAAGCGGATAAATGTCCCGCAAGAAAACTGGAATGCGTGGATGAGGGTGGCCTTACGCCGTCTACGAATGCGTATAAAATGAAGACGAAATAAGGTTAAAGAGACCACACAAAGAATACCACCTCGTCGTGGAGGGATGTCGAATGCAAGGCAAGACCGTTGGAGCGGGTAGGAGATGGTGAAGAGAGATTGAGGGAGGTCCAACAGCGTTGGACATGAAGACACAGGATGAAGAATGAAAAGATAAGGTTCAACGTTGTCGAGACTGGGGAGGCGCACAGGAAACCTTTGGAAACCAATTATTTTACGAGTGCAAGGAGTTGACTGGGCAAAAATCTGAGTTTACCACCAGGTTCCTCCTCCTCCATAGCCGCCACCGCCACCACCGCCGCCGCCACCGCCATATGCACCGCCTCCATAGGAGGAATAATTGCCACCATAATTGCCACCTCCCCCTCCAAAGCCTCCACCCTTCGTAGAGCGAACGTCGCGAAAAGAGCCGCCCCTCGCGCGATGGCTTCCACCACGACCCCCACGACCACGACTCCCGCCTGACATACCACCCCCAGACTCACCGTTGATAGCACTCAAGAAGGATGGGACTTCTTGATTGGCCTCGGTAAGAAGTCCGATAAGTTCCCTGACAATACCTTTGTTGCCACGGTTGAGGAAAGCAGTCGCAATACCAGTATTCCCGGCACGTCCAGTACGACCAATCCGATGCACATAGTCATCAATGTCTGAAGGAAGGTCATAATTGATGACATGGGTGACATTAGGGATGTCGAGGCCACGAGCGGCCACGGCAGTGGCTACCATGATTGGAGTGCGACCCGAACGGAACGTGTTCAATGCCATCTCACGCTCGCGTTGCGTGCGGTCCCCATGAATCGAGGTGGCAGGGAAGTGGTGGCTCATCAGGAAATCAGAAAGTGCGTCAGCACTTCGCTTGGTTTCGACGAAGATCAGAGTGAGTCCACTAGCGTCCGAGACGTGCAAGATATCAAGAAGAACAGAGCGCTTGTCGTGATCTTCGACGTATTCGATTTTCTGCGTGATGTTTTCTGACGTGGATCCTACACGTCCGACGGACAGGAATACGTAATCCTTCAAGAAGTCCTTGGCGAGCATCTGAATCTCGCGTGGGAATGTGGCACTGAACATCAGAGTTTGGCGCTGACGAACACCCGGCATGTCTTCGCCTTGAACGATTCGGCGGATCTGAGGCTCGAAACCCATGTCAAGCATTCTGTCAGCCTCATCGAGAACGAGATAACGGATGTTCTGCAGGCTAATACGCCCACGTTCAATTAAATCCACAAGACGACCTGGAGTAGCGCTGAGAACGTCAGCACCGCGTTCGAGTTGGCGAAGCTGTAAATTGATGTCCGCACCGCCGTACACAACGGCAGGCTTCACCCAAGACCGGTAGGCAAACTTACGTGCCTCGTCATGAATCTGGCTCACTAATTCGCGAGTGGGAGCGAGGATGAGGGCCGTGGGGTAGGCTCGGCGGTTACGTCCGTAAGAATGGGATTCGACGGGAGTGGAAATAGGACCGACGCGAAAAAGATTCGATAGGATGGGGAAAAGAAAACCACCAGTTTTCCCAGAACCGGTCTAAAATGAACTCAGCTTTGGCTCGCCGGAACACGCAGGTGAGAATCACAGACCTGGGCGCAAGCCATCAAGTCACGCTTCGCGGCAACGATAGGGATAGAGTACTTTTGTACAGGAGTTGGGGTAGTGTAACGTGCAAACCCAATGTTTTCCAACAAGACAGGGTCCAGTGGTGGATTGGTGAATTGCAGGATAGGTTCCGGAACACCTGTACCCGTGGCTTCGACGGGGATATCATCATACTTTTCGAAATTAATCCCAGTATGTTGTTTCATAGGATCCTGTGGCTCGCCATAAAGCTCTTTCTCAAGTCGGGGATTACGTGAGCCAGGTATGTGTTTACCGTCCTTCCACATTCCTTCATTGCGCATGGAGGGACGAGGCCCGGGCAGGTCCCAAGTGGGCCCGGAGGATCCCCATGACGTTGCACTGTCCCTCCCCGGATTTGCACTACTCTTAGGTGGAAAACCATCCGAGCGAGGCCCAAAGGAGGCGCGTGGCCCATCAAGACTGGCGAAGAAATGTGTGTCAGCACTGTGAGCGCCCAAGTTTTCTGCGAACATTACCTTGGCCTCGTTTGAGGTTGGAATGCGGGAGGTGGGGGGTTGCTGTTCCGCATGTGAGGCGGGACATAAGCTGTTGCATTAGGGGTTGGTGCAGGCGCAGCACCTCTAACACTTAAATTGCCTGTGTCAAAGGAAAGACTTGGAGTCAGTAAGGGAATTTAACTATCTTCACACTCGCACACTTCCTTATGCGCGTAATGCAACGACTCACCGAATTGTTGTTCTAAACCGTTCATATCGTTGTGTAAGAAGAAATTTTCCATAGGGACTTTGCTTCCGATGACTGTGGTCCGGAACTTTGCGGACTTGTGAGGAGCACCGGTTTCGTTAGCACTGTTGGTGGAAAATAGTGAAGGCAGTATATATGATTGCTTAGCCAGGGAGTGTACGCTAATGATGGTATATAAAAACAAAAGATCAAGAAATGAGATGAACCCAGTGAGCGTTGCAAAAGTTCAATAAATTGCTAATAGTGGCGCAAGGACAGTTACAACCCGACGACTTGCATTATCGCCGAAGTTAGGACTTCCTTGTCTTCCTTCGTGTCGCAGAAAAAGAGATGAACTGAACCATCTTTGAACTCGATCGCAAATGAGTGTGAAATGGATTGCAGCTCATCGTGTTGTTCAGTGATGGCCCGTACGTGGCCGTCAAGATCAATGTGATCAAGCCTTTGTCCTAAAGTCTGGAGAAAGTAGAAGATTTGCACACACACAAAGCAGTAAGAAGAGGAAAGAGACAACTCACATCCGATGACTTGAACAAATCAAGTCCTTCTTGAGAAAGCTCAAAGTATCTTCGACGCCAATACTAACCAAGTGAGCTACTCGCTAGGCAAGAAAGATATCGTGACACACCATAGAATTACTTGCTTGCATAGTGACATTCCCTACGGAAAGCATCTTCAGCGGTATGGAATTTAAGTCTGAGAAGACCCACCTGTCAACATAACAGCCCTAGTAAGTCGCAACTCAGAAAACTGCTTTTGGATCTCGCGCTGAGCAGCCAACCGATCTTCTTCTTTTCGTTTCGCCTCCAAAGCCTTCTGCTCTTGCAGCATCAGAGCCTCTTTCTCACGTTGAATCCGAGCAGCAACCTCATGTCGCCTACGCTGTGCCTCCATTTCTTTTTTCTTATTGATCTCTTCCCGTCGGCGCTGCTCTTCAGCCGCTCTTTGGGCTGCAAGTTTTTGCGCTTTCTCCTGCTCTTCAGCCCGTCGTCGGTCATCTTCATCCATCTCCAACCGCATCTTCTCATCCCGCTCGCGCTTCAGTCTAGCCGATCGCTCAGCGTCATAAATTGCCTGCTGCTGTGCCTCCATCTCTCGCTGCATTTCTATGCGCGACCGTTGACGAGCAAGTGCATGGCGTTCAGCTTCCGCCTCGCTTGCCCACTTAGCGCGCGACTGCGCTGCCTCTTCCTGAGCAGCAGTGCGCACAGGTGGAAGGTCCTGAGGAGGGGTGAGAAGAGACAGCTGCTTAGGTGGCAGAGCTAAAGGTCGAGTTGGTGCAGCATTGCCTGGTGTTGTAATGCTGGGTACCGAATCATTGGTGACAGATCTAGACCTACTGCCGGCACGGAGAGGGATTTGTTGCTGTTGGGGGCTCATTGATTTAGCCGAATGTGGCTGAGAGTCGTTGGGAGTTGCTCTCCGAGAAGACAACTGACTGTCAGACACTTTCCGATCACTAAGAATCGGAATTCGGCTATCGACCTTAGAGGGGGGGATAGGACTATAGCCTGAGGAGCCCGTATGATTGGGCTGGAGGCGATTTCGATGAGGAGAATCAGGTGGAGAATGCAAAGAGCTAATGGAGTTCGACAAGCCCTGTCGGAAGGAATCGGGCTCCGGTGACGGGCTTGTCTGATGATCGTGAACCTGGCTAGCATCCAATGGTTTGGGAGAGGAAAGCGAACGAGCGCCATCCGGATCCAATTTCAATTTTGAGCGTGCTGCGTGAACCGTGAGCTGCTCCGGTCTAGTAATAGTCCAGGCAGCGTGATGAGCCTTGCGACAAAGGGTCAAATATTACTACAATACGGTCCATGCTGGTGGGAACGGTTGGATCGGAACATACCTTTAATAGCGAACCCACAGCGCGTGAATGGACCAGCGCACGCGCTTGGAACCAACAATGATGAGTATAGGCTTACATCCCCTGTGTTCAACGAGCTGCATTCCTCACCTCTGCGGACACCGCTTATATCCTCAGGAACAAAGGAAATGAGTATAAAGGATCTTTCCTCCCGCAGAAAGACGAAAAACACGTCGCCATGTAACTGCCGTTGCAACTCCTCAATACCTCCCGACCCGCTAGCATATAATGAAAGCTTATCGCGAGACTTAATTCTCAGTGAGCATCTGGCCCCAAGAAACACGATGGTTCACGACATACCTGCCCATAGCTGAGGAGAAGCCTGAAACCGGGATGATCAGCCCAACAAAACACGCGTCTCATTGCATAAAACACGCACCAGTTCGTGGGTGATGTGAACGAAATAATTTCTTGGTATTTTGCAGCGATATTCGGATCGCTCAGATCAGCACTCATTTTATGGACTTTGTTGCGAGTGATGAAAACGGGAAAGTCTGTTCCACGTCACGGTGCAACCCGAATGAATTGGACCCTGTCACTGTCTACAACTGGTGCTGACAACAACATATTATATAACCAAGATAACTAGTGAAAATAAAGCAGTGGGCCATTGGAAACCAAAAAAGACAAAACCATTAGGCTACGGAATGGATACGCATCAATGAAGGGCGGGATCCAGCCTGGATACGCGTCGACTTCAGGCGGTGGCCCTTATTTTTTCCAGCTCAGGGTCGGATATAACGCCTCTGATCTCATGCTCTGTACTGAACAGGTGCGTGATATCGCGCTAAATCATCAAAGAACGGTCCCGGCAAGGTGCCTTAGACCGGGAAGAAAAGTATCAAGTCATAACACTTACTCTTGTCATGAGACCTGCCAGTCTACCTTCCGAAGTGAAGAGGACAAACGGGAGGTTGAGCGTTTGAAAAAGGCGAACCACCACCTCCAAAGGTGCCTCTTTCTTTAACCTCATCGCTGTCTGGTCCATGACCCGAGATAGATCAATAGCATCTCCTTCTCCCGGCAAGAACGTACAATTTGAGGGGCGGTCCAGATGCGACCGCCCCTCTACTGTGGTGCTATTCAGATACGGATCTGTTGCCCACGACTCAGCGCACACACAGCTATGTTAGAGCCACTTCGCACCTATTTCTTTCCGGAGATCGTCCCGTGTTACATAGCCAACTGGATACCCTTCGTCGACAATAGGAAACCCATCATGGTCCACCCTGTGAATGCATTTAACTGGTTGTTCATGTCATTTCGGGGCGCATCGAAGGGGAGAGGAAAGGAATCACCCAATTCATCCAAAGTTGTTATCCTTCCGTCAATCACTGCGAGCTCTCTGGTTGGGGTCATTAAGTCTTCCGCAATCTCTCCCCGGTCACGGAACTCGGAATTGGGTAAGAACGGATAGTTATGAAGTTTTATCCATGTCGTGTATATCCCGTCGGGGAACATGGAGTCTGCCACCCATTTCGACACCAATACTGCGACCATGATTGGGAGCTGGAAAGGACCAGTGCTTCAGTAAGGGCGGACACATTGAGACGAAGAGAACATACAACGTGTGATAGAGCCCCCGTCAACTACATATCATTCCGGCTTTATCAGCTTGGCCCTAAACAGGAGGGATAGGGCAACAAACCTCAAACAATATTACAACTATGGAAACTGGAAAACATGATAAGCATTCGTTTGATCGCATTAGATGATGGTGCACACTTGTCATCCTAGTGACTCCAGCGAGCATGGCTGCAGCGCCAATGACTGCGTAGAAGCCCGGAGATATGCACTGGCCCTCGGCGGGACAGGAGACAAAAATCCACGTCAAAGGCGCCGCCCGATGCCAGGCTTGTAGGAGCAGGCCTAGTGCACGTCCAAGCGAGGCACCAATTGCTAATGACGGAAGGAATATTCCAGCAGGCACCTAATTGTATCTCTGCATTAACGCTGCAGCAGAAGTCCCTAAATAGATCAACAACTACCTTCATCCCAAACGTCCAAGCCGTGAGGCCCAATTTTAGCCCAGACGTAATCACTAGCATAAATATTGTAGTCCATGCAGCGTTGATACTGGAAACGACAACATGAACATTAATTCGGCTTTGGGATGAGAATCAAACCGCTCACCTACAGAGACCCAGGGGGTCTATACTTGGATCACATTCCTTGAACAATTCGTCCACTAAACTGGAAGTCTGGACCCTACACCGATAGTCAATATCTTGGATGAGTCATTTTGGTTGGTGTAGATTACTTCATGTAAGGGATCTATTATAAGGCGGATTAGAGCGGGCTGGGCACCACTAATGAAGTATAATTACCAGGAAACTTATGATTGTCGTTATGGCCGTGACGCTGATTACCTCAACAAGAGGCCAATGCTTGAGAGAGCTGCGTTCCCGATGGGCAGCAATGCGGACATTCAGTTGAACGAACAGCGACCCTAAAACGCCCTATGAATGCAACTTGACTAAAAGCTCTTGGATGTGATGATCAATATGCTTACGCCCGTGGCACCCAAAAATAGCCAGGGGACCTAAAGTCATGGATAAGTAAAGGACAGGGCTCAACGAGAATCAGTGTTCACAAGCTCAAATGCCCTCCATTCTGACGTCGAATTACTGATCTAATGGTTGTCAGGCAGGCCGAACCATGTTTAAGAACAGGGGCATTTACCTGGAAAAGGACGAGCTTCCCTGTCCCAAACGGGTCCATATATTGCAACGAAACTAGGAAAGATCAAGCCGCAGGCCTTCAAGCTGCTAGCAGCCAGACACCCACCAGACGCAACAACAGAAGTGACAAATGCGGTCCATATCATATGTTCGTTCGAGAAGAGGTCCAATTCCTCCAAACCAAACAAGACACCACCCAAGGGACTCCCGAACGCAACCGAGACACCAGCTGCACTAGCCGCGGAGAGAATTAATCGTTTCCTCACTATTATGGGAGATAACAGATCAAGGTCCGAGACCTGACTCCAAACATCTAGCTAGCTCACGTTCATTCCGACGGAAGGAGGCAAAGAGGCGGGAGGCGAGTAACGCAATGCAGCAACTTACATGAACGAGCGGACCCTATATCGAGCCATTGGACAGCAAATAACTCTGTTGAAACAGCATGCATACCTCTTTACCAAGTGAAAGCCCAGATGCCACTGCAAGTGCCAGTCCTAGGGACTTAATAAGCAACGTCCAGGGCCCCAAGAAGGCATCCAAAACGTAACCATTCAATATCTGGCCATTGATTAAACAGGTTATTCGGCCGGCAAAGAAAACACTCACTGCTTTTATCTCTGGAATCCCAGTGTGGAATGCGCTTCGAAAGAAATGCCTTCAAATTGTACTCTAGACCTGGGACCTTTCCACTTACTAGGGGGCGTAACTTTTCACGAGGAATGCTGCAGTGGATGCATAGATCACCTAAGGATGGAGTGAGATTAGCCTGCTGTAACATAGACTTTACCCACTGCTAGAATCATATAGGCAGTTGCTTGGATAATTGATTGTCCGGCCAGAGAGGTGACTCCGAACCATTGGCTCCAAGTTTTCCATTGGGTGCAAGGTTCTCCGGCTGCAAAACAATATTAAGACAGATGATCGCAGGGTCAAGAATATTCCTACGATCTAACCCGCTGCAACAAGCCAACGCGTTGTATGCAATGCCATATCCACACCTCCCAGTGCGAAGATCATTCAGCCTATAAACACGTCAAGCCTGATTTCAGGATGCGGTGCCGTAGACATACCAATGAACTAGGATGTCTAAAGTACCCCCGGCAAAGCCCACGCCAACACCTGTGTGTTTCATCAATACCCTTCGCAACTTGCGCCCAACATTTTCGAAATACCAGTCGTCATCACAATGAAAATCATTTGTAATGAATCTTTGAGAAGCCGTAACGAACGTTGTCCGACAGGCAGTGTTTGTAGTATCGCCTCTCTCGACCTCTCGAGCTCCAATTCACGGCGCCAATCTATCAAGAGTCACATCGACGGCACCCAAGGTAAAGAGCACCACGCACCAATAGTGCCCCCTTGTGAATACCTTTTTTGGCTTAAAGGTGCATTCACTAAGCGCACCTGGTAGCTGTCCTCGTGAGCGGAACGGGGCACTTCGACCAGGGCTGCGCGAGGCGTGATCTCATGCAACGCATCCTCTTGGTCCATCCACGTCGAAGTGTCTCCCCAGTCTCCTGAATGATGAGACGATCTTTGACTGTAGTCGGAGTCCATTAAAGTTTGAATGTCAAAACGCGCGTTGAGTCGCACCAAAATTGGACTGAAGGTCTCTATTCAAACGTGGATGTGTTTCCCACGAATTGAAGCGCCAAACATCATCGAGTCCCAAATGGAGGTATGCTCCCAGCTCGTCAGCGCGTATATGATCTCGGAGAATGGGGAGAACGTCGAGCAGGTTGCCGCGGGTGAGTACTGGCCCCAGATACCATCTCGATCGTACCTGACTTCAGACCATTTCAGCGCTGCAGAATGGGGAGTTCACTTTACTACAGCTTGTCCAATCTTTGGGGGAATATATCACAGCGATTGAACCAGACATACGTTCCAAAGGTGAATACTTTGAATTTGCGAACTGGTGAGGTTCGTATCATATGTATCCTCTAGGCCTTGACTTGTTAGTTCATGTCATTGGTCAATGCCCGCCAAGCACTCTTTCAGCCCAATCAAGTGCGTTTGCCATTTCCAGGTCCCGCGTGAATTCACTATCTCTAAATATATGCGAAGCCCGTGTTCTGTCAACTTTTCTCAGTGGCAAATTGGATGACTACGATACCATTGAGCCTGCGCTCAAAGGCCTTGCGGTATTAGTTGGACATCCTACATTCTCTGATGCATCTGCATCAGAAGTCGCTATATCGTGAGTGGTTATCGCCTTGAACATGGACAAAATCTCATAATCGAGCTTAGAATTTTTCAGCACGTCCGAATGAGGTCATTGACCCAGGCAGTTAGGTACAATGTATTTCGGATTCTCGATTCTCTGGTGCAGAATCATAGACAAGGCATTTCCACTCTCTCATTCTATTTTTTGAGATTTCTTACGAGTTCCACAGCCATGAGATTGCTCGATCGCGACTTCGTGTCCGGATACGTCTCAATCGCTGAGGGCGAAAAGGACCCTCGCAGCCTTCTTCTCTCATTCTCGGTCGTGCGAGTTCTGTTAATTGAATTTCCTATCCAAGCCCATATTGAGGTATACCTGCATGCTCAACTCGAAGAATGGCTTACATTCTGACTGGTTCATGGATCGATAGAACCTCTTTGACGTCACCTTCTGTTATTTCCCGATAACCTTCAAGCCCCCTCCTGGAGATCCTTACGGGATATCGGCAGAAGATCTTAGAACTTCACTTCTGTTCGTATCGTGATCTTCGAGGACGGAGCGATGTGTGCTTACAAGACTTCCAGCTCATGTCTAAACGCCACCCCTCTTTTCGGCCCACTGGCGCTTCCCCTTTTCCTCGAGAAGCTGTCTGCGAGCTCGGGGAGCCTAAAGGTCCGTCATCATCTGTCTTAACTCGACAGCTTCCACTCAGCCCTCCGACCTTAGCGGATTATTTTGGATACTGTGACCGCATGTCTTCCTGTTTACGGAAGAAATATAGTTCGCGATTTTGGGAGTGATTTGTGGGAAATATTCAAAATCGAGGTATTATGTTTCTCGCCTCGGCTTGCAAATTCTCATTGGCGAGTCAGATTTTTCAGCCAGCGGACCCTGAAACAGAAGCTTGTTCCATGCGGGCGGTCCAGAGCCTCGTGCGAACCCTTTACCCCCCAAGGGCCGGGGATTCTTCAGACCAGTTAGACGGTTTGATTGAGGACATGGTGAACGAATGCAAGACTATCGTACGTGAGCCGGAGAAGAGCCAAGCCAAGCATGCAGTGAAGCTCCTCGGGGCACTTTTATGCACACAGGTACCGTTTCCTCATCTTCCCTTGTCGATTGAAATTAAAACCCCGAAGCTGCAATCAGGCGCTACGCTATAGAGGAAGTCTTTCCTCATCTGTTTGTCCTTTACCGCAACCCGGATGAAATTTCGTTTCGGGCCTCCACGTTAACTTGTATTTCGGCCTATTGGCGGCACTTGCGCAGGGGTTTTCGGAGGGTTTTGTAGAGGTAACAGAGAAACCCCTCTCTGGCTTTGAGGAGCAACTGTTTAGCTCGTTGGCCGGAGGATTGAAAATAGCGGCTGCTCGTCGCCCTTCAATAGAAGGGCTCCTGCAGTTGGTGAAAGTACCAGGGGTTTGCTCAGTCGACAAGCTCCGATTCATCTCTCAGAGCATGAATGAAATCCTCGTCTCTGATTCTCGCGACGTTGAACTTGAGGACCTTCGGTATGCTTTTAGTCATGCTCCTTCAGTATGTTTAAAGCTTAATGAATCCAGGCCAACAATTCTAGAGTTGCTTACCGAACTGGCTAAATCTTCCCCAAAACTGATTCAAGAAACTACGCTTCCAGCCTTGTTTGAAGCCTCCCTGGATCCTCTCCACCAAAACAAGAGCTTACTGAACATGTTCGATACCGCCGCATTCTCGCATCTCTATCTGCTCTCTGCCCGTCACCGTCTTTGTTTGAAACTTTGGTCATTAGATTGACCTCCAAGCTGGATCTCTTGTGCCGCCCCCGGCCAATCGACCTTGATCTTGAGGGGGATGCAGCGTACGCATATGCCGTTCTATCCACTGTGAAGGATGTTATCACAGCGAAGGCGCAGAACAAACACCTTGATTTGCCGAAATATGGAGACCGTTTGGTGGTTCCGCTTTACAACATCTTCCTCAAAGCTAGTATCTCGCCTGAAGATGCGCACTCGGTGGCTACCAACACAAAAGTGTTGTCGGTGGCAGCTAAGATTGTTACGCTTATTACTCGTACTCTCAGCCATGAGTGGGTCCATATTCACGTTGCACTTAACATGATCTGATTCGGGCTTAGTCGCCAGAGGACGCTGTTCACTGCTCTATTCCTGGCCTTTAGAGACGGGGACTTGGAGAGGTTAATGCCGGACCTCAAGCTACCTGAAGGCACCGGAAGATTTGACCCGTTTTCAGTAAGCCTTCACGGCACAAACCATAAAAACTATGTATCCACTCTAATCCCAGACATCTGCCCAACCCCAACAAAGAAGTCAAATTGTTTTATTCGCTGCCGCGTTATTATCTTCTCGTGCAGAGGTATATACTAGTCCGTGTCTCACAACAGGTATTCACGACTGCTTCCAAGGTGTCTCTTCCCTTCATGAACCCTTCCGAGGATTTTTTAAAATATTTGAATTGGTCTCTAAGCGACACAATAGAGGAACGTCTCAGAACTGCGGTGTGGCAATTCATGGCTACGCACGTCAACAAGAGGCCAGACGGTAGGTTTCTGTCTCCTACACGATGCATCCTCAGCCCAATCGCAATCATTAGATTTTATGCCCTTAACGACTAGACATTTACCTCAATTCTGGAAGGATGAGATTGGGTTAACTACTCAGGATGTCGAGCGTCGTAAGGCCGCTCTTAGGGGCTACATATGGGTTTGTCTTGAATCCTCTTATATATATCTACCTTACTCTTTCTCAGATTCACAAGGGTTTACTCGCACGCAATCACCCCGATACCACTCTAGGCATTAAACTCATCTTCACCGTATTCGATGACCCGCAAATCGGTTGGGACGCAGCCCGGGGTATTGGGGAGTTGGTCAAGGGTGGACGGGATGTACTGGTCAAAGAAAATTTTTGTTCAATTCGCGTGAGCACTATTGTAGTTTTCTCCCACAGTCACAGGAACCGAAGCGATTTGTAGCCCCTCTATGCACAGAGATTTGTCTCTTCTGTGCTTTTAACGTTGCTCGAAGGTTCAACTGCGAGAAATGGTTCGATAACGCCTTTATTGTCATTCCCATCATGCCTTATTAACGTTTGTCCAGAGGCAGCAAAACAACCTTATATCGTTGGATTGACGTGTTTAGTCACGTCCGTCCCAAAGGCGATGTACTCATATAAGCTTTCAGTGGTGCGCTGTCCATTCATTTGATTTCAATACTGCCCTAAGCGATCGTGGTCAAGATAATGCCACTCCTTTTACGAGGAATGGATCTACCGGATGAGACAATCCGGATCAACGTGGTAGATACTCTCTACGCCATGGCAAGCGACAAGTCAACGCAGACGGAGCTTATAGAAGAACATGCATCTGCCATTTTAAACGCCCTGCTTTTTAGCAGTGATCCTCGGCACTCCAAGAGCCCTGTAAGTTCGTGTCAGTTGCATACCTACATTTCTATGCAGTAATGGATCCTTCATGGAAGGCACTTCGGTGCTCTTCGCTCCGTTGCTTGGGTGTGTTGCCTTCCGCCGTGAAATACAGCGTGTTGCATCCCTACAAACAGAAGGTCATTGCACAACTCGGAAGGTTTGTTGATGACCCAAAGCGAAGAGTTCGCAAGGAGGCTGTAGATGCTAGGCACGTCATTTTTCTCCCGTGTCTGTTGGTTGCTGATGACGCCTCCGAACAGATCTAATTGGTTCATTGATTCGGCATGAAGTGCTGCAAACACTTGGTATATCAATCAACTATCATTTACGGAGCGCATCACGTAACAATAATAATGAAAAACCTCTCCCAACACACGAACCTCTAAACTCCAACCTGGACGAGTCAAGTATCGACGACGAAAGTGAGGTTGGCCCATTGTGAAATAAATGAAAATACCAGCAGGTTGTCGCAGCACTCTACAGCTGCGATTTCAGCGTAAATTATTCTCTTGAGTCTAGGCTCACCTTGTAGCCTCGTCAACCTCTTTGTTACAATCATCTATGGCGCGTTGGGGTGGGTCCCATACGCTGCCTTTCACAGCGAGCATCGCATCCATTGTTCCTGGTACCCAGATTAATAGTCCTCAGAGGATCCAGGATTTAGCCACCTTTGTCGATCACGACATCGAATGTCTCGTCCTCAAACTGAAGAGCGCGGATGTCCATTTCGATCCCTGACCAGAAGATTTTGAGCATGCGATGGTGACATTACATCGTGTCGAAAAACAGTATCACACATTGCATAGACTTTTCAGAATGTCGTTGAGCCATCTGATTGATTACGACCGAGGAATACTAGCTCCAGATTCCAGAATGAGAAACATTGTGGCCAAAGAGAAAGATTTTCCACGTACATCAGTATTCACTATATTAAGGAACCCATCTGAAAACATCTTCTCAGAGAGCGTCGAGTTTCCACAGCCTAGCATAAGAATCCTTGACTGCTTGTTGGGAATCAGCTCTTGCAGGAGATCCCGGATCTGGGAATAATTCCGAAACCAATCGAACGTTGCGGACGCATCCTCTTTCTGGTACCGCTCGTTCCTAGGACAAGACGCTACAGAAGGCTTCTTCGGTGCGACGGGGGACGCGTCTCTTACCAGTACTCGAGGGTCGAGTATTGCTCATTCCGGTCTGCCACCAGGTCATTTCTGAAAAACCCGTCACGTGGGCAAGGTCTGCCTGCTCGTTTCTCACGAGCCAACGCTACCCTCCACCATCGTTAACTTTCCTATGCGGCTCACGCTTCGCCAGGAATGGCGACCGCGTGCACTAGAATCGTTTTTGGGCTTCTTAGACATCAAAACAGGTTTGTGACATGCAGAGCCCGATTGCCCCGGTCTAACGAAACATGGTGCCTTCAGGCGTCAGCATCGTGGTGCTATTCGCTGTTAGTTGCATTATCCCATTCGAGGCTCAGGAGGTCTTATGCTACACTAGCTTTTTAACAAAGTTGCGGGATTTTATGGCCTGATTGCGATCTTCAGTGGTGGCAGTCTTGCTCAGATCAGCATGTACCTCTATTCGGTAATAGCCCTCGCTGTATTTTTTGGGGCCTGAAGATGGTCTTTCAGGTTTGTTTGGTTCAAGTGTATACTCCCCCGCATGCCTGATTAAAACCCTCGCAGGAAGACGCTAAGCGGACGTTCTACTTCGCGCATGCGTTCCTGGCTGATCACCTTCTTAATACGATATGGACTTTATTTTTTGCCGTCGCATGGTGGTATTGGAACCCGCATGACGGGAAACGGATCGCCAATTCTGCAGCACAGAAAGAAGTGATGGAATCTGGTGGACCCGCGATGACTGATGAAGAGCGCGCAACACAGGCCCAACAGATTTGGAATAAGGAAAAAGGCTTTGCTGCGGCTATTTTGATTACTGGTTGGTTATTGAAGGTGAGATTTGTTTCAGTCAGCATACACCTGATCACCTATCGCCATTTTAGATTTACTTTGCATCATTAATTTACTCTTACGCTATCCATTTGCGACGAGGGTCATATCGGTCCCTACCTCTTACGAATCCTAATCCAGATCCCTACCGGTCACAAGCCAACGTCCGTGAGTACGAATCAAACGATGAAGAAGGATATCCGCGCTTCGGTGCGGCACCTTCTGCACACGCAGCTGGGTCACCACGAAGACGACCAAATGGGCTCAACCTTAGCTCCTCGGGACCGAGCAGGCCGTCCGCCAAGATTGTCCAGGATCTCGAAGCGCCAATTGAATCAGTGCTGTGGGACGAAGAAGGCGAAGAAGGCGAGGTCGAAGCGAGCGGCAGAGTCCCTGTAATGACTGATATGTCAGGCTCATACGGCCGTGAGGGTGGGAGTGAGCCTACGGACAGTGGAAGCGATCAAGGCGATATCACATATACCACACAAACAGGAGATTCGCGGCGTCAGCGGTAGCCAGCTAATGTATACCTGTCTTCTCTCTTGTGAATCCGTCTCGCAGTACCGGTGGTACCTCCTGTGGGCGATTCTTGGATTGATATGCTCGATCGCTTTGTGCTAAGTTCTACCGACCGATTTCGCTTTTCCTGGATATGTCTACCTGGCTGATGCTGGGCATGTGGATGGAGATATCCTTGTTGCCATATTCCGATGCTTCAATGGGTACACCAGCACAAGCGGCGCAGGGCTTTTCAGTTGTCCATGGGATATGTTTCAGCTTCCGCTAAATGCATAGCATATAAATGATTTATGTATCGGAGTGGGTAAACCGCGAATGATCAAAAGGTAGCTTGAACATCATGGTTTTGCGACTGTAAATATAACCCTTTTCACCGATGTCTCTGAAGAGAATGGTAGCCCACTACAAGTTGTTACGGGTCGCTGAGCGTGTGTGTAGCCAGAAAGAATGTTTTTGGTAATCGGGACTTCGCCCAGGTGGAGCATTGCCAACACTAACACTTGTAGAAGGTGCAGAACTTCAACGAGGTTAATTGGTTTCACAATGGAGCTGGTGGGACCTGGTTTCATGAAAACCTCCTTGACAAAAACAGCCTGGCTTCAAATTTACATCACGCTAAGATATACGCAAGTGTGCGTATTCTCCGAGTTCTCCGAGCAACAGGTATGTAATGGTCACCGAAGTCGTGCCGAACGCAACGTGACGATGATGAGACAGGCTATGGAATTCGCAATGATACCTTTTCAAAGATTTGCCTCGTCAGCGTTGAGGACCAGATGGGTAAAGAAGCGGATTTGATCATGGTAGCCGTCAATGCGAATGGCTGCGCCTAAATGTTGAACACTGCACTCCAACAGCAGCATCAGAGCATACCTTCATTTACACTGTGCATGCCTCCGTTCTGTGGCTGATTCTTAAGTGGTCGTATGTCCTCCGTCCCTAAGTGATTATACCGGAAGATGTGTGGAGTCAACTTCCAGAAATACTTTGTATCTAGCAATGATTTAAAATGTAAAAACTCCGACCGACCCAGGTTGGAGAATCATACCGGTATTAGCTACGGAGTGCTCCAATTAAACTAATCAGGCACTGTCTGAGGATAATCGCACCACGCACCAGGCATTATACCCGGAGCAACAATGAGAGGCTCCTCAGAGTCCTTGCCTCTGCCCGTCTCCCAAGTCTCGCGTATCGTACCAGCAAGTAGTTGGAATGGGGCAGAATCAGGCGGAGATACTGGAGCAGGTTCCAAGTCATCATCCAAAAAGTGTGAAAGTGTTAACTGGCCAGCAGGATCAAGCTCTGTAGTAACGTTAAATCCGAACGCCTCGAAATCCAGCTGCAACCCGCGGGCAATGGGTGTCAGCTTGTCGACTATTGAGGAATGAGTAGAATTTACGGAACTAAACGATGAGGTGGAAAATGTGGGTAGAAGACACCAAGGAACAGCGAAGCGAAGTGAGCGTCTACCTGTCTGTGGCAATGCGGTGATTGATCAGGGCCCACGCCAGTTCTGGCAACGCATTGACTTTCACTCCACCCCCGATAAGGTCGATGGCTTGCGTTGTGTGCAAGTAAATGCGGTTAACATCACCTCCTCTGAGGCAAAAAGAAGCTTCTCGGCCCTCTTAAGTGCTTTATCGTTGTGAAGACTCCTTCGAAGGGCTCTCTTCAACTTCTCAGGGAAATTGGGTGAGTGCTCGGCCTGGCATTGGTATAGTTCATATAGAGGGGAGGTTCGGGTTAAATGCGCTGGTTCGGGATTTTCTTCCAGGTGAACGAGAGCTAAGGCCAGCAGACCAATGCTTGTATGGGTAGGAGGTACGCTTGAATGGCCGCCAGGACTAGCAACAGAGACTTTTACGTTGGTATAACCCTTTTCCGAGATCCCCAGTGCAGCAACTCGAGCTCCGAACGCTGTTGTTTGTGCGGCTATAGGAGGTCATGAGAAAGTTAGAAGGTTCTCAACTTCAAGCAGCGCTGCTTACGCCCTTCATCTACAAGCATCGCAAAATAGTTTTGCCCATATGTGGAGAGGAAATGGCTGGCAATACGTCCCGCGCCCTGTATACATCCCATCGTCAAATCGTCCATTCAGACTCTTGAATTAATACGTACAAAATGCCCGCCGATTTCTTCGTCGAACCCAGAAACAAAGAAGATTGTCCGGGTAGGCTTGTATCCATGCTTGAGTAAAGTTTCCAATGTAATCCTGAAAGAATGATCAATATGGAAGACAATAGAAAAAGAACTTAGACTACAGGATTGCAATCAGTGCCTGTTTGTCGTCCCAAGTTCCTCGCCCCCATAAAAACTTTCCTGAAGGCGCATGTCATTGGTAAACCACAGATCGGGGTCGATGAGCCGATTCGCACCATCGAAGTAGCCAGAAAAGGGTGGATGAACCCATTGGGTGACAGTATCTTCTTGCACTGGAACTACGTCTGGAGAATAATTTCCTGAGCGATCGAATCAGCTCGGCATTCAACTAAGCGAACCTTGGTGCGCCATAAGAAGCAGCGGTTTCAAGGACGCATCAGAACCTTCCCAACGATAAACAAGCCCGTAGGTATTAATATTGGTAACTTCGAGGCGGCCGTGTCTGTGTTGCGGTCAGATGAAGCAAAACATCGGACGTCATACAGGTAGAAAACGTACACAAGAGGGAACGCCTCCTTCAAGTAGCTATGAAATTCCCCAAAGACGTCCCATCGGGAATCATTCCCTACGACTCGCATATCATCGTAGGTCACAGTCCTACCGAAGTGTGTATTGGTTCCTGATCGCAGCGAGCAGACGTAGGCCATTGACCCACTTTATTTGAACAGCTCCTCTGAGCCATTCCACGACACGCAACTTGAAATCACCGGTGACATATTCGCTCTCAATATCAGCAAGAAGGTTCTTGTGGACTTGGGGTGACAATGCCGGGGCTTGAGGGCAAATTGGAACAGTGTGAGGCACACAAGTGGGAGCTCTGTTGAACACTGGGCCATCAAGTGACTCGATATCAACATGGAAGCCTGTCCAGAGTAGGGCTAAGACAAAAGCCAAAAGAAGAATTATATTCCATTTGGGGCGTCTGTCGGTGGATGTCGCCTGTGCTTGAGTCGGAAGAAAAAGCTTTTGCTTCCCCATCGGTAAAAAATGCTGAGCACCAAGTCTACTTTAGTAGAGGCTGGGATCCTGCCCAAGGTGATGAACAGCAAAAATAAAGGTAATCCCGAGAAACAGTGCTGGTGCTGGATGCAGTGGGCTTGAAAAGCTCTTACAATGGTCACAGGATATGCGAGTTTTGCAGGGTGCAATTCGCTGATTGCGAGGCGGCTCTCAAGACTAAACCTTCAGGCAAGCGGAACAGCACCAAAACGGCTTTTCTTCAACAACATAGACACCAAACAACGTGACTTTTGCAGGGCCTAACTCGCTGAATGGGAAGTTAGACATCGATCACAGCAGCCACTTAGGCAGGACCCAGTTCTATATTAGATGCAGCCACCAAAAAAGGTGACTATTGAATAAACTGCACTCCCCGGGCCAGGACGCGCAACCGAAAAACCATCCCTACCTCATGAGTATGTGTACTAATTATCCTTTTGCGACTGTCGGATAAAGTACCTGCAGGTCCGCCCGAAATGAGCCCGGAGATATTCAACAAGCAGCAGTAAAATCCGGCCAAAGACCAGAGAATCTATGAATGTAACCAACCCACTGCGTCACCCCGGAGGTATTGACACGCTAGTCCTTCCGAACTGACATCCAGCGGGCTCTATTCTAATGTCGCGTTTTGTGGTTGTAGGTCCCTAATTCGCTCCGATTTCCGGGTGGCCAATTGCAGTCCTCCGCTGATTAAACGCCTGCTCAAAGTCCGCAAGATTCCCTCCTCCCCGACGGTGCAAGTGGGTCAATATCAACATCTCCGATCGTCTTGCCCTTGCAAATAGCAATCGGTGAAAGCAACCCTCCCGTGGCATCCTGCACGTCAAATGGATTCAGATTACAATTACTTACACGTGCCTTTGCTGTAGCGTTGCGCTCTGCAGGATGCAGACCGCAAGTGACGTTTTTGGGCGGAACGGCTTATGAGCTCAAGCAAGTCCAAGGGGCGGAGAAGTAGTACGACCATCAACTATGTACATATTTACAGCGCGCGGCTAATCAAACGCTTTGTCGTGAGATTACCAAACGAATTACAATCTAGCCCAAATGATCCTCAATCTTAATCGATGACTGTCCAGCGGAGTGTCGCGTTGGTCGTGCAACGCACCGTTGCCGGCTGCCATTATTGGTACACTCTGATCCTTCGTTCACGACTCAGCTGCCTTCCAATTTCCCAACGAATTTCCATCCCTCAATGTAGCTGCTTCCTCAATTGGAGGTTCGTCGTAATTTGGTTCAGCAGACACAGATCTCTGGCGCCGCCTTTCGGCCAGCGGATTGAGAATGATCCGGCACAGGACAACGACCCCATCCAAAACCTTCCATGAGCGCGTCCGTGCGGAAAAGGCCAAAATCAGTTTCCATCGGAAAGATAGGTGAAACACGATGATGTGTTCCACACTTACAATGACGGCGATATAGCTCGCGCTGGCTGTCACGTCGAAGTGTTTCCGGAAGACGAGAGAAAGTAAGGAAAATACGCCACCGAGGATGTCAATGATCATGAATGTCATAGATATTCCTAGGGAACGGACCAATTTAGGAGCCTGAACGAGGATTACAGGGATTTGTTACCTCTGACTTCGCCCAATCTCCAGATCTCTATGTATTGGGGTCTAAAGAAATGCGAATAGTGTAAGGGGAGGGCGAAGGGGATGCAAAGATATACTCACATCAGACCTACGGATATCAAGGCGGCAGCGGTGATTCCGAAGGATTGTAAAACTTGCTTTCCCGAAGACTTGTTGGAAGACGCCTGATAAAGAGAACAAGCAGGCGAGTACGTAGGATGAAAGCCCCTGTAGGGTGCAACTCGCGGGCCTCGGAAGACATGCGAGCACACGGTGAGAGGGAATTTAACTCGCCAGAAGTGCTCGAATGAGACAAGTCATCCCCGCCTCAAATCCAGCAAATAAGCATAGGTAGACCAGCAATACTAGATAAGCCATGCGCTTGGGTAACCTCCCGCTATAATAAAGGCACTGGAAACGAGTGTAGAATGGCTTTAATGACACAAAGCGTTGAGCGAAACAGTTACACTTACCTGGCACCACGACGCGGCCGCCAAAGCGCCAAACAACTGCGGCTGTATTATCAAGGGTATATTTATACGTTGGACGATATTGTATGTGCCTGCAGCCGAAAGTTAGACGATTCATCGGTTGAAAGAGGCAAAGCTTGCCTAGGAATACTGCCGAAGTTGCCCACATGAACCTGAGAAGCGAAGAATGATCACTTTTATGGTACAAGTTGGTTCACAGGCAGGAGCGAACATTAATAAGCCAGAGAGACCCTCAGTCGATTTGGTCTTCCAACTTTCCCACAACTAGAGAATTCCACAGTGCATGAGACGCCGTAGAGGTGCGCGGGAGCCAAGACATTCGGAAGCCCACCTGAGGCAAAATCTGGCCGGTCCAGAGAATCGTCCCAATCGTTCCAAGTACTACCGATCAAGTTAGTTGCTCCAACATGAAGATGCCGAGCGGATGTGCGACAAAGATTCTTGGCGTACCTTGCTCGAGTCGATCGTTCTTGTACATCTTTATACCAACAAGGGATCGAAGAAAACCTTCTGGAGGGCACGCTAGAGGCTAACGATGGGATGAATTCCAGAGAGAAAGATGGGGAGCGGAGTTGAACTAAAATGAACTGGCATACTTTATAGACATAGGCATATTCGCACTGAGCCACCCGCGATGATGAAATCAAATTGTCATTCATTTTCCTGGTGAAGTTTGGTTAATCCTTCTGCCGATCAAGCGATATTGACCAGCATCTCTCAACCCTGGACTGAGGACTTTACGCTGGGTAGAACCACAAACGCTTGCATCACATTCCTCAAAGACCGTTCAAGTATCAATACCATGGCCATAGGGTGAGGGGCCAGCATCTCGTGCTGGAACCGAAGTAACGGTACCGGGAAAGGCACCCACGTGATCGAGGGGAGATGACTAACGGGCAACGAGATGCTGATCCTATAATCAAGCCATTAGCCTCACTCGAGCGCTCGCGGATCACTTTTGCGGGTTGGACTACGGCATGCATTCCGGCATCAACGTAACAGATGAATTACAAGGTACATCTTGACTATCAAGATGATCTTGGGCGGTCAGGGGAAAGGTTCAGGCCGCAAATGTCCGGAATTGGACCGGATGCCGTCACGAGTGACCTAACCGGTGTTTCCACCCAGAAACAACACTAGTAGTCTCGGAAATGAAGATAAGCCCCCCGTCTGGATCACCTGGGCTTTACGGCATACACGTACGCCCACCGTGTGTACATCCACACCGATAGGTCAAGCATCTCTGCATGAAACAAAAATCAGTACGACATGGACACAAAAGTCTGATATTGGAACATGCCTCGTTCAGCCCCAAACAGCATTTTACCGATGTTTTCGTCACTGAAACCCCGGTATTTGAGTGTGGGACGTAACGATCGTGTGAACTCCTACGATTGATCATAATAGTACTCAACGCAAGAGTCATGGGTGGCCATGCAAACGTGCAAATCAATGTGTTGGGAGAGAGAAGGAATTCAAGTATGTCAAAAAATGAAAGTCACTCACTAATGCATTTCGCCTCATCATTTCTCCAAGCTGTCGTATCCAGCGTGTTTCCACCTCTGTGTTCCCAATTGGCCATGGCCCAAGAGGAATGTGCATTAGCTGAACTACCGGGTTCGGCAATGATCCCGTGGCCATTAAAGCTCGGGAGTATTCGCTAGCTATGTTGCCGAAAACAGGGGAAGCGCCACGTGCAGCAAAATCTTGTCCCGCCTCTGAAAGTGCCGAATGTGCAACATCAGCCCCATGATCGTTTGGCGCGAGATAACGTACCATACATAATACGCGCCATCCACCCACGAGTCTGTGGATAGTGTCCATCCAATGACGCGGGTGTCATTGGCCGCTTATTATGGTCTAGTATGGGAGTTTCGCAGTCAATCACGATGAGGACGCCTCCGGGGCGTAGACAACGTTCCAACTCTGAGAAGAACCAATTCCGATCATTTATCTGACCGCCCATCGTATTACCGGTCAGTCCCCGCTGGATGTTGTATGGAGCGACTACTCACACCTCCACACATTGAGCGACAATGGACGACATCGAAGCAGCCATGATAGTGAGGAAAGCCAAGATTGGCCTAGAAACGGAGGTAAGGCGGGAGTTTCCTGTAGTAGAGGAACCGTACATCGTCGAATTCCAGCCTACGACCTGTTGAATCACTCATGATCGGAATTGAGACACGAGCGCGCTTACCGAAGATTAGGTGGTTGTGATGGAATGTCTGTACGTGGTGCAAGATCTACACCGACCACCTTCAATAGATGCATTAATTCATCGCTCTGATGGGTGTGAGAGTACCCACATGGACGTGAGGGAACTTTTTGGCCATCTCGATGGCCCTGTGTACTCGCGAATCTGTGGTGATTCGAACAGGGTGTTACGAATCGCTCACCAATGGCCAGGGCCTGATCCCACGTCAAGCACGGCTTTCTCGACCCCCCATTCATAGGCTAGTGTCTTATCTACAAGATCTCCGCCAGGATAAAGTGAATTAAAGACGTGATAGTGTATCCGATGCTGCAATCCGCTACGCACTCGGTTCAGTAGCCGTGATAAGCAACGTGTCAAGCTGGGGTGAACTCACAGACGATCAAATTCTACTTCGTCTGAGTAAACCAAGGTTAGTATGCGAGCATACAAGCGACGTCGCCGGCTGAGAGTACCCCGTACGTACGTACCTGCCGGTAAGAAGTATACGTCGCTTTGAGCATTGAAGACTCTTCCGTCAGACTCCCTTAGGAAGTCGCGCCCGTTTCGACTCGAACTATAGGAGAAGATCGACGGCTCTCTTGCATCAAACTCGGATACGTCCATATCAGATTCACTGTAGCTAGACGGGTCCGTGCTCTCAGGGGAGGGGGCCGGGGATTCATCTTCGAAATCGGAGTACACAGAGGATGACGAACTGGCGTACTGATGAGAGGGCATACTTAGTGATGGGACCAACGGGAATGGGGAGGAGCTTAGGTTGTTTCTCGTTCTCCCCATTTTTTCTCCCCTTCTTATACATGTTCAAACCGACTTACAGAACCCAATGATATGTCAGTACGTCGGCGGAAGAGCAACTACTGAACCGAACGTTCTGGGTGGCTGAAGGCTGTGCGAATTTGAGCGATATTTGGGATAAGCCGCAAGCCATATGGCGACATGTAGCCTTTGCCATGATGGATTTAGTCGACTTGCAAGCGAATCCTCGGCGGAGCAATTCGATTCACCTTCCCAACCCGTTTGAATATCTTTGAGCTTCTCATTCGTTGGCCTGCTCTTTCAGTATCACCTCTCCTTCCTGTGTTGTAATTTGTGGTTAACTCCTGGACGGGGACTACGGAGCTACGCTTTCACTGGGACTGGTATTATTCGACTCTCATGTTCTTACTGTCTTTTCGCGTTGACTGACAAGAAGATGAACTGGGGCGTGTTTCTCCGCCGCCGCCTCCGAGCGTCCTATTTAATCGACAGCAAGGAAACAAGGAATACACATTCTTCCGCGATACATAGAACATTTATGCGTAAACGAGCACGTGGGCATGCATAGGATCATATTGGTTTGTGTATCTTTGGGTTGCCTTCAGTTTCTTCATCGGTCAACGAGGTCTAGCTTTCCAGTTTACGATCATGCCGCGGAGTTGTCCGAATTATATTGTTATATGGCTACCGGTTGCTACCGCCGGTACGCTTTGCGACCTCTCAAGCCGCGGAGCTTCCGAGGCGCAAGCTCCTGCTGACTCTAAATCTATTGATCCATATGCCCACGGTGCTAGCAGCCTAGATTTCAGGTTTCTTATGCCCAATTATTGCAGTTTCTCTCTCCACAATGGCAAATGCACGATAGAGACTGGATCTGGCCCCTGTTTTCAGACCGATGGAGGGCGGTGGGCGCAGTGTTCGGCTTTGATACAAAGGGTTCAGATGTTAATCTGGATATCTTGATCGAGATCATTCTCGATCGGTACTTGCCTCCAGTTGGCTCCTGCGAAGAATCCAGCTTCTGTTGGTGGATATATGTATCCAGTCTCCAGAACAGCCGTTCCAGGAATCGTGGGCACCCAGCCTTCACACTTCACAGGCAAGGCCTGATCTTTAGGTTGTGAAGCTCATCAAACAACGCACTCATTCGCACTTTTCTTCCAGGGCGGCCGCGCTGAACGTGGGTGGCAGGACTTCGTTCAGCCAGAGTTCACAAGTTTGAGCACTAGTGCGATTCGATTCGATCAGCCAGTGTCCGAGAGACTTTTGCTATTGGATGGGGGGCTAAAGCCAAGGCCGAGGCAAGCCACCCCTTTGCAGGCTCAGTGCTCTAGGAAGCAGCAGCAGGGACGCGGCGGCGGAGATCGGGAAAATCGGCCTCGCTCTAAACTGGGCTGTATAATGTATTCATTATAATCGGGTAGCTGTAAAATATATACTTAAACAACCAGAAGCGGCCTTTAATGTTGGCAAACCATCACCAAGTCTCGTTATCAAACCGTTCCAAGATGGTTGCGGACTCGGCAGCATCTTTCTGGGCCTTTTTCCGCATGTAGAAGATCGGACAATCTTTGCTCGTACACAGAACATCCTACCAATCAATGGGAAATTAAACACTCGCCATTGACTTGCTCGCCTGGGAAAACTTGCCTGATGCAGAGACCCTTGACACCGCTGACATTGAGTCCATAAGCGCGCAAAGGCCACTTGTGTTGACGAGGCTTGTGCCAACTGTAAAATATACATCATCATCATGGGTTAGTGATGACATATCTCTACCGACCTGTTTCTGGTATAATTCGCCAAGCCTCGGTCGACAATTGTTGCAAACTGCAGCACCTGGAAAGTGTGAGCGCAACTTGGTCAAACACGGACAAAGGCAAGCTTCATGTGTTCTCTCTACCTTGTGCGACACTATTTTTTGGGGTCAAGGGAGTTTTACACCCCAGACATGTAACCGTTTTCACAGCGAATTTCATTAGACCGCCCACCGTAGGCGTGGCAATTTGAATAGTGCGAGTGTGATCGCCAGATACTGATCAGTAGGAGCAAACGTCAGCGTGGGATGGAAACAGAGCACGGAAAATTTTCCGTACATAATGAATTAGCATTTGTTTCTCCCATGATGGGTTCGAATATACGCAGGAGTGGCTTGGAAAGCTGGTTTTCTAGGTAGTATTTTGTGTCGATAGGGATATTGTTTTCCAGAACATAGAGCGGGTCTTCGGATTTTTCGTAAGCCGCCGCACCTGTTGATGAAATTCATTGAACGAGGAAGCAATTATTCGACAATCATGGCGGCAGGCACGCACCTTTGATGCCTTTGATGATTACATATGCAACACGGTCTCCCAAACTTGGGGCCGAGCCTTCAAGATGCCTATCAAACCATTGTGTTCAATCAATACTTGGATTGCAAAACTTACCAGCGTCTCGCTGCTTCATTCTCTCGGCCAATTCGACGTGCGCTTGCTTTCCAGCATAATCTTTAAGGCCCGAATGGTATTAGTGCTTGGATGGCAATTCATTCCACTGAATGGCCAACCTGTCTTGGAAAGCGCTTTTGTGATGACCAATTGTGACATATCCACTTTGTTCTGCAAAAGGTCCGAGATTGTCTGCTTCACGTACCTAACCCCAAAAGAGAGATAAAGGCGAGTCATCATCATCAATTGTAAAACCTACTGGGTAGCCCCGTCAACATCTCGACCGATCAACAACTTTTGCAGACATGTTTCGATCACGGTCTGGACGAGCCGGCAGTTATCTCGTCTGACGGTCTATTCCTGTGTGTGAATGACATGTTTCTCACTCCAGGTCTGATGAGATGCAAACCTCGATTCCCTTTGTGTCCATTTTGTCAAATGCAGTAGCCTTTGTCCAGTAGAGGCCAGCATATCGCTTCTTGCTGATAAGTAGATATGGAAAGTATACCTTCTCGAATTCGAGTTTGATGGGTTTAATGAATTTGGATGTGACAAGTTCCGCCGCCTCAGCTCCTTTAAGAATGGATTAGGGCAGTTCTTACGTTGGTAGGAGCACCCAATACACGCCTAAAGCCATGACCTTCTCTAGATCTTTGGGTCCAAATTTGACCATAACGGAATCTGTGTCGCCATAAATGACCTCTGCATCATGCTCGCGGCCTTTATCCACGCTATATTCGGCCTCGACAACTTGCTTTGTCTTTTCAATCATCTCTCGCCCGTACGCCGTGACAGAGGAAGAAATGGCAAGGCAAGGAAGCCTCCCAATCGTGGCTCCAGTGAATCCGTAGACGGAGTTTGCGCTGATCTAACGCAGCGAAAATGCATGAGCCACCGCTATTATACGCAGGGAAAGAAGTCGACCTTCAAGGCGAGCTGCCTGCCATCTAGAACGGCTCGTCTGAAAGGATCCGTCTCTTTCTTCAAATCAGCCTTGGCGCGTTTCCGGGCCGTCAACAAATCTTCCAGAACGGTTGGGAGTAATCCCTTTCGGCGTTGTGTTGTTACAAAGAAGTCTGCGGGTTTTGAGATCAGCTGCTGCGCATTGCCGATATGAGGCGTTTGCACTTACCATTATTTGGAGTTTGCACATAATCCACATCCTTGACAAGTTCTAGTCGTTTAATCGTGTCCATGTCGATTAACGTAGTATAGCATAAGTTATGGGCCATCATGATGGAGGGGTACAGAGAGCTGAAATCGAGGGTTGCAATCGGGACATCATAGTATCCCTTCAAAGGTTCGATGACTGTCGCACCCTCGTATTGATCGTCCGTGCCTGGAGACCATTAGCGTCGTTGTTGCCTATGGGAAGAAATAACACATACCCTCTCCTTTCATTGACGGCACAAGATAGTCATCCGAGTTGGCCTTGCGATACAGCTGTGAAATGACCTTGATTTGTTGGCCCTTAGACAACAAATAATTAAATGGAACTCCTGTCACTCGAGCCATTTCAGTGTAATTGACTAGGCACAGCAATTTGTCCATCAGTCTCTGCGGCAAATAGGCATCCTATGTGGGGCGTTAGCCTGAGCCCAGCAGAAGTAGGGCCTACAGAAACAACTCGCCTTTAAACAATACACGGCCAGTCGCCTTCGAGAATCCGCGTTGCCATTCTGTAACTCCGTAATGACGCTGTGGTGGACGTCTTCCTTTTGTTCACCCAGGAAATGTGCACAGACAGCATTAAGAGTGTAGCTCCGAAGTTTCTGTTCTCTTTGCATGTATTGAAGGACGTCAAGCTGTATCCTCCCATCGAGTAGGGTCTCTTTGGTGTCCCTCTGGCCATATGCTTTGGACGAAAAGTGGGTATCCTTAGTGATTGTCCTGACATCTGTGCAAAACTGAGTAGCAGCGGTAGCACAAGGACCTCAAACATACTGTTCAGCCTTCCCAAATATGCAAACTTATTCTCTATGCCCAATGCCCTCGAGCGATCCAGAAGATAGGGAAAATCAAAATTTGCGATGTTGTATCCGATGACTACGTCTGGATCGACCTTCTCAATGAAATCGCGCCAACCGATAAGCAATTCTGGCTCTCTGGCGTATTGAATGACGTGCGACCCAACAATATGCGCACACGTATCAAGGGTAAATACGTTCCGGATGAACGGCTGGGTTTCGCCTAAGTCGAAGAATTGGCATTGAATTTGGAGACGGAATCCATGGAATGCTACCTTGTCGTGTGACCATGTTTGCTATTTGAATTACCCGATCCTTCTCCGGTTCGGGAAATATTCCCTTTCGCCCAGCACACTCAATGTCGAAACTAAGGATTCGTAGCGGAGCAATTTTTGACCATTCGCCTTCGGGTGTATGGGAGATAAACGAGTCATATCGGAGGTCGATTTCGATTTGGCAAGTCGAGATTTTCTTCGAGCGCAATTTGTATTTCCCGGCAGGCACTTCGATCCAGTTCATGCCCACAACCTGAGTGTCGTCAAGCTAGGTTACGACAACTTGATGCGAACTGTTGCCTTACCTTGGTATCAATCATGAACCGCAACGTGAACGCAATATTGGACTCATAGGTAGTCACACCATCCGCGGAGAACAAATCCCGAAAGCGGACTTCCCCACGCTCGAATGCGCCGCGAACCTTTGGCAATAACTTCGAGTTGCTGACGGTCAACTTTAAGAAGAGAGGCTTGTTGTCTCCTCGGTAGCCCCATAGACTGCGCTTCTGTACGACTTCAACCAGGAGAAGTGCGCCTGGCTCAGTGATATTATTTATGTGCTCCCGAAAAGGTGTCAAGTCTTCAGATGTGAAGCCTCTAGGTGTCGCCACATAGAAGTAAGGTAAGAAGTGAGTGATGTGGGCGAGTACACTGTGACCGGCCTTTATAGGCATCAAAAAGATGTCAGCTATGAATGAGTTGATGGCGCACGCACTTCTGTGACACCGAACATTCGAAAAGTCGGGGAGCCACCAAACAGAGTTCCTTCCACGTCGATCTGCTGGAAGACTGGACAAAACGCTTGAGCACCGAGCGCCAATGCAAGTGACCGCACATACTGATGGTATCTTTCGACTCATCTACTGGGCTTAGATAGGGACGTGCCCAGTCTTTTGCTCCACCTTCGGAATCTGTCGTCACCAACAAAGTAAGAACGTGATTTTGTGGAAGCAGAGAATGCACGTACCAGCGTCCCCAGAGTCATTCTTGAGCTTTTCTAGTACATTTGTAAACGAGGTTGACTTAACGTTTGCAACGCCAACAAGAGTGGGTTCGCGCTCAAGCTTGCGTTTCTTTGGTTCTGGCGCGTTGCCAGCTTCTGACTTAGGCCTGGAAAATGAACGCGTCAAGTCGTGTATTGCCTCAAGCTATGGCCATTTCACGAACCTTGAATTTCCTTTTGAATCTGGGGACACCATTGACGAGAGGTGGGAGGAAGGGCGATGAGTCTGACTTATCGCCACTTTGCACGTGATGGCTTGGATATAACTCAACAGGCTGTCACGCGTCACACGAAATTGAATTAAATATTAACACAATTGATTTGATATGAAGCTTCCGGCAATTCCCGGTGGCCGTGGGAACAGCTCTTGGTCTATAACTAGAGTGCTCGCCTTGCTTCGCCAAACCTGCACAGCGTGCATGCATTAATTTAGCATAAATAAATACTTTCAAGCAGATAGCATCCCCGGCCCCTTCGATGTGTAAGAGCTTTCCTTTGTCTACTCATCACACTGCTTTCATCTTACAACTCCCTTCGTCATCATTCTTATGTCTTATTCATCTCCCCCTCCTAGCCTCGCTGCCGTACTCTGGAGAGAAGAAATAACCGATATAACCGAGATAAATGAATGACCAGAGAAAATATTCGCACGTTTTCAGCGTCAGAAGTTACGTAATTGTGGGCTGGGGAAGTGACTCTGCTGTGCAGGTAACTGGGATCATACTCCCAGCTCAACAACCATGGTAAGCGATGCAAACTTGGTTCGACAAATTGACTTGAGCTAATACACGCATCGGATGGTTGCTTAGTCCGGCCATCCAGCTTTGACTATGGTAAGCGCTAATCACAAGATACATGGGGTATGGGTCTCGGTACTAAAGCAGTCGAACAGGCTATCATTACCTTAGTCGGTGGCGTCACAGGCTACGCAAGAACGCGCTCCGTACCTTCCCTTGTTGCTGGAGTCAGTTCCGCGTGTCCGATTCAGTGTGAATGATGCCATGCGCTGAACTGCGACTTGATCTAGACTTGCGTGGGTGGCTTGTATCTTGCGTCTTGGAATCAAATCCGAACTGGTGGCCCTAATGGCTATGAGGGAGCTCTTGGTGCGCTTTCCCCTCAGTAGCTTGTTGTGATGAGCCTCAGACAAATTCATGTCATATCTAGCTGCTTCTGTTCTCCTCCTTGCTTCTTCACTTCCCCGCGTAAGGAAGGGTCCAGTCCCATTGGTACTCTCAAGTAAGAGCAAGGGATGCCTAGCTTTAACACAGACAGCTGACCGTATCAACCACCAGTCACATCATCCTTGTCGACGGCGTACTACGGGAAGACTGTGTACGACTTCCGATCGTAGTGAGACGGACCCCTTGTCGCGTGCCATTATGTGCGCTTTAGAAAGTCCGAGGACATTGTTTTCGATAAAATGTTGTTCAATGGAGTTTTCTTGTGTGTAAAAAACTATCGGCGTGACACAGGTAACAATCCCACCATAAACCATCTTTCCAGCGTGCCCATACAGAGGGCAATGAAATGATTGAAAATTCCGATGTTTATCCAGAAGCGCGAAATCAATCGCAGAACAGGTCGTTCATACTATAAATGTTTAACTCCAACATGCACCCCACTCTGCCCCGCTGTATTCTGGGTACTGCTAATCTCCATGTTAAGCGCACACGGAGAGGGGCATATGTTGTGTGTCCATGACGTATGTTTCCATGAACTTGACTAGGTGCTTTCAGTTGCGCCAGGTGCTCAAGCCCGGACGCGTCACGCGTGACCAAATCTTCGCAACAACATCGATCCTGCTCTTGAGAGTTGAGGTGTCAGATTGTGAGTCTCGGGCCGTACCCAGCTGCTCCCACTCTTCTTTTGATCTAGGACACTCGAAGCTTTTTTTAAACCATTAGCACCCTGCGTGGCTTCTTAATACATCGTCCGTTATCTTCAGTGTTCAACTTATTTCAATCACCACTGCTTGGCATCTCTGCCTTCCCCCCAAGCCTTCCACTTTTATTTCGATGTCGACACATGCATACTTCGCCACCCAATCCCAACGATACGCATCAACGGGTGGTACTGGCCAAGTGCTCAACACCTCTAACGGTTTTGCACCTCTAGCCCAGAGCCGAGACAACACGGGGCCACGACAATGGAGTCAATCACGACTTTCACTATCTGTGGGATCGAATGAGAATAACGGTACAAGTGGGAACTTCCATGGCGGGGAGAGTGGCAAAACTCCCCATCCTCTCCGGGCAACGTGAGTGTCTTCCAGGATTAGGAACGTCCAGGCGAGGGTGCATACACGCTTCTCTGTTCAGATGGGTATTTTATTTCCGGCAAAAACCACAAGGGAAGGTTGCCAATTACGAGGAAGGCATCAAGAAAATATCTGCTTTCAGTTCCGTGCGTGCTGTTGACATCTGTTTTCCATGATTATTTCAAATGTCTTGACATGCTTGTTGTAGATAGAGTCTTTCTGGTCTCTATGGACTCATCTCAGTCCACCAAGCCTACTACAGCCGACAACCGATTACCTTGTTTTCCACGTAGATGTTAAGCGGCCCGTCTGGGAAGACCCGCAGAACATCGACGGTGGCAAGTGGATCGTGAGGCTTCGGAAAGGCGTTGCTGACCGCTTGTGGGAGGACCTTGTTCTGGCCGTAATCGGAGATCAATTTGAGCCTGGGGATCATATTTGTGGTTGTGTTCTGAGTGCACGATCGCAGGAGGACATCCTCAGTATTTGGCACAAAGATGAGAAAAACGAAGATGCGAAAGCTAGGATCAGGTAGGAAACGTGTATGCCTGCCTCGCCAGGGATATCGGGCTTACATGCATTATTCAAATGGCAGAGAAACTATCCGTCGGTGTCTGAATCTACCGCAAGGCACAGTCATGGAATACAAGACCAATAATGGTGAGATGGTTCTGCCGGAGAATATATAACGTGCCTGACCGCCCCCCGAATACAGACAGTTTACATGACAAAAGTAGTTTTCGCACTTTGCCTACAGAGAGAATCTCCACCCCTTCATGATGTTCTAATGTTATTAATCTTCATTATCCTTTATTGTGCTTATCAGGCCCCAGAACGTTACGGGCGGACCGCGTGACGCACTTGGTGATCACCCGGCGCCTTCATGAGGAAGGCCTGGAGTGAATGCTTGATGAGTGAAGATAGATATGGTTCAATTCATTACCCGGATTATTTAACGATTAGCGAGGGTCTTAAGACGGAATTGTTGACCCTTTCCGTTTTCTCTATCAGTCCCCCCAGAACAAACTAGTCTGCCTCTCAAGAATCTCAGGGGCGCCTCTTCATCGAGACCATGAGTGAAATACAGGCGATCCAGTCCCATGCTTCGCTCCCCAAGGCTTCCGAGGAGTTGGCACCTCAACCTGCCGATTTGCTCGATGATCAGGCAGAGAAGATTTTTGCCCATCTCGCTCGTCCTGAAATCGATTACTCCTCGACATCTGCATTCTGTTCTAGCTCTTGGAAGCGATTCAAAAGTCTTTGGACCAAAAGCTTCATCTTCTCTTTGATTGTACGAGCATTACATCATCGATAAGGGGCTTAGGATACCCTTGAATGACTCTTCGATCCTGCTCCCAGGCTGGACAAGTTGTTTCTCTTTGCATCACTTGCACGAGTGTCACCACGACGGAACTAACAAAGAGAGTAAGAATTTATCACTCTCGCCCTCGATTTACAGATGTCCGCTAATTTCACGCAGAATTTCAACATACCGACGACCCAGACTTGGTTTCTGTGAGCGTGCAATGCCTGATCAACTGTCGTTTTCTTACCTCATGTGTTTCCGAAAGGTACTTTGGATTACTCTGCATTTATACCCCATACACGATGTATCAGTGTATGTCCCAGTCCTTTGTTTCGTGAAGGCAATGGGGCAGAAGACTGATGGAAACTTGTTCGGGAAAAAAAGATGGATTCATGGGATGGTGCGAGATGGTGTACCGACGCGGATGGGCATGTGAGTGGAAATTCAATCGCCTTTGTTCAGATTTCGTCCAGTACCTATTATCCTCACAGACTTCATTCTTGCGTGTTGTGATGTCGAAGGAAATTTCTTGGTTGTGAAAGCATATGAATTCACTACGCTGCTCTCTTGTATGCTCCTCGATGCGTGAGTCGTGATTCATCTCTTTTTCTGTTTCGATTATTCTCTAAAACGACTTTGGGACAAAAAAGCTGGGCTATTCCCATCTGTATCTTGTTCACTTGGCTTTTGATGCGCACCAGGTACCACTGGACCCAACTTATCGTCAGTCGACCATGTTAACTATACCACTTATCGCAGTCATCTCACTGCGGTGATTGCAGGCTATTCTGGTTTGCATTGGCGCGATGGGTTTGCTAGTTGCATCCGATCACATCACGGGTGGGAAGGACTGGACCCCCCGCAATATGGTTAAAGGCGATATGTTTGTCCGTTTGTTTGGTGATTTCTCGGATTCCCGTTGGATAATGGATCGCTTTCTAGATGCTCGCGGGAGCCACGTTATACGGATTCAGTAAGTGGATCTTGAACAAGTGCACATTCAAGATGGAAATGGACTCCTTTGCGTAGCCAATGCATTGGAGGAATTTTTTGTTCGTCAGAGGCCTCTGTACGAGGTAAGACACAACCCGCGGAAGGCTGGGAAATAGCGTTGACATTTTGGAGCTAGGTGGTTGGGCAGTTGGGGTTGTGGGGTACAATCATTAATGGCATCCAAGCTGCCGGCTTGGAACACAACGGAATACGGACGGCTTCATGGCACGCCCCAGTTATCGGTCTGCTGTTCGCATATACTGCTGGTACGCTTCCGTCCAGCGCTGAGGTCCCTGCATCTAACGCAACCTTTATCGTAGCTATGCTCATATTGTATACCGTTGCGCCACTTCTGTACCGGAAGGCATCGGCCGCTTACTTCAATCTTTCGCTCCTCTCGAGTGACTTTTTTGGCTTGCTGTTCGGTAGGTATAAGACTCCGGGGCTACAATCCATTGATCTTGAGGGCTACTTTTTATAGGTCTCTTCCTCTATGTGCGTCTAGTACGCTTTGACATTCCTTAAGGGCTCATATCCCTGACCCGTTCAGCATTACCGTCCATACTGGCTTTACTTCGTGGCGTTTTCGATCGAAATAATTGGTACGCTACTTGATCGAGTTCCATCCTCCGCCATCCTGATGCCCTATCCCTCTGTAAAGGATTAATCATTTACTTCTGGCATGCGACGCCTGAGAGCCAGGGCAAGGTAGACCCAAGACGTCCATCATACGTTCGTCAAGTCAAAGCGAACACTACGGCTCAAGATGTTGAAGCTGGTGGTCCAACTGTTGACACCGACAGTGCTTCGATCACCAAATAAGGCGATGCTTTACCAGTGCGTTTTTTATTTTTCCTTTCACGACCTGTGTCCGATGCGAGACACATGAATTGTAACTCTTTTGGTATCTTGTGCATGAGTTGCCAGGTTGATCGCTTCGTCTGGTTGTACTTGGATGTAGTTTGATTGGTTCAATATGTGCTGCACTCCGTTGGGTGCAAATCCCGGAGGATCTATGGTCATGACACCTTCGGAGCATCTTCCTCAGGAGGGATTCTTGGGAAGTTCCATAATTGAGTCGCCTCTATCTCGGCACCTCTGGCGAAAGCGGACGCGAGGGTTGCCATCTTCAAAGCATTGTGTACACAGACCTCATCAAACCAGTTCGTCCACTTGCCGGCTCCATCCAGGACAAAGAATGATTCGCTGCTGGGACAAGGGCTATAGCAAAGGGTGTGCTCAGGTGTACGGATGTGCCAATGTGTGTTCCGGCTGCGCATCTTGTCGAAAGCAAATGATCGACCCGCCTGCAGCGGTCAGGATGTTTTCCGGGAGAGTGCGAAATAACGCAAAGGGTCAGCAAATAGCCCCTGTCATTCACAGAGAAAGAGGTGCAAGCTAGCCGCTGAACTAGAGAAGGCTCAGAGGGTCGATCTCCAGGCGAATTTGAGTGTTGACTGTCCAACCACACATGCTTTACGCCGGCGGCTGTACATTATGTACTCACTGACTTCATCTGTTGTTGTGCAAATGTGGAGTCCGCGATATTACAAGCGCTGATCGTCAGCGGTTGAGGCGAAGAAGGGCAGGGCTTGTGCCTAGTGCCTAGGCCAGCGGCCTAGAATCAGTGCTGCAAAGATGCTTGTTGAGGAAGACTGGGATCATTAACGCGTGGCAGACGTGTATGAACGTAATAAACGTATATGATAATTACGAAAATGATGGCCAGACCTCTGAAGATAGAGTGCTAGAGCTCGGGGGAGAGGGTCTTTGGGTTGAGTTTTGGTGCTGAATCCAGTCGCAGCTGTCGTCGTAACCAAGATCAGAACAAGTGACCTGGTGACTTGTTCGTCCACAAATACTTTGCTTCCCACCCGATCAGAGACTTCCTTCCAGAGCAGCAGCGTTCGTTAACGCCAAAACAGGCAGCTCTGTGCTTTCGACATCGACTTTCACGTGTGTTAGCGAGGCTCGGCCACGTCCTCTTCTGTAAAGCTGGCGTAAATTCACCCAAGCATTCGTGTGATGTCTCGCCCATCGTCACCTCGTGTCCCCACCGAAAGGTCGACAACCACAATGCAGCCAGGGCTCTCGAAAATCTCCACTGATGATCCTCACGACCTGCCTTACCTTCGATCCGAGCCTCTCCCCATTCCACAACTGCCGTCCTCAAAAAATGGTTATTCTTCTCCATCATCTCCCACCTCGCGTTCATTAGCTCTCCACAATGACTCTCCTCTTCGGGCTTCTCCAACTAGGGGCTCCCCTGTTGACCGCTCCCAGAAAAAATATGATTTTCTGCGTCGTGGGTCGCATTCTGCGTCTGGACACCCAGCAACATTTTCAGGAGACGAAATGACACCCCCCAACCCTAGCTGGCTCAGGGACCCGGCTAATAACTCTACTGGCTCGTCTGATGAGAGTGGTCCCGCTGGTACACGTTCCCCAAATCCCCCTTCATCTGCCTCGGGGCATACAACCTCCTCTATGATGCCATCGCAGACCTGCGCAGGGTGTAGCCAACCCATGTCTGGTCAATTCGTTAGGGCCTTAGGGACCGTTTATCATCTCGACTGTTTCCGTTGCAAGGTTTGTTCTCTGGATTGATGCTGGTTTGCGACCATCCAGGTGTACTGATTCTCCATACCTTCCAGGACTGCAATGAACCTGTCGCATCCAAATTTTTCCCCATAGAGGGGCAAGACTTACGCCAGCATCCTCTTTGCGAGCGTGACTACTTCAGACGGCTTGATCTTTTATGTGCTAAATGCGACCAAGCCTTGCGGGGTAGTTACATCACCGCGTGCAGTATGTCATTTCTTCCCAAATAATGCTGGGACTGCCTTCGCCTCGACCCACGCACACACGTCATGAACTGACTGGTCCCATCCTACTTTCCTCCTACATTTAGACCGAAAGTATCATGTCGAGCATTTCACATGTTCAGTCTGTCCGACGCTTTTTGGACCCCAGGACTCGTACTATGAGCACGAGAATGACGTTTACTGTCATTTTCACTACTCAACACGTTTCGCGACGAAATGTGTGGGATGCAACAGCGCGATCCTGAAGCAGTTTGTTGAAATCAACCGAAATTCGCGTGATGAATGCTGGCATCCTGAATGCTACATGATAAATAAAGTTCGTCCTCTTTCCCTTACCCACCCTCTTGGTGCTTCCGTTGAGTGGCAAGATTGATTTTTTCTCTCCAAATGACGATCGAACTAATTGTTTGAATGGCGCCGCATTTTTCCTTCCATTCCTCCCTTCCAGTTCTGGAACATCAAAGTTGCCTCGCGTGTGCAAAGTATTGAGATTCCTGAAGGGGATCAGCCATATGAAGCTGAGGAACGGACCGAATCACCTACGTCGCTTCGCGACAAGCAACAGCAGATGGAGCAAAAGGTCGTGGGGATATGGACTTATCTCTCGTCCTTCGAAGAGTCATCCGCTGCCTGCATATCAGATATGCTCAAGCACGTTAGCAGCGGGCATTACCTCGAAGCTATCAAGATGGCCGAGAAGTTTATTCTCCACGTGGAAGTCCTTTTCGCTGCGATTGACGATTTGGAGACTCATTTCGCGCGAGTCAACTCCAAGGGTGAGCCTTGTTTCACCACAATTTTTTTCGGCACTTGACTGCTTCTGGAAGGTATCTCACATGTTCGAGAGGCAAGAATGCTGTGCAGGAAGACTGTAGAACTCTTTAACCTATTGTCCCACACCGGCGAAGCCGGCACGACGTGGCGCATGGGCATGACGCAAGAGCTTCTGTCATTAGTAACCGGTCTCGCTCATTACCTCAAAATCCTCATACGGATTGCTCTCACTGGAGCTCTGAAGCTGGATCGCGATTATGGGAAGAAAGAAGCTCTCATGGACTTTCTAGATAAGCTCAAGAGTCTCGCTGCTCAAGGTGCAAACCCCTCCGCACGACGTACTATCCGTTCCTCGCGGCCACGCGAAGTCGACAGCGGCAATCCAAACACGTTTGTCTCCGGTACCGAGGGCGTATCGTACGGATATAAGAGCCTGGCGCCAGAGAATGCGGGTGAGTCCCCATTCATCGGAAGGACGAGTGGACCGAATGCAACAAATGGTTCGATGTCAATGAACCCCAGTGATCTGTGCCTCGCTTGCCAAAAAACAGTCGAGGAAGATTGCGTGCGCCTGGGTTCCTATTACCGTTGGCACTCCCATTGCGTGAAATGCATTGCCTGTGGGAGAACGGCTAGCGACCCTGTCCCTCCAAAGGAGACTAGGACCCCTACTCCGAAGAATGGAGAGCAACCGGATTCCAAACCTGCACCACCTCCGCGACGACCCCCGGCCAAAGTCAACGAGTTCTTGTTTGTAACTGATGGGAGTGTGAAGGAGACCGATAAGCGTCCTCCCAAGGCGATATGTTGTGTAAACCACCCAGTTCAAGGGAGTCAACTCGGCTTCGCACCCGTTTCTCGCCTTGAGCAGTTTGCATTCCTTCTCAATGTTGCACTCAGACGACTTTACCTTCTTCTCCTTCGTCGGGGACTCATCCCTCCCACGTCGACCGTCACTGTCATCGAGTCCTCTCATCATCATTCGCCTTCTCGAGATTCGAGTGACATCATGCGCATGAAGACCGTTCACCTCGACCGGAAGTTGTCTGCGACGGCGCGACTTCCGAAACGTTCCACCATCATCGAGAGTCCTACGGGAAAAATCGCTCAATCGGCTGACGTACGTCCACATGGTGCATCTGTTAATTCCAGTCAAACAAACCAGCCTGCTTCATCTCAACTGCGGGATAAGAAACCGAAGCTGCCAACGGTTGACACCAATGTGGCTGGGCCAAATCCTTCAGTCACCTCGCCAATCCCCACTACTTCGCCAAAGACGATCATCCGACCACCCTTTGCTCGTAACAATACGAACGTAGCCATCATTGATGATTCGAAACCTGAGGATGAGCGATCCGAAAGCGGGGTGAGCAATGGTGCACGGACACTGACAAATGGCTATCCTGGCGTGCCCGGTCCATTGGCGGATGCCAATCAAAGCGAGGAAGGCATCACATTAGGAGATATTCCGCAGATGTTGGAGTCTGAACAGGCCCGCGAACAGCATCGATCTTTGCCTCGGCAAGCCGATAAGGTTGCCATCGCTGAACTCACACCCCTGGAGCTGTTTATTGTGAAGCACTTTACAGTGCTAATGTTACAACGGTCTTCATTAAGAGACCACTTCGACTTGGATGAGATTCTTGAATTGGTGGAGATGAAGAAATCCACATTTTGGAACAAGATCTTCAAAGGAGATAAGAAGAATATCAAGAAGAAAGGTAAGTAATCTCTTACGTACTTGTTTTCCCGTTGTGTTCATTCTTTATTGCCGCCAGGCGTTTTTGGGGTTCCTATTGAACTTCTTGTCGAACGGGAAGGCGTTGATTCGCTGTTGGGAGCTTCTAGGGGCGCTCTGCAGATACCAAGTTTCATCGATGATGTAATCTCCGCAATGAAGCAGATGGGTAAGCTAAGGCAGGCATTTTTGGAAGTTAATACTGGTCTAAATGGTCTCTTCAGATATGTCAATCGAAGGAATCTTCCGCAAGAACGGGAACATCCGTCGGTTGAAAGACCTTGCCGATTCCATCGACAGAGACCCTTCGTCCGTCGATCTCACCTCTGACAACCCAGTGCAACTCGCGGCTCTGCTGAAGAAATTCCTGCGAGATTTGCCTGACCCCCTTTTGACATTCAAGCTGCATCGATTATTTATTCAGTCTCAATGTTAGTGGTTTGTGATCGTCGTGGCCAAATAAATGACTAATGAATTTACTTAGCATTCCAAACCGAAGATGAACGAATACGTTATCTGCATTTAGTTTCCTTATTACTGCCCAAATCTCACCGTGACACACTGGAAGCCCTCTTTGTGTTCCTGAAATGGGTCTCACTGTTTTCTCATGTTGATGAGGAAACTGGAAGCAAAATGGACCTTCAAAACTTGGCGACCGTCATATGCCCCAATATTCTATATGCCAAAGGCCGAGATGCAGCCCGTGAGGAGAGCTTCATGGCGATCCGAGTTGTGACGATCTTGCTTGAACGCCAAGACGAATTCTTCACTGTCCCTGATGAATTTTTACCCATCTTGCAGGATCAAGAATATTTTGCGAATTGCATGGACATGCCTCCAAAGGAAGTCCTCAGGAAATGCGAGACGTACCTTCGACTCAGGCAAAATCGCCAAAGCGGTGGGGAACGCGGATACAATGGGGTCAATGGTCATACGCAACCTATTAATGGGGGCAGTGGTGGGATCGGAACTAGAGGAGGAAGCATTCACCAGAAACGGTCCGATCCTGTAATCCGGGGTCGTCCAGTTCCCCCATTCGCTGGTGACCAGAACGGTGACACATCCCGACGTTCACCTCGTTCTACGTCTCGGGGACCTCCAAGCACTCAATCCCATGGTCATGCATCATCTCCAAACCTACACGAGTCAAGACAGTGGATGCCATCGAGCCCACCCATGCCTACACGATCTTCGGGCATGACTAGCTCACAACAAGGGACCCCGAGGGCGTCGCAAATCGAAATTCATGCCCCTACACCAACATGGGCGGATAAATCGCAGTCTCGACCTCCATCTGTCCAGACGCGGGGAAGCATGGAATTATCTCGAGGACCAGGATCTTACGACCGCCATCGTGCCCATTCGCCAGTAGATCATCTGCGAGCATGATTCTAGCCCTATTTTACATTCTTTGTTCTCTTCCTCTTTTCATTTTGGTCTTATTCTCAGTTATTCAACTTGCTTTCATATGTTTCCCCTTTACCGTTCTTCCCTCTTTATTGTGACATTCTTTATTTGCGGGACATTTGCTGCGTTGTTTTTTTCTCGTATGAGTTATTCGCTCGATAAGGTACTCTCACACCAAAGTTCGATTGTTTGAAATTTTTTTATTGCGTCTTCAACCCTCCCAGCATACATTTCTGTATTATCAGTACATATTATGTATACAATGACGTAGGTGCATTCTGGTTCAGTTCAACAACGAATTAAGTTGCAAATGGCTGGAAACAGACTTTTCGGTGTCAGAGCCAGGGGATGATTCTACTGATGTGTGATACAAATTGAGAAGAATGGAAAGCCAGCCCCGAGTGAATGGGTATGAACAGAGGAAGAGCATGTACGGGCATGACAAGCCGCCTGAGAATAAACATGATGGAAAGCCGTTTTTCTGTTGGGGAAAAACAAAGACTTGAGAAGCGGTACCCGAACAAAGCAGTTTTCCGTTCATCCTCTCTCTGATCCCCCTAAGGGACTCAAAAATACATGAATAACATCATTTCACAACAACCTCGATCGCAGCAAAAAGAAAGATCTTAGCCCCCAACTAACCTTGCAACCAACTTCCAAAGCACGAAGAAACAAACAAAAAATCACGCATAACAAATGAAGGCACTTGCCCCCATTCGCTCTTCCTCTAAAAGTCTGAGATCTCTTGGTTAAAGGTAGGTCCTCAAGTCCGACATGAACTGCCATCCTAGATCCATCGCTTCAGGAGCTTGACCGAGCGAAGCATCAAGGCCCGTAAACTGGGAAGGTACCGCCATTCCACCAATATGACCATGTGGGTATCCTCCGCCTAAACTCCCACCAGGTCCCTGAGCCACATTCGAACCATTCGAACCATTCGTCGCTGCTACCCCATCTCGTCTTGGAATAGCAAGTGATGGTTCAAAAGCAGAGAAAGGTGTCTGTGGACTGAATTGAGCGAAAAATGGTACCGGAGAGCGTGCGGATGGACCGAGGGCGTATTGAGGGGAGAACGAGACGGGAGAGTCAGCCGTGTCGGGACTAATTGGAGGTTGTTTAATTGAAGGATGAAGATCGTGGGAGAGTTGACGGTGATGCTGATGGAATGGAATTTGCTGTTGGTGGGGCGGCTGAGACTGAGATCGAGGAGGATGTTGAGAGGATGAGGAAGGCTGCTGTTGATAGGATCCGAGTGGTTGTTCATACTCTGGTGATGAAGACGACGAATTAGAAGACATCATCACACCCGCTTGTGATGGTGGATCCGGAATGTACTGAAACCCATAACTATCGAACGAAGCCGCACCCTGTCCAGCGACGACAGAACCTGAGCCAGGACTTGAAGAACCTCCGCCAGGTGCGGACCCAAGACTTTCCAAATGGCACGAAGGAGGTGAACCACTATCTTGCCTTGCGGCCATTCTATCAAGTTGCGCGTTATACTCCTTCAAGTACTCCGCCAATGCAGGGTGATAATCGTTCGCGGTAGGGCGAGGACTATCTCCCGATGCAAGCGAGGCTGTTTCGTCGTGCTGTGAGGTGGCAGAAGCATTGCTTCCAGACGTCCCACTACCAGCACCCGTCGACTTTGTCTTGAGTCGAACAAGACGGCTCTTGGCCCCCAACATAGTGATGTCATCATTCTCGTACACATCCTCCGAGTCTGCAGCATCTACCATTGGAGAAAGTCGACGTCCGTGTTGGAAATCTTCATATGCTCTTCGTGCTCTATCACGAAGCTTCAAAAGAGGGGGCTAATATAGGAGGGAGAATTAATGAACGCATGAGTGTTGACAAGCAACAAGCAACACCAAAACTCACCAACGCCCGACCAGGTCTACACCCATCCTTTGCCCTTTCAAACAGCTCACAAGCAATGTCTAGCTCCTTGAGCGATGACTGTACCAACGAGGACGAGGGAGCCCTAATCACAATCGTCGCCAACACAATCGCCGCCGAAAATGCATGCACCCAGAGGAAAAACACTCTAGGCATCAACTCTGGCAACAACGCATACGCGTTCCTCACCCCTGCCAACACCGCACAACTACTCGAATGGACTGCAACAACGCTCGCATGATATCGACTTTTGAATGGATCCTCTGGGTGTTCTGCAAGAGCCCGGGCAAGGTACCCCCGATGGAGGTAGATGAGACAGACTTCTTTGATACAGTAGACTGCGTGAGACTGCATAATGTGTGCGCGGGAGGTGGGAACGGGTGGGGGTGGACCGTCTGGCTTGGCGTTGAAACCTGCTATTGTCAGGGATGGTGGAACCACGAGGTCACGGACGCGCCTGTCAAGACGAAGAATCGTGCTAACAGCAGCCATCAATGATTCACACATTCCGAATCTCGAACCCGGGGGGGATGAAATGGATTACTCACTCGTAAGGTGGTCGTTTCGCCGCGAAAGCCTCGTTGAGAATCTCGACCATCATGCTTGCAGCACGATATTTCTGAGCACGGACTGCAAACGGAAAGCAATGAAGCCATTATAGCATTAGACCACGGGCCCTCGATGGAAAAAAAAAAGGATGACTTACAGGATGGTTCAGGTCTCCCTTGTATATCATTGAACTCGGTAATGTCATCCGGCATCTGAACATCACAGTGGACAGACCACATCGTCGGTGGTCTCCCCAATGCCTGAGATGCCCACGTGTCAAACATCATGAGCTATGGAAAGGAGAATTGGAAAAAATGAATTACCAAAAAAAAGAAGGGAAGAATCTTACTCACCTCCCAATAAACAGTTCTCCTAATCTGACACTCCTCCTCACCCAAATTCCACCTCTTCCCATCCCTATGTAACCCCATCGCCATCGCCATCTTGCACGCAATACCACAAAGCATCCAAACCCTCATGGGTGCCTTCTTCGAATAACTGAACTGATTATAGTAACACATCAACAACAACGTTTGAACGCCTGTGAGGGTGTCAGGTAACGGTTCGACGGAACCCAAAGCGGCTCGAGAGAGCGTATGGTAGAGTTCGGCTGTGAGGAGGGTTTCGGGCGCCTGGGGTTGTCGTGAGATGTCTAAGATTGAACCTAGTGCTAGGACGATGAACAGGAGGGAATAATCGGCGGGGGTAGGCTGGGGTTTCGTGGGGTTTGTGGGGTCATCGTAGGACGGGTCCATAATGGGTGTGAAGATCTTTTCCATGTAATGATAGCGTGAGACTGGACAGTATCTGTGTACAGATACGCACGCGATCTACGTCAGTTCTCGAAGCGGAAGAGGGGTAAGATTGTTTGGAAACTCACAACCAAGCCCCAAGTTCGAAGAATTGTTCACTCAACGCCCATGCATGATGGGGATCGGGCAAATATTCTTTCAACTTTTCCCTGACAGTAGGCCACTCGTGCCCGTGCACAACAAAGGGGAATGTCTTGGAAAGTGTATCCAAGGGTTCAGCAAGTATACCTTTACCGGCACTTGCACTGCCATCGCTAATACCAGCGGCGGCAGAAAGAGGGTGATTGGATGCAGAAGAGAGGGCTAAGGAAAGTGAGGCTGCAGAAGTTGAATCTGGATCGAGTTTGAGCGCTGTTGCAAGCAAAGCTGAAGGGGAAGGTTTCTTCTCTTCGTCGTCGGGATCTTGGAACTCCTGTTATTTATTTATTTATTTCGTCCGATGGAAATGAATTATATGCCAGCATCGAAACGAGGGGAAGAGTGGACGAGTGTGGCGCACAAGCAATTCCGATGATCGAAGATTGATCGTTGATGTCGAGTTTGTTTCCATTTATTTGTCGGTGGTTGATCCGATTCAAAAATAACCAGCCGTACAAAAAAAAAAAAACAATCAAAACAATCAAACAAAACATCAGCGTCCCCACACACCAAAAAAGGAAAACGCGAATATGACTCACGCCAAGCAAGAACTGAGCACCAGCGGCATTCCCGAAGAAAGTCGACTTCCCTTCTCCCATCGCAAGCGTTCCAAAACTCTCCGTCAACTCTCCAGCATGCTCTCCATCGCTCTCTCCCTCCTCTCCCTTCACACCATGATGACCATTCCGACTCCTCAGCCTTGGATTCGCAGTCCCGACAATCTCAGCCCCAATAGGCGTCTTGATGTTTAACAACTCATCCGTCAACAACGGATGAGGGTACGGATCGTTTGGTGTCCGTACTGAATTGTACAGGGCGGAAAGCCCTTGTTCGAGTGAGGAAATTCGTTCTTGAAGGTCATCTATTCTATCGTGAAGTTCTTCGGTGTTGGCCAGAATGAAACTGTTGTAAAATCGAGACGTTGCCCCATGGGGAGAGATTCCGAGTCGATGTTGTCGGGATTAGGATTAGAATTTAGTCAAGTCCAACCGTCGCATGTGTTGCCGATACATGGTCGTCGAAGATTTCCAGCGTACGGTAAACCGTATCCATAGTTGGAAAAAGCCAGCACAGGAAGGAAGATAAAAAATCAAAGGGAAATGAGAAAAAAAAAGCGTCAGTAAGTAATGTAAATGTCCACAACGTAGAAATCAAATCGAAATATGGCAAGGAGATAAACATCCACCGTTCGTGGACGTATACGCATCATATGACCATCATCCCCTATCCTTGAGATGGAATCCAGACAGTCTCGCACGATCCATGGAAACAAGAATTGGGAGGGGGGATCGAGAAAATGCACGCAATACACATACCGATTGCCTTTCCCGGTGGTTAACGCTCCATCAGGACAGATGGCCGCACATCCCCGCTTTCTACCTGTTCCAAAATAATGAACAATTGAGTTGTTAGTAATTAAGTCATGTGTACCAGCAAAAAAAGAGTGCAAATAGTGGCAAATAGTGCAAATAGTGCAAATATAGGAGTGGTGGAGAGTGTTGATGCCGGGAATGAATCTCGGTCCAAGTTGCCCCTTCATGGGCGCGGTTCCCCATGCCCGGTCACAAAAAAAAACGCCGAACTCCGAAGTAACGATGATCGACGACGCGGGGTATCGTCATCATATGATAGCGTGGTTGGTTTAAGGGGTAAGGTCACAAGGGTTTGTTGGATAGAATGCAACCAATGGTTGCAGACGAATAATGCTCGAGGATCCCGGAACTTGGGAGCAAATGAGGGGAAAGAAAGAGTAAATGAACACGTACAGCTTTGACAAGGGAATTGTCGATCGCAGCGTAGTTTGAGTCTAGAAGGAAACGATTGTTATCGGGGAAAGAGGAGAGGAAGGGAGAGGGAAAGAAAGCGTTAGTACATGTGTTAACGATGATTAGTAATAGTAATGGAAAAGAGCGAGCGCTTAGCGAGAGTGGAGTGAATCGAACGGATGGAAGAGTGAGTCGAAAAGAGCGACGATCCAGCAGAATAGCCCGGATCAGCCTAGACTAAGCTAGGCCTAGCCCCTCCTCGAGAAACGGTTAGGCTCCCTCGTAGGAAGATCCGACTTTATCGGATTGCTCCAAGCCCACAAAAGCGCAGAAACGAAGTTCTAGATCTAAATGTCGATCTTCTACTTCTTTCCCCTTCCCTCCCCCCGCGCCGCGTACATAGATATATATATATATATCTCGATATTGGAGAAAACCACGGCTTGCTCACCTTCTACATTCTGCACATGAAAGAGCCCCCCTTCTTCGTTGTTTATGAGCTTCAAGTAAAGCTCGACTAGTTGAGGATGGTAGTGATAACGATGGTAATGAGGAGGACGTTGCCGTTAAGGTGGGTTGTCGAGGTGGTTGTAGTGCACTAGCCGTTTGAGCCAAATTGGTTGCCGTAGTCGGAGATGTGCCAGTTTCGAGCGTCATACCCGAAATGCGGAGCGGGACTATAATAGGATAACAGGCAGGGTGGAATAGGAAGGGAAAGTGAGGAAGGGTGACTAAAGATTCGGACCCGAGCCTCTGATTATAGAGGAACTGACGTTACAAGCACCTAGCTCGACCCCGAAGTTGGTTGGTTGCTCGCTTTTGGACTTGCTTTCCACACACCCTCCCTTTATCGGATGCTTTACCTTAACCCACGCGCTAAGGCGAGCTTGCGGTGCACCCTTCGTTATATCTCTGTAAGCCCCTCTGTCAGGTCAGATTGGCGTTACAGTGTAAGCGAGTTAAAGTCGACAGTTGAAGACGAGTAGAGCTCGGGTCAGACCTAGAGATAAGCGGATATAAAAAGGGTACTGCTTGGAGTGAGGCAGTGGGCAGTGCGATGTTACTGGAACAGTGCTTACAGACAGTGTCTTTTGTATAGTGGTAAGTGTATATATAATCTCATAAGCGCTGTAATAGTTGCGTTAGTCAACTCATGATCACTTTCCCTTCCAGTTCCGAATACTTTCAAATAATTGAGAGTGAAAAAGTAAGAGTAATATGAACTTGGTTCCTTTCGAATCTTCTGGTTGGTTTAGAATTCGAAGTACATATGGATAGTCAGTTTGTTCGATATGAAATTTGTTTGTTAGAGCGAGCTAGCAACCCGGCCTGGCCTGCATGCAAAGTCAACTGCAAGAACGCAAACTGGACGTTCATTTTAGGTCACAAGGCGATAAGGGTAGAGGAGACACCTCAAGAACTATCTCGTCAATAAATTATACTCTACACACGTTCCATGAAAACATCACACACACCATGAAACTGTTATGAAAAGATTCACGCCCCCTCCCCCTCTAGCTGATCTCCTCCATATGTACCGACAATATTACCATCATCCAACATTCGATCACTCAATCGACAGCTTGACTTCTACGGTCCCTTATCTACATCCACACAGTCTTGCCCTCGTAGTCTTTCCACGCACCCTACTACCCGTCATCCGCAAGAACGATTCTGTAGTTATTAATAATTAAACAGATACGAAGCTGATCATTTCAACAAAAAAAATATCTCGTAGCAGCTAGCAGTGGCTTCAAGCTGCAGGATATACTTATATAAATGAGATATTACTGCGTGCCGCTCGTTCCGTGGCGGAGCACAGTATTACATGTTTGTAGCAGATGATATTGCGCCTCCTAAGTAACTAGCTAGTTTCCCAGACTCATTTGCTAGTTCTATAGCTCCAGTATAGCTCCAGAGGCCACAGGAATGGCTGAAGTTCTCGCGAACCGAACTGCACCAAGTTTTATGGTTCTGTGTTGGTTCGGTTCCGGTTCTATATAAGTCGGGAGAATAATACGAAGCGTTAAGAGATTATTGTAGCTGGCTGCATCCACATGTTGCATGAAACAAGTCGCAAAATATTCCATTAAATGTCATTTACAGTTCGGAGATGGCCGAGGAAACCGAAACGACCCGACAACGAAAGCGAGTGGCACACAGACGCTGAGAACCCAATGGCTGCTGAGAAACCTCCCCTTTTCCTTTTCTTCCGTTCCGGTTCCCCAACTGAGTCGATTGTTGCGCTATTAATATAGTTTTTGTGCGATGTCCTCAGCTGATGCATGCAACGACCTCCCTTGGCGAAGGTAATGTTGTTTGCTTGTGCTAACAAGCTAACATACTGTACATCCACATACACTGTCTTTTGAATCGACCCACTTTTCTCATCTACCCTCGAGGGCTGACACGCGCCCTAGCTAGCTTCACGGCAGGTTTACCCATTTTCTCCAACCTGTACGCGCGTCATCTTTCGCATCCCATCAAGTGCATATACTATTTCGAGCTCCGACCAACCGCTCAGGGCTGCCACATCCGACCCACTGGCATTAATTGGTGCCTAGTACATTTCCACTGCAGAGCAACACAAAGAGGGATTGACAGCAAGGTCCCTACTTTCGATGATTCAGCAGGATTATGATGTCATCATCATAAATATAATTGTATTGGTGAAGTGGGAGAGCGCGCGCTTACAGCTACATACATACTGTCGATCGATCGTGAAAATGATGCTCTATTGAATCCACCACTAGTTGAAAATGGATCTTCGGCGTTAAAATAGTAACCTATCCTAGTCTCTCACACCATATACGTTCATAAACACTGCCCGTGCCCGTGTCACGCATGAATCGTGTCCCGCTCTGAGTCGTTCAATGTTGCGCCACGGAACTAATTAATACACAATATGTACAACCCCACATCCTTGCAATAGTTTATTCACATACGCAATGCATGGCACGCGGATCTAATCCTCAACCATTGGCTGTACGTACTGCAAGGCCAGCCATTGCACCACTGCTTGATCAGACTCCTCAATGATCGTCAACACATCTCGTTTTTACTATGCAGGCCCTCGCGATCATGTGTACGGTCCAAGGCAGTGGCAAGATGCAGAGAGCCATGCAATGCAGAGTTTGTGTGGCGTCGTCAATCAAATCACGCCTTGGATTATGAGGTGCTAGCATTACGTATTGAAAAAATCCTCCTAGACGGAGTGTTTGCGTCGCCAGTACAGTACAGTAGGCCACACAGCCTGAGGCACAAGCCAAGACCACGTCACATATCTTTCGTGTGATGATGCATAAATATCAATGTCTAGCTTTCAAGGTCACTTTCCAGCCTGAAATTACCTGACATTTCTTCCCACCCTCAAGACATGTGCTTTTCTCCAGCAATGTCAACGTTGCTCCCCAGACGCAACTGGTCATCTACAGACCCTACGTTTTCGATATATGCCCAGACTCTGATTATGTGTACTAGGCACGCATGCCCTGCCTCTCACAGGTGCCACGCACCTTTCCACCTCGTGTTTTTTTTTGTTCTACTTTATTTTCCGTACACCCTCCGAAACCCTCTCGTTCTAAGAGCTCAAAGACAGTCTAGGTCTCTCCGCCAGTTCCACATGGGAATAAAGGCACCTTCATTATCTGATGAGTGCAAACTCACCGAAGCGCCCCATGCTTCGACTTCCTCTTCCTCTGGGGCAGTCAGGATCCACAGCCACCTACCCGTTCCTCTCGTTTCAAGAGGCCAGTAGCGGTTCCAAGTAAGGGAAAGGCGATCACCAGCTCAGGCTGGGGTGCTAGCTCACTGGGTTGGCACCCGCGCACTTTTGACCTTTTCCAGGCCAAATTGTCCAGTGGTCCCCTGCCACTGTTCTTGGGCAACAAGAACAAGCATCATCTGTACGCCTAGGAACGATGCAGGCGACACGTCCTTTGTCGGTTTTAGGTTAAATTTGATGGCAGCCCTGGCACTTGCGGAACTGCCAACTCACGGAAGCGCCCTTCGCTTGCGATTTTCTCTGGGACTGTGTTAGCCTCCTAGCCTTTCCATTTCGAAATGTTAGAGACAGTCCAAACGACTATTTCTCAACCGGTTCCACACCAGGTTGACAGCAGTCTGGCACCTGCAGACTGCCTGCAAGCCCACAGAAGCGCGCCGCGCTTTGACAAGCGCTGAGCTGTCACAAGCTCCTATCATCCTCGGAACCCGTCCCAGTCCCTCATACAGTCTTCCCCCTTCCCGATGAACTCCCAATCCTGGAGTTCTGGAAGAAGAGTAAGTCTTCCAAGGAAGGCACGCTTGTCACTACGTTACTATGGCAAGAAATACCCTCTTCTTCGTTCAATTGCCATGCCTTATGCCCTTGGATACTCACTTTGATTACTTTGGCCTTGTGCACTATTCTCCTGGACCTCAATGCTTATCTTGCATTTTGTTTATCTTACAGACGTGACATTCTGACTACCTCCGGTATGATCTTTATCGACAAAAGTCACGTATGATAGTTCGCAATCTAGCTATGCCAAATACATAGTTCACTGACATGAGGCCGAGCTTGCGATCTAGTAAAGAATAGATATCCAACCATGTGAATAATTTATGCTATGGGAAGGGAACTGCATATGTGCAAACCCTTGGTGGTTGCAAGCAAAGTCAGGGGAGCGCAAGCAGTCACTTCTAGTCCTGAGTTCCCACTGGAAAATATGTGATACATTTGATTTAAATCATCTATTGTTTAAGCTCCAGGCACTAGGACTATACTAATGCTCCGTCCATTTTTCATTTTAGATTGTTATATTACCTATCTTCCTATGTACTAGCTTAATGGCTTATGAGTAATTTAGAATTTCTCAAGTTGTTCGATGTCCGTGTTTGCACAAATGGTGACGCTCTTGTGCACGCATCATCTTCAAACATGAACATGGCAGACATAGTATAATTCGGGGTTCCCATATCATTATGTTATCTTCGGTTCGGTTTCCGGAATCCGGGAAGATTACATTCTGTCAATACATTTTCGGAAGAACGTCGCAATCAAATTGGCTAGCCGCGCTCCGGAGTCCGTGAAACTGCCAAAAACGCGGGCTGTAACGTTTATTGAAATGCGAAACTTATTGGCAATCCTATTGTATTGGCTTAGTAGGCCCTCAGACTGGGAAGCACTTACCATACGCGCCCAAAAAGATAATAATAATCAAATATATACGCAAATGACTTGCGCGCCACATGGAACGCGTATAACGGCAAGTCCGTTGTGGAATAAAAATGGTGTATCGGGTCGACCGCGCGCGCCCATGCATAGTTAACGCATGTATCTTACCCGGGCGCCATGCATGCACAACCGGCCACATGGGATATTGGTTATGGTGTGTTTGTGTACCAGTGCCGGCATGAGTGGCGCGAGGTCCATTGAAGTAATAGTAATTGTTATTTCGGCTGGGCATTACGTACAGTCAGTGGCACCCATACATGTGGCACCCTGCTTTTGAAATGTCTTCGGCAATAATTTCTTGATTCCAAGGCAGGCAGGCGGGCGGGCGCAGGGCGGATTTTAATTAACGGCGCACCTTAGCCTGAGTGTTAGCGACCTGATTACGAAAGGTCGGAGGCCAAATTACTAGTAGGGCTGTACAGCAAGGTCTGGAGTGCTCCACAGTCTCCAACGCACTCCACAGCATCTGAATGTTTTCCTGATGCTTACATGGCCGCGTCGAACGTTCGTCCTAAACTATATATACTACCATGCACTGAATCGATAAGTCACTCAGGTTAAGAGTCCAAATCAATATCGAAACTGAAACTCAAATGCGCTTAGCTTGGACCTGGCCAGTCTGTTTGAAAATCCAGCTTTTTTTTGATTTTCGAGGTTGTGCATGTGCCTGGTATGGTATATACATACAGCGGCTAGTAGCTTTCACGTACTATTGTGCAAGCACCTCATGGAACAATCAATGCCGGGGTCGTTACTGCCTAGACTAGTAGCTCTCTCCTGGCACTAGTACCGTAATAAACCCGATAGTCCGACGACATAGAACTCCCGATCCGTGCACGTACGTACGTAACAATATTACCAGGGCTCTGGCTTCCAGTTTCCTTTCAACGTACACCCGCGCGAGTTATAGTAACAATGCGTAATTCTTTTTGCGTAACTGTCAAACTGATGAACTCAGTCGGTAATAAATTTATAACGTCTGCCACGGGGACATCGATACCAACTTGCTATATGGTAGTAGAGCGGTGTAATCCTTCCTGTAAATCGGCAGTATGATCATACTCTTCGCATTACTACAGTTGTGTGTCGGATATATCCCCCCCCCCCATCCAGTAGCGCAAATTACTACTACTACTACTGGCAGACTACAGACAGTACTTATGCGCTGTTTATCAGGTGGTATATAGAAATACTAGGGTGTACAACAAACAGCACTTACGCTTATAACGACACTAGCTTAGCTTACTACTATGTAACTAACCGCGAACGAATATCTAGTGAATTGGGCTGCCACTAGCTCAGCCGGTTGGCATGCAACTCTCTCCAAGCGAGGCGAGTATCTACTGGTAGTGACCGTGCATGGTCTCGCGTGGAGTAGCAGTGCTTTTCGATGTTAAAACACAGGGGACTAGCCCAACTACCGGTCGTCCCCCATCTTTGGTTTGGGGCCGCCGTATGATTGGAGTTAGCAGTGATGATCATTGCGATTAATCTCCACTAGCTCAGCGGATCACCTAGCTATAGCAAGTATCACATCAGCAAACTCGGTTTGGCTCCCCCGACTCCCAGAGCATTGCCATGCTGTGCTAATGCTCTTCCATCTCCACGTGCTCCTGGCGCTCTCACATCACGTTGCTCCTCCATTCTCCACGTGCTCCTCATGCTCCACGTGCTCTCGTTCATCAACCCGTTTCTCTGTCCTGCCCTCAGGCTGCTCTTGCCACCCAACCCCAAACCACTGCTGTTCACCGGTGGCATTCATGCCGCTGGTGTTACTTATCCCATATATTCGACGGCCCACGTACGCCCATCTCCCATGTTCTCTCCTTCGCAGTACTCGTACTCTCTGTTCATCTTCAACTTTCCACTCGTTCATGATGCCAGTGTGCTCTGGCTCTTGACCACACCTGACTAGGGTTTATCGGTGACATTTTGTATGGTCGCTGATACCGTTTCAGGCAATAGGTGAAGGCATTCCACACCATTGGCGAGTTATTCTTCAAGTTGCTACCACTGCCCCATAGTAGCGGGTCTGCAGTGCAAGCGTAGACTGAATACCCGAGCACTGTTATTGGTATACAAACGTTATATACAAACCGATCGGTGAGTACTAAGCGTACATTTCATAATCAAAATGACTTGCAAATGGATTGATGTAAAATTCCGTTTGCGTCTCCATACAGGTGGTACTCTTCACACTCCCTTTGCGGATTTGCCCTGTGAGGATAGGTGCTAGCGGGCACGGTGCTACAACACATGAAAGTGGAATGACACCACCATCAGGGACGCCATTCGATATTACCTTTTTCACGGTACGTAGATGCATGTGTGCATTTGGATTGGAGATCGGGCTGAACCAATGAACAAACGCGTACAATTTTCGGTTATTGGCAGCTTCTGTTTCTTGATCACTAGGCAAAGCAAAGACGATCCGAACCTCGCCAACCCGATAACCTGTTTCAAGAGCAGTCCCCATGCTTCAATAACAGGAAGGTATAATTTAGAAGATTTTAACTTACGACGAACATCTGTTTTAGCACACGCATCATTTACGCTGATGAGCACTGTGCTGTAGGCTGCTGCACGGTCCCCATGAGGAGGCGAACATGCTACTCGGGTGCGCAAAGGTGTGTAAAACGGATTGGGTGGAGGGCACTGAAGTTTGAACGCATGCCAGATATCAACCGAGCTAATTGAAAGTGGGAGTGGCATGGTGCTGGCGTAATAGTACCGGTTTGGACCATGTCTGAGGCCCATGTCCCGGTTATACACAAAAAATCGAAGCATTGCTGACACAAGGTCCGGGGCGGAGAACTTGGATGAGGCCGTACTAATTGCCATCCCAGTAGATTGTGGACGTTTTGAGACGGTGATCACTGCGGCATTGGAGTCCAAGCGTGGAGAGAGCCCTCTAGCGATACCATTATCTGAGTAAGTTCCGCCACCATGACGCTTTGACGGCAGAGACTGACTAATCCCTTTGGATTCCAGAATCGATGAATAAATGGAGAGGGAATCAATACGTTGAAGCTGATCGAGAATTTGGGTGGTGAATCCTCTTCGATTTGTCGCATGGTAAGTGACTTTGCAAGTGGGGATATGCAATGCCTCAGTTATCTCTGATGAACCGTTGTCCAGTGTTCCGTGATCGCGAATATCATCCATGAAGTGACAGAGGTTGTGGTGCTTGGGGATTCGGAAATGGCTAATCGGTACGCCCTTCCCATTACAGCGGGCACCATTCTCGATGAACACCCTAACACTTGAATAGTAAACCTTCAGATCATGGATCATTGACTCCAAAGTGATGTCTGAATGGACCGGAAACTGTGCCTTGTAAGAGAAATCAAGCAGGGAGCGAGTTGCCTGCATCATACGTGGGGATTCTTTCCCTGTCCCCTTCTCGTAAGCTCCTGCAACAGTGACGGCTAGGTGACGCTGAAAATCTCGGTTTTCACGGCCAGACCACTGTGAGATCTTAGATATGCCGTTATGGAATGTGCGCTGTCCTCTCCGGTAAGGTTGGGCAATGAAGCGTGCATCAAGTTCGGCTACTCCAATCGTTTTGGTGATCCATGCTTTCGGGTGATCACTGATATATTTGTGCAACCCATGGAGTAAGTCAAGACACACAACTCGGCAGATGTCCACTGAAAGCCCTTCCCAGCATAGATTCTCCACCCCGAGCAGTCCGAGATCTCTCCCTTTCACAGAAAACTGCCAGGTTGTGGCCTTGGGGAACCTTGTTCGAAGTTTGCGTAGTGCTTTCAGAATGTCCTCACCTGTTCAGGTTGGGGTTGGGTTGGCCCCAACCTGGTTGCCACCAAGGTCCTCGTAGCCAGCAATACACTTAGGGCACCGATTTCGCCGAAGTCCAAGGAGGTCAAGGACTTCCTCCAAATCAGCTATCCATGCCATGAGGATTGGCACGCACATCCGTATCATTCCGTGAGCATCAAGCAAGGGAACTGGGACAATTGGACCCTTGAGTCCGGAATGGTTGCGGAGTGGCCTAAGGATTATGCGAAGACATTCATGGTAAAGTATTTTCTGTAGGAGACTGGGCATCCCCTTGGACTCATCAGCTAAGTGACTCTCATCAAATTCCTGTGACGAGAATTTGCTGATTGGCAGGTTTGCTAATAGGCACCAGGCCCGTTTGGTTGGCTTATTTCGTATGGATTTATGAATGTTTCCAAGAGAGAGATAGATCGGGTGCATCTTTTTGTCACCAGAAAAATTTGTTAGGTGAGTTTTGTCGGAACCAAGTATTATCGCCAGTATGGTTGAGTCTCCCAACCCATTTTGTTCTAGCCGGAGCTAATATTGGACTCGGAGGTCAATATGGTTTAGTGCAATTTATACTTCGATCCACATACCTGTTCTTCATTCCAAATCTGGCCAGAACTCAGCTCTGCATAGACACGGTTTCTGATTGGGCTGCCATCATCATCGAGACCAAAGAGTTCTTCAGGTTCGTAATCTATATGTTCTTGGTAGTCAGGATTACTGAAGAGCAACGCTGTGCATGCCATTATATCTCTGAAATAGAGCTCATGATGCTCATCGGGAGCATCTTTCAGTGTAATTGTGGCATGTTGGAAGGGGGGTCCTTTGGGAAGTGAGGCTCGGATGATTGCATACATCTCTTTTGCTGAAGAGAAGGACAGGCCAAGGCTGCGCACCTAGGTGAGCGACACAATCATCAGTATGGAAAGATCATTTTCGCAATAAGGATCATACTCACAACATTGAGTTGCAGATATTTGTTTATTTCTGATTGCGACAGCTCACTCCGACACAACCATTGCACCAGCTCCCACTCATCTGGGGATTTCCATGGGGAACAGGGTGAGCCAGCATTGCCAAAATTGGACCTTGAAGACCACGGAGACGCCATCTTCTGAGCATTAGTTGCTGCCCTAACGCTCATCCCACCCTCTCGTCTAAATACAGCAAAAGAAGTGGCTGCAGTTGGGGTCCCATTTAGACGACAGGAGCCATGATCTTCAGAAGAATATAGTGAGTCAATGGGCACTTCGTCACCGTTGTTGCTGTTGTCGCCATCATCACCGTTGTCTCCATTGTTGCCATCATTGTTGCCATTGTCGCTGTTGTCACCCTCCGAATCCAAGTCGCCATTCAAGTTGCTGCCAGAGCTGACCCCGGCCTCGGGAGGATCAAAGGCATCAAGCCAATTGGGGGTGCCATCATATTGGGCGTCATGTTGCTCTATATTGTTGGGTTCAGCTGAGTCGGAGTTTATTGCCTCTGCTGACGGAACATAATAAGCCATCTCGGCTAATTTCCCCTTGAGACATCTTGAGGATGCTGATATATGGCTTTGCAGTGCCCGGTTTGTTGCAAATGGCCGTCGGTCCGTGCAGTAGTTACAAATATACGCGATGTTAGGTGGTTTTGAGCAAGATGAGACCTTCGAATGGTGTTTAGCTGGGGGCATGGATTTGGCTCAGAGGTTACTAGGTCACGTCAGTGAGTGCTGAATTTTTTGTGTATGCATATTTGGCACAGAGGCAAATATTGCCGTGTGGCGAGAGTGCCGCCTCTTCCATTACATAATCCAACTAACTTTTTTTTTCTTGCCGCAGTTCCAAGTCCTTCCCCTTCATCATCCTGACTGTCCCCTCTCCATCGTTGCATCAATAATGCCACACAGACGCAGCAAGACCATGCAACACAGAGGCCTGCCACACAGTGATGCACTGGGTGATTCCAGTGACAGCGACCTTCCATTCCAGTTCAGTTACTTCACTCGCAATCACCGAGAACAGCACTCAGAGAAGACTGGATCCACCAACAATGAGGCCATATCAGATGCGGAGTTGGGGCCGGTGGCTACTGCTGCTAGAAAGCGACAACGGCGCCCAACTCTTGCAATTGCCACTCATGAAGCAGATGTAGCAAAGTCCAAGAAACGCCGCCTTGCAAGAGCAGAGAAGGGAGCATTGAGTGGAAAGCGAGCAAAGCCTCGTAAGTCGGAATGTCCTTCAGTCTCCCGTCACTCATCCTCCCATTGAAAGAATCAGTTTCCCCCACTGCTGTCCATGCCAGTTATCCTGCAAGACGTCAAAAAAGTCCTACATCAAGACTGCGACCTCAGCCAGGTTATACTAATGGCAAAGATAGCATGAACGCAGACTCTCCCTCATCGGAGCAGGAAGCACTGGCTGAAAGGGAGGATCCGGATTTTCTTTCCAACTCTGGGTCTCAGCGTAGTGACGAACAAAACAGTGCTCAGTCCAACAATGACAACGGTTTGTAGCAGGTAGCAGTCCCACTACCTGTGTATGACTCAACATCAGCTTAGGTCCCACGTGGGAGCAACTTGAGCCAAGCGCTGGGCCATCCCGAGGACGCATCCGAGTGTATAGCTCAGGGGTGAGAAGTAATTTTTAAATTCAATCGGTTCCTCACTAAGAACCTTGTTTGTTCCCTAGACCCATGACCGCCGACGTGAAACTGGGTCTACCTCACAATCCAAACTTGCACCATACAATTTCTCTTCTAGCCCAATTCAACATCACCGCGACGAACAAGCCACAACCAGCAACCACGATCAGCCCAGCCCCTCTAATGCAGCATCTGTCACAGTACATGGTGTTGCTAGTCTTGGGCCAAAGGGCTCTGTCAAGAAGAGGAAGCAGCGGACAGAGGGTGAGCCAACCGTGAAAGATGCGACCTTGGACTTCTGGCGCCGGAAAGGTGATGACACCTCATCTGTTGTCACCCAGTCACGCGTAGCATTCCTTCGGCTCGTTGCAACAAACCCCTGGTCCCTGGGCAAGCACAAGACCAATGGGTTACGAAATGAAGACACCTCTGTACATGCTCGATTTGCCCATGATGCTCTGATGGGAACTGCCCAAAGACTTGGACTGTCGCGCGACCAGTTTACTGTGAAGCCACTCATGATAACAACAGTGTGTAATATTCTGGTGTATTCATCAAGTGGGATATGCTTATAATCTTCCAACCTCACATACTAACAGCTGATCAGGATTGTCTCAAACTTTCGCAATAGATTCCGAACGCAAGCCATCCAGGCAATCAAGGATCATTATAATCTCGCTGATTTAGCCAGTACTGAGCAGGTTGAGAAAGCAACGGAACTATTGGATGGGTTTAATTACATTTGGCACGACTATACTACGGTGCGCTTGCCAGGCTTTCTGTTAGCTTGGATACTGACAATTGTCCCTGTATCTAGAAGGGTGGTCCATACGAACACCCCTTGATTGCCGAAGTTATCATGGTTTTCTTCCACTACAAGTTACAGCACATCCCGCAGCGTCTGGGTGAATTATATCTGGACAATTTCAAGGACTTTAATGACCACCGTGAGCTCATCGCTCTCGCACTCTCAGCGGTAAGTGGCATGAAGGTGTGGAGCACTGTGATTCATTAATTATCATATATCTAGATTCATTGCGCGCTCCAGAATATTGCAAACAATAAAACGGAGTTCGCAGCTTCACGGTTCAGCTCCATCCATGAAAACCACTTGATCGACCTTCAAGAATTCTCAGTCAGGAAGTCAAAGAGATGGGCACGGATTTGTGCCGAGTTATTTTGGACGGTTGCGTGGGTCTGGACTTGGTATGCTGATGTCCTTGGGAACTCATAATTTTACTAGGCGTGCACTGGAAAGAGAGCACTTGTATGAGGAGAACAGTGGGATGATTGTTGCCGCTGCAGAGAAGCCTCTGGGGAACATTGGTGGATGGAGTGATTCCGACTAGAACAAACATGTTTTTACATTTTTAATTATCATGGATACAGTTCGCATGTCGATGCGATCACATAATGGACGGAATGATTGAGAATTATGGAGAATTCCGAGAGTGACCGGAGTATGTGGAGCATTATGACCAGAAACCACGAGGAGCCATGGGAGCCCAGGGCCATGAGAGCCGGGAGAGCACTCGCTCCTGCTGCTCCGAGAGGGGGCAAGGACCTCCTGAAGCCGCATGCACTCCTGGCGCTCTCTCAACTCCAGGAGAAGGTTCCGAACTTCCTGATGCATAGCGAGGGGAATCGACTCAACGCAATCCTCAAGTCGAATAGATATATATATATATATATCACATCAAAAAGAAAGAGAGACTCTATGCATGGGCTTATCTAGCAACTTGGGCAGGCTTAAAAAATGTTTTGCTAATCCGTGGGTTTCGGTTACGGCAATGCTTACTAGCCCATGGGTATAACCAGAAAAAAATGAGCACGTTTCCGATAAGTGGTTTTAATTAAGTATGAGTCAGAAGAATAACGACTGTCGTCCGTATCCCCCCCCCTCCCCGTAACCAGAGGTATGGAGCAAAAATTAGTTGCATTGGCGACAATGGCGACAGAGGACCGCAGGGGAACTGGACCGAGCGCTGAGCGATCGAATAGGTGACGGTCATGCATGTGCAAGAGCTGGCGAGCTACGTCTTGATTCAGTGATTCAGTTCGTTCCACGCGGTTCGTTCGATCCCGGCAGCCTGGCCAATTAAAGGCAGTGAAATGCAAGATCCGGTTTAGAATGAATCGCCCCCCAACAGTGAGTTGCTGTGATGACTAGGGGCGCTTGGTATGTATGGCGCATTATTGCAATATTGTTGACAAAAAAAAGAAAAAGCCCTTCTCAGAGGCACAATATTTATATATAGTTGTCATGGACTTCAGACTGAGCCTGGAGACGTTACGTGAAAGGGTTACGTTACTTACCTGGCAGAGTCCGGATCTACCCTCCCACGGACACCAACCACACTGGATATGATGATTCATTCTGCATGAACAACCATGTGCACGCGGAGCAAAGGTGATCAGCCCGGGTACTGAGCTGAGTTAAGTTAGGCACCACCACAACATTAAGGAGATGGTGAACAGTAGTGCTGAGGGCCTTTTAAAGTTGGAGGGGGGTTGTTCACAGTTCATGTCTTGGCAAGGTATATATCTATACCTTTCCCTTTAATATTGTTGAGCAGGCAATCTGATTAGGCAGATGGTAAGCCTCATCTTTTGGTAAACGTGCAAAGACACTGCTCTCGGGAGGAACATTCTATCAAGAACATCAGATTGAGTAGTATTGGGGGACATTCCTGGGTGCGAGTGAGCAATTTAGGTATCAAGTGGCGCAAGGTCGTCAGGGGAATTGGAAATTCGGTATTTACGAGATACTCAGGGCTAGTCTAGGGTCGATCGATTCGCCATGCATATGGGTTGCGCGCATTATGACGAGTGACGCAAGGTACACTAGCAAAACTGGGAAGATCATGGGGTCCAGTATACTCAGAATATATAGACAGTGAAAATTCTCAGTAGAAGCGAGGGTGCCACTTGAGGGGACCAGAATGAAATAACCGAATGCATGGCGATGGATTGAACGCGACTGGTACCGTGAACAACTGCGGGATCCCCGCGCGTGGATCATGATGGGAGGGATGAAGTTAAGCGGCCATGGAAAATCAAAAGCGGATGTGAATCGCCAAGGCTGCTGGCTCAGGTGCTATGAAAGCCTTGAGACAACGTGCACGCCTCATAATTCGCCCCCAAAATTCGCACACGCAAGGAAAAACCTTGTTCGGGGTCTTACCCAGTGAGAAAGACGACTCACAATTCGTGAGTGCATTCGCAAAGAGCCTAACTCTTACCCCCCTGTAACGCGCGCAACTGGCCATGGGCAGAACTTGTGAGGTTCTAAATTAAACCAAAGATCCGTGCCACTAGTAAGTGATTATTATGCTGCCCCGCAAGCGATTAGACCATATTCACCGGTGCTATTCGTCTGTTCGGCACAACAGCACTCGTCGGCATGTCGGACCGTCCCGCCGAGTTCAACAGCCCCCCAGGGCCGGGGGCGATCATCGTCATCCTTCTGACGGCCCCAACATCCAGTTCAGCCAGTTGAAGCGGGCGGGCCGAATCCTTTTGCCGTTGGACTGAAAGCAACGACAGAGAGTACATTGTATATATACATATACAGATCTCCCGCGAAGGATCGAGTCGTTCGGTGGACGAATTTGCAATTTTGCAAAGGTACACACCCCTATCGATTGCCTGGCAAAAACCCGATCCCGAGCCCACTTGGAGATTTCAGTGGGTTCCAGCATAGCATGTGAATAGAGGGATCCATGCTCCAAGTACTGCAAAGCACCGCGCATGGGGAGATGAAGTTCCATTCGAAGATTCTCATGCGGAGCATCTCAATTTGTCTAATCACAAGTTCATACGTACACCATTTTTGGGTTGCCAAACCGCTGCGGCCAGAATCACTTCCTGGAATCCTGATTAGAAGTATGACAATATTGTAAAGCAGCATTTCACCAAGGGCTTCTGGGGCGGCGGCGCAGGAGATTACATGGCATCGAACCCAACAAGTTGCGCCTTGGTCGCTTCGAATTCTTTCCTTCTCGTGGCTACGAGAAGGATGACAAATTAAGAGAATACTAAGTACTAGCAAAAATGAATCACTGCTAGGGGCTTCCTCGTTATTCAAACAGTGCGGAAGATTGCTAGTAGCGCAAAGACGGCCCTGCACAAAAAAACACTTTCACAATAAGGCATGCACGAACGGTCTGCAGATCCCTTGGACATAAGGCAGAGCTGTAACAGCAAAGCCGCGCGCGTCAGTCGTCTATACAAGTAATAGTTTGTTCCTGCTCGATCCCTTCGAGGATAGGCAGTGCTAAGCGGGAGGTCTCGCCATGACCGATCATGCACGGGTCGGCCGATCAATTCTGTGGAACTGAGAGAGCCCCGTCTCAACCTCCATGCATGCATGGTTACCAGGTTTAGTGATATCAACCCTGGCGTCTAACGGGATCGGCTGGTATTACACGCCATTAGCCCTGACTTTGCATGCAGGAATACAATGCAATGGCATATATATATATGTAGGGCCGTCCATGAGCCTTGGACTAGATGAGGAATCGTCAGAAAAGGATGTTCCGTACGTTGGTTAAGGATGCTTAGAAAGCAGCAAGTTCAGTGGCAGTTAATTCCCCCCGCACTCAAGAGGAGGGGCGGAACTAGCTTTATACTGTGAAGCGGCGGCTGAAGCAATCGATCGTAGTAAATGACGCAAGCAAAGCATGATGCAGGATGAACCAAGTAACAACTGGATATCGACGATCGTCACCAAGTTAGTCGCAGGTAGGAGAACAACAGACGACTGAAGAGAATGCCCAGGGGCTTGAGCGCAACAGACTGGGCACAAAAACCGAACAAGCACACATGCATCTATTGATCATAAAAAAAACCGTGAGCCAACGTTACAAAGAATGGTATGATAAAGATTTCATCACGGAACGTATATAATCAACGTGTTTAAGAGGTTCGTAGCAGGATTCATAGAGTTGGAGTTAAGCGTCAATATGCAGGCCAGAAAATATAGAGAGAGAGAAATTGAAAGATGAACGAAAAATGATGAAAAAGGATTTATCGCAAATAGTTTCGAGGTGATGGAATGAAGAAAAAAAATTCGAGATCAAATTTAGATCTAAGAAAAGGAAATGAGAATGACGTTCTTTGCGCAACGTTTGTTTTATGTTACAAAAAATGTGCAGGTGCAAGCCACGCCCCAACAGGACTGCTAACTGCGGAAAAGGAGAGGTTCCATAGGAAGAGAAACAAAATAGTCAAAGAGCAGTCCGTCACACGAACCCTGACCGATCGGGGGCGGGGTGCAAGCGGCCGTGGTGGCGCGGGGAGAGAGAGAGAGGGGGGGGAACAAGTATGCTTTTAGGATGGTGGCAAGTCCAAGGAAGCAGTAGAATCACTACTACCAAAAAAGCCAAGATCAAGATGACGGACCTTCTTTGAAAAAAAAAAAACAAAGAGGGTGTATTTCCGCCTCCTAATTACCAGTTCCCTTGTGCAAGATGATGACAAAGGGAAGGAGCCCTCGCAACGACATGAACCGGGGAACAAGATGCGAAGGACAACGCAGTATCGCAACGGTACCGGGCGCCGACTTCATCATCTCATCCCCCCCTTGGGCAAGCGCTCCCCCATTATCAAATCCGCACAACCACCACCACGGGAGGGTCAGTTGGCCTGTTGTTTCAGGCATCAACTGCACCAGCTTCCTCCTTGACATCTGAAACAGGGATTTGAACAGTTACCCATTTCGAATTACAAGCAGCAGCAGCATCACCAGCACCACCACCAAACTTGTCAGAAGAACAAACAGCTGAAACCTCAGATTCAACTTCACTTGTCGCAGCACTGCTGCTGTCTTCCACGTTGCTGGAGGAGGAAGAGGATGCAGTGGATACGGGAGTGGAAGATGGATTGAGAGACTCGGAGGATAATGTGCAAGAGGAGTCGATCTCCACTGGTGGGTGAGGACGAATGAGAGGGGTTGGCTCGCGTTGATCTTCGGAATCCGACTCGGAGTCGGGGCTAGGTGATGAAATGGTGGTTTTAGTTACGGCGGTTTCAGCTTTTGCGGGCGCACGGCGCTTCAAGCGTCGAAGTTTAAGGACTTCTTTTTGCTGGAGGTTACGCATCATTGGTCAACGTGAGCCATACATAGGAAAGGTAAAGAGTTTCCTTACCTCATCAGCCTTCTCCGTGATAGTCTTCTGAGGATTCCAGTCAGATTGTGTCAAGGCAAAGCAAGCAAAGAGCAGACATACATCCTCATTTTCGTTAACCTTTTCTTCCTTTCCTTTTTCGTCATTTTTTTCCTTTTCCTTTTCTTTCTCCTTCCCTTTCTCCTTTTCTTCAACGACCTCCGCTTCCTTCGCTTTTGCTTCCTCTTCCTCCTTTAACTTCTGGATTTTAGCCTTCGCCTCTCGTTCCTCTGTTGGCCCCCGCAAACGCATCAGCGATTCCTCCATCGCGAGAACCAGAAAAAATACCCTCGCAACTCACTCTCAATCCATTCTCCCACTTCTTTCACAGCTTCTCGTGGACGAGTCTTGTTCCTAAGAAGGTATCCCTGAAGGCCAGCAACCTAATCAGACACAACAAAAAAAAACCCCAGCATGACGATCGACGACGATGCGAGACAAAGAGAAGTCAGCAAATTTAGTCAATACGGATGAATCACCTCCAAGAAAACGCGGCCACAGACTGCAAAGCTCCAACACATCAAACGAGACGCGAGCCTAAACGAAACACACATACACTAAGTTCATTCTCTGGAATGCGAGCAGCAAATTCCTTTGCCAGCTGATCTAACTCCTCTTCCTCCAAAAGAGGAATAGCGTGTCGAGATGATTTTTTTGGATTGCTCGACTGGGGGGCAGGTGGACTAGCGCCGCCATCAGATGAGTTGACTTCTGTGGCGTCCTCAACCTTGGGCTTAGTTGGGAAGAAGTTCTTAAAAATGCCCTCTATAAGGTTGAACTTGCAATCAGTGGGCAGTTTTTTTTAGGAATATCAGGCAGAAACCACCAAACTCACCAGCTTGCCACTTGCTCGCGTGCTTAAAATCAACGTGCACATCAAGTCGACCCTATGAGGGTCGTAGTAGGTTTGACTGGGCCAATATTATGGATACTTCTCAAAACACATACAGGACGAGTCAAAGCAGGATCAAGTCTTTCAACATGATTAGTCGTAGCGAACAACAATCTCCCAGTACTAGCCGCAACACCATCAAGGGAATTCAACAAACCCGAAAGAGATAGTGTGTTTGGATCATCGGGGACTGCAACTGTTGGGACGGCCGAAGTAGTGGTCGTCGTAGTTGAGGTGAGGGGAACACCAGTCGACTTGGAATCACGGGTCACAGAGCGAGTGAATGCCGCGTCAAGATCTACCATGGGATATCTTGTTTAGGCCAAGCTTCCAACTGAACTGATGCTGTGCGTACCTTCGAGCAACAAAATACATCTAATCAAGCCCTGAGTAAGGACCAATATGGCAAGGAGGAGGGGGAGGCAACTCACCTGGAAGGGACGCGTGACAATAGAGTTGTCAAAGTGTTGTCGCTCATCCTATTTCAGTACTGGCGTCAGTGCCGTCATTTTTCAAATGTATCAATGGGAATCATGTTCTCACCCTTTGGCACTCAGGCTCACGACATAAATGTCAAGACTCAATTCACCAGCAATAGCTGTTATGATCCAAGATAATCGCTTATCAATGTTTGGCAAGGGTCTTATTTTGGGATGACTGACCATGAATTAGACTAGTCTTCCCACTTCCAGGCACCTGGCAACAAGCGTCGTCATTATTCTACCCACTGTAACGGTATTGGTGTGAATGACTTACCCCGTGAAGAAGGTATCCTCGGCGGTAGGGAATGCCTGGGAAAAAGAAACAATGGGTCAACTTTGGAATATGATGTGAGAAACCCTCACAGTGAGAAATGCCCACCTCGATCCGCATACCAGGCCTCTGAAGCGAGGAAATCTTTGGTATCGGAAATTAACATGTCCTTAACACCCGGCTCGAGAACGACAGAAGACAGCGGTCGTTTTTGGTGGGCACCGTTCCATCGCCAGCTTGAGCTTTCAGCAAGGAAGATATGAACTAGTTTGGTCATAAGGAAATGTCAAGCCAAGTGCAAGCGCAAAAAGGGGATGGATTTAAGGTACCTCGATGTTCCATGTCCGCTTCATATTCACGACGAGCTTGAATAATGAGCGTCTTGAGAATGTTGTTATTACGAGCTACGACGGTAATCCTGATTTCTGAATAACCGCCATAGTGTCCACCCCGTCGGGTACGAGTGATCTGCAAAAAAACCATAAGCGTGTATCCAAAACTAAAAATACGTTGTGGCACAAATGTACCTTAAGCCAGTGCCCGTCTGGTTACGAAAGATGGTGGCCATATTAGTAATTGGCGCATGATCCGTCAAAACAACACCGCTACTGACGGTAAAAAATTGAATGCGTGACATCTGGATGAGGGAAAAGAATATTTGTCAGTAAAAAAAAAGCTTTGACAACTCGTGCACGATCGTGCACTTGCGAATATGTATTACCTAAGGAAGGCAAGAACGCGATGGCCCTTCGCCTTCCGGGAGTATCTTCTTCCTCTGCATCAGCCTCGGTGGATTCGATCCCCGTGCTGCCCGAACGTGCAGTGCCAACATCAAATTCACGTGAAGCGTTGTATGAGGGTTGTTTTGAGAGCCAGTGCCTGTTGGGCCCCCACTTGTCAGACCAATAAAGGTAAAGTCCATCTGGGGACATACATAATCCAATCATAAGGACTGGTAAGAGGGGGGCTGTGAGGCTGCAGAATCCAAAAACGTATGGAAACCGGACACTCACTAATCTTCTTGGCTGAAATGAGCCGTCTTGAGGGATGTGTCGTAAATAAAGAAAGAATTGGGAAGACCAAGGGAATGGAGGGAACGCACCAGGAAAAAGGCTGGTTGGATGGGAGGGATTAGTAGAAGGAATAAGGAGCGAGAATGCGATGACCTACACTCTATGAGCGAATTCCATGCACTTGTGCTGGCACGGCGAGTTGCTGGTTTGCCTAGGCCTTAGCTACGATGCTCCCAGCCAACGAATAATTACTGACCCTCAATCGCGGAACCCATGACCACGAGCTGGTTGGAAAGGCCGAAAATGTGAATTTTCTACGAAGACCCTTTGTGTTCGTTGAGAGAGAGGTAAACAAACCTTCGCGGTCTCTTTCAGTGCACCCGAGTTGCTAATGATGCCCTTCACAAGATCCATTATCGTTCCAACAGTTTGGCTAAGCCCGTCACGCGTCAATTTGCAGAGGCTGAGGAAGGGAGCGTAAAAGAAGGAACATACGATTCGGATTCACGGCCCTCTCGGATTTATACGCGCGACTGAACCTTCCTTTTCTGGGTCATCATATGTAATTGTCGTGAGGCCCGAAATGTAAATTCTTTCATTGGTTTGCTTTCAGCGCTATACCGCTATCCTTTACTCTAAAAACAAAAAACACCAAGCTCGACCAACAAACACGCGAGGAATGGGTCGGCCGTCTTTGCCAGAAAAGTCCAGCTGGACCCCGGAACCGAGGCACAATGCAGTCGTCGCCTTCTTTTTCTTCCGTGACCGCTAAGTACCATTTTTGGAAAGGCCGAGCGGCACGTCCCCAACACCCCAACGAGAAGTCCTGAGAAGTGAAGGTCAATGATCAACGGCGAAGAACATGGTGATAAGCGCGCGGTGGAATAATGTGTTCCCCAACGACGTAGTAGGCAGGACTCCAGCCTCTATGACTTCGTAATAGACTAGTGAGCGCTAGCGCGGAGTTTAGTCAATTCATTTGTCCGCACCGTATAGTTCCCACGTTTCTTCAGATGGGCGCGGCTATTGCGTAATCGACTCCGAAGCAAGTACTTGGTCATTCCATAACCACAGATGGAATATAAACAAACAGTGACGACCAAAGAATTTTTACAACTCGGTCGAGACTACTCAATCCCCGTCAATAATTGTCAAGAAGGAAGCCTTGCGCAAGCAGCATGGCATCAATCATCAATTCGGGTGTGTGACAAGCAATGGCATTTCCAAAAATGACAATGTCTCTCCCAACCCAATTTTTTTCGTGGAACGTGCAGCTCTTCCTGTCAAAAAATCGTACGTTTTCATCTGAGCCGCTGAACCGCCCACTTGACACAAAAGCATGGTCAGTCCATTACATATACCGTACGTGGGTAGTTTCGGCGGGCCGGTGGGAGGGGTGGGGGGCGGATTTTCCACCTTGTGGCGAGATCTTGTTAATTCTCACATAATGCTGCGTGGATTTGGTCATGTTTGACATGGAAAAGATGGGCAAGTTTGGCTGTTCCTCCCACTCTCGCTTCCTCAGTCGCATGTCAGTCTGAGGACCTTGGGAAATCAACAGAATACGCGTCGCTATGTTCTCTTGGAATGACCAATCACTTATTCGTTGCGTTCTGCAGCCCTATCCAATGAACGCAGGACTAGCTCCCATTCAACCTGTTGGGCAGCTATATCGTAGAAACTCGGATCATCGCGCGGAATCTTGAGCAACGTACCTCCCCCTTCGTAGCGAAGCCATATGATCGTTGGGATAACCCGAGCGGCAAAGATTGCGGCGTAACGTGTCGTGAACACCTGTGATAGGCCTAGCTTAGCATCTAATCTGGTAGATATGCAGCGTTTTGCTGGATGGCTAGTCAGGAACTTGGACAGTTGCGGGCATCGCGGATGCTTCTCGAAAGTTCGATTTGTCTGCTTCTCGAAAGCTTCTATGGGTGCAGAAAGCTCCCCCCTTCCCCCTTATGTAGCTTGGCGTAGGATTAAGCTTCTACGATAACAAACTCCTGCCCCGCAATTCACCATACGGCATTGTCCCCTCGCGCGCAAATTATCAGGCCAATTCGTACATGGATGCAGGTGTTCGCACAGGGGTTGACGGCGGGCGATTTGTACGGGTATGTTACGGACCTTATTCTGGTATGTGCATGGTCCGATTGAAGTGCAAATCACTCTCGCACGGGTGCGCCCGATTAAAGAACACTTTGTAAGTAGGAACGATCGATCGGGCCAATCATTTGCCACAAAGGCCTAGCTGTGAACTCCAGAGCCAAGGCGTTCACGACCTAGCTGCGGGTCTCATGATGGGGCATCACATCACGCCGCGCGATCAGCTTAAATAACTGCTGCCACACAAAGCACGTCACTGGGGTTTCCATCATTTGTCATAATTCGGTAGTACAATGGGCGACTGATATCATCCCGCTGGCAAAATAAGGACGTGAGTACGTCTGAAGATCGAATCTAGATAATTCATCAGGCCGCACTGTATCAACTGCACGTCAAACAAAATGTGCTTCACCAATCCCTCAGATGGACGAGAACTTTCCAAGCCAGGGCACTTGGGCTCCCAAGAAACTCACAAAAGGAGGAAGCTCACCTAGATTCATCATCAGCTGTCATTTCAGGACCCCAACCACAGAACAGAATAGTCGTGTAAGGACGTAATCACGAGGTCACACAGGGACAAGAACGCACCTCAGGTGCCTCAGGGATGCTTGCTTTTTTTTTTTTTTTTCAGATCGTACCATACCAGGATTTCTGCTGTCACTCGTTTACTCATCATTCTCACTTGGATCGGGGAGCCGCTGTACATAGACCTCTAAGGAGATGCTATGAAAGAACTCATGACCTTCGGACCAGGGTGCATACGTCAGACGTTGACCAAGACACGATCGAATATGCCTTGGTTTAGGTGATCGGGGGCGGCATTGAGACCCGACGCCGCCCATATTCCCTTTGTTGGTGAAATGCGCTTGACTCGGATGGTTGAGGCCGGCCGCTTCGGGTAGCAGGCACACTAGTATGCTGCTGCGGAGAAGCCGAGTGCTACGCACACCCTTTGACTTGTATGTTTCATGCTGCTGCTCACATAGTACACTTCTTATCAGCTGGTCCCCCCCCCGGCGCAAGTAGTGTGGAATCCCAAAAACCATCAATATCTCCATGATAATATTAGAACTGTCTAGGAAAATTGTCCGAGTGACGAGATTAGTACGAGTGGAGCGTAGAATAAACAATCAACTCCACGGATTTTGCATCAAAAGAAATGTGGGGTGATAGTTGTCCCTCAAACATGTCCGCGGCTACCACCATCTAATTTCGCTCCATACCAGCGGCCCAAATACAATACATGCAGTCCAAAACTATGGTGAACGGAGCGGTAGTTAGCGAGCTGAAGAAAAGAAGATGGAAATGTAACGCAAGCCTTACCACAGTGAAACACCGAAATATATAAGCTGGGTACTCCCCGAATGAAAACTGCCGTAAAAGTTTGTCGTCCTCATCATCATCTCCTAACTTCCCTTTGTTCGATGCGACGAGCGGCGTAGTGAAGTGGATGTATATCGAGTAAAATGCGACTGCAAAGAAATGGCGCGCTAACAGGACTGGCGACGGCGCGAGACTACAACGAGGCCATCAAAATCCGAACAATATTCCAGGTTGAAGAACTTTTACCCAGCCAGTAAAGAGACGGGCCCATGGATGCAATCACCACCCCGCTCGAAATAGGCAAAACACCCAGCGCGCAGAATATGTAGGTTGATGTCTGAGCTTCCACATTAACCACGCTCCCTGGGAAAACCTCAAAGGAAGAACACGCACCATCAGCGCCAAAGAGATCATACAATGCAACGCTGAGGATATTAATGGTGCTAGAGAGGCCTTTTCTCGACCAGTGCCATGCGCTTAACGCGTCAGAGATCTGATCCCAATCAAGCGTGATTGTAGTGGGAGCCGCTGACGCTTCCAATTCAGGATTCGCCTCCGACAGAAAAGGTGTCAGGAGACGCGTTAATATCACGACATCGTTGAGGGCCACTGTCATGCCACCTTGGTGACGACCGTTAGCTCCACTTTTACGTTGGGTCAATGAGAAATCCCTCCAAGTACCTCCAGTCAAAGGATGCCGCATATTCCACGCATCCCCAATCAAAATCAGTCCTTCTTTGCTATGACCTTGCTTTGCGGCTGGGAGAAAGGAATTGGGCATGCCTCTCAGACGATCCTTTTCCAATGATTCGAGTACAGGTTTTCGGAGCGCATCAGGAAGAGCGGGGACGACGATGTTGCGGACGTGGGCTTTCGTGTCAGCCGGTAGAGGTAGTTTCAAATCAACTAGCATTCGGGTTTCATTCGTCCCAATCTGATACATTAGCACAGGACCAGAGCCAGGTACGAGAACAACTGTCCCATGGTTGCTGATAGGGAGCTGGGCATTTTCAAGGATGGCCCCCATAAAGTTGCTCTTTGTAACAGGTGTTTGTTGAGTGACTTGGGATCGGAATTTAGAGTAACACCCATCGGCAGCAATAATGAGTTCGCCAAAAAAGGATTCGGTATAGGGAGGAACATCCTTGGTCTTGCGCGTAGCGCGCACTCCTAGAACACGACCAGTAAGAGGGCATTCGATAAGTTCGTTAACGGTAGCCTCGATGACATCGACACCCCGAGCTTTAGACGCCGCTTCCCGAAGATTCATTACGAAGCTACCATGATGAAAGCTTCGACCCTGAGCGCCATTCGGATAAGGAATATGGACCTGTTTTCCCTCGTACACGACGCAATATCCATACGTAGGCTTCGCGTCGATGCCTTCTGTGCACCACTGCAGACCTAGTTCCTTCAGAGCATTCATACCACCGGGCTGTAAAAGCTCTCCCACAATACGATCAGGCTTGGTTAAAGATCGTTCAAGAAGCGCTATTCTCAATGGGGGAGCGTCCTTTGGGCGAATTAGTGACAATGAATGCGCCAAAGCTGGTCCAGCAATTCCAGCACCGATGATAATGATATCATAACTGAACGTCTGCAAGGACACCGTTACTTTCTGCGCGTCCGAGAAGTCACCTGGGGCGCTTACCATCCCTCTGTGTTAAAGATTTGAAGAAAAACTATTCAGACGCGTCGTACCATTACTCAATTGATCATTGTGTAACAAATTCATCCATCCACGTGATTGTACAACAGATTCAGACCAAGCATGCATCTCGTCTCCCCTGGTTCCAACGAGTCGGTGCGTGATGTAATACCCCATCTCATGCCGTTTCACATTGGCTATTCGGGATCTGCACCTGTCTCGACGTACTTCCACGCGAAACCTCTGGACGTACGAACAGGTTCTGGCCCAGGAGGAGACACGTCCGCTGCAGCCGTAACAGGGACCTCTGGGCCACAAAATTCTGCTGGAGGGGAGAGCAGCACAAAAGACGCGTATACCGCCGCGTTTCGTGGTCGTTCCGTCCACGGTTCGCGCATATTGCTCCCAGAGGGGTATTCAGGATACGTTCTACAATCCAACGAACCCGCAGCCACGGCGGCATCGGAGGCGTCATTGAAGCGGAAACGGACAGAGACGGTCTCACAGCCTGCAAAAAAAAACCGCAGACTGAGGCGCACTCGCAGTGTCGTCGTCAAGGAGGAAACGGAAGATGATATCTATGCTCTGATGTCCCGAGTTGAAGATGAGATTGAAGTGGAGGAGGTGACACCAGCGATCGAAACCGTGGCACCTACGAGGGAATTCACGCCAATTGGGAAGTTTGATTCCATTATGGTTTGGCATCCGGATGTCCCGGTGGATCATGGACAGGATGAATATATCCGCGCAATCGACGAGTGGGCAAAACTGTCGAACACAGTAAGTTCACGCTGGCTGATATCGATAATGTGGATGCATGCTGATTGCGATGAAGTTGCATGATTTTTGATGTATTACAGTTTCACCTCTTTCCCCTTCCAACCTTTCTCTCCGACGTCACCGAACACCTCTTCATACGCTCTTCCAATCTCGGATATCATATCTCCCGTTACTACCCCCCTCCCAAGCTTTTTAAAGGCGAGCTTAGACGTCACTCGTGTGATGGTTGAGGCGCCGCAGGCCGCGAGCAAGGGAACATCCTTGATATCTATGCTCGAGTCCTCCGAGTCACCTCTTCACCACAAATCAATGAACATAGCATGTCGCACGTCATGTCACTTACTTCTCAATCGTCGTTTCCGCGTATGCTTTCCCCCATGCGAGGAACGTGCCCACAGCACCACTCAAGATGTCACCTTGACCGCCGCACCGCTTCAAACCACCTTCCACATCGATAATCTCGGTCCGCTTTCCATTCGAGATGATATCCTGTGCACCTTTCTGGAGAATGACGACGTCCCCCAATTCTTTTGCTATCCGCGATACGAGGGTGTCTGCTGGCGCATCCTTGGGAATTTTCTGCCAATCAAATGTCAGCGAAACGTCAATATTCAACTCCACTTTAATTACCAATGCATCGCGCAGACGGCCAAACTCCACTATATTCGGAGTAAGAACTGCTTTTCGGTATCCCCTGATGTATTCGGGGTGTTTTTGGATGAGCCAAAGACCATCCGCATCCAGCACAACGTATTTGTCCTGGTCGCGAGCAATGGAGATTGCCATGCGGGCATAATCCTGCATGTGGTCTTCCCGGCCCAACCCTGGTCCTATCACAACTACGTGAAGTCTTTCAAAGATATCTCTGAGTTGAGATTCGACTCGTGCACGATCGCTAATAGGAAGATATTCAGTATCCAATATGGGATCTTCAGCTGCAGAGGGCGTGTCTACTCTTTCGTGTTAAAGATGGGATGTACAATCAGATCGGGTGAATAAGTCTTTATGACACTGCCAGCGTCGGGAGAGCAAATCACATGGGAGAGGTCACTGCCCTGTGGTATGAGACACTGAGGTTTAGTAGTTGGAAATACCATGATAACTGTTAAAGACGTGCAAGCCTTAATGCTGACATGGCCGCAAAGAAAGGTGCTCCTGTATAACTGTGGAACCATTGGAGCCATATAAGCTCCCGATTCTGCTAGCATGTGTCAACGCTTACTCTTGTGAGCCCCCCACGACGCCAACACGCCCAGCTTGACCTTTGTGCATTTTGGGTGACAAGGGTGGGATGATACGCCTCACATCGTTCAGTATTCGTTTCGCCATGTTTGGATCTCACAACGATTGGGTCAAAGTGGCTGTACAATGTACATTAGCCTTCTTGACGTCATGTCACTCAAATGACCTCCATTCGTACTGGTACATCTCCTGCCTCATTGTAGCCTCAAATGTCGCGCATGGGATGGGAGGCCCGGGATTACTCGTCAGGAATAAGCTGCGCTCAATGTTCACACTAACTTGAAATTTAGTCGCCATTAGAAATGTTCCAAGGGACTCGGGAGTGAGTCCCATCCAAATGGTGGCATGCGATTAGTGTCAGATCGAGGTGCCTTGGATCATTGTCGAGATGGCGAATAGATAGCATTCATTTCTCTATGCAATACATTGTGAAAAGCATGAATAGAACGCTGTCAAATTTTCTTATTCTTGACGAGTTCTGGAGCATACAGAGAACTTATCAGTCGCCGGAACGCTGGAAAAGTTCACAAGCACTCACGCTCGATCTCGGCAACGGCGCCAAGTAGAATATCCTTCTGGGCCTTCTCGTCCTGAAGTGCCTTAAGGACCTTGTCAATGACAGTCTTAGTGAGCTCGGCTTGTTCGCTCTCCTTGATCTGTTGTTCGTAGCGGGCCCAAGAGTCTAAAATCGCCTTGAGCTCGGCAGCAAGAGCAACTTGCTGCTTCAAGACAAAAGCTTCAGACTCAAGTTTAGCAGTCTCCTGCAAAAATGAACACGCTCAGGACCTGCACATTAGCCATACGAAGCTAACGAACTTTTGAAACGGCAAAAAGAGCCTTGGTAACATCGACAACGTCCTTCATCTGTTTTACAGAGTCAATACGTTCTGTGACAGCTCTGGTGTGCTCGGCCCTTGTCGACTCGAGGATGTCTTTGATACGCTATGAAGCAACGGCAGAAATTAGAAGGGCGGAAGGTGCCAAGAGAGCTTATACCTCACATTAATATTAGCCTCAGCCCATTCCTTGTAGGGCTCGCGCATGGCTCGAACAATGAAAGTGAATACTGCAAGGGTACCAATGAGAAGCACCGTCTCGTCCGTGGCCACATAGAGCTCTTGCGAAATAGCTGTCGCAACGGCACCGGTCCCAAGTATTACGGTCCCGGTCTTGCTCACAAGGGAATTACCTGGAATTGAGTCGAGGATAGCATTCGCCTTTTCTGTTGGTGGAGGTCGCGCTGGAACAACTGTCAGACAAACACCACGATTAGGTCAAGCTTGAAAGCAAATACAATCGGCAAGTCCACGGGACCTAAAAGAAGAGGTGACGATGGTTAATAATCCCTGATACTAGTTCCAAGGATGAGCACTACTACGCACGACTGAACTGCGACCAAGCGTGGGACCGTGGCAGCCAGCCGTGGACGGACGAGATGGCCTACAGGGACAGCAAAGGGACCCATCAGTACAACCCATAGAATCGATTCCGTAAGTAGGTGGGACCCACCAGCGGCCTTCAAATTCTGGGCAGCGATGCGCATTGGGAAAAGTGCGAGAACCGAGTCTTGCCACACGCGGGAACTTCCGGTCACCCGCATTTGCAAAGAAATCGTCCGGAACCGCTGTGGTTCTTGGCTTGAGGGTCTTCATTCCACAACGTCATGTCCACGAGAGCCAAATTCACCCTTGGTACTGCCATCTTATTCTCTTCCTTCACCGTATGGTTTGTGCATGCTAACCAAAAAGCCGAGCGTGATGTGAGTTTGGTGCCATTCAACGGAACTGCCAGTGCAAGCTTAAGACGCCCCGACATCTAGGCAATGTACAAGGGTGTCCTGCGTGATGAAGCCCGTCAGGCTGCAAAGCGGGCTGCCCGAGAAGAAGAACTTCAGCAGTCACTCCTCAAAAGCCAAAGATACTCGGCCGTTCAGGAAGTGGTGTCGTCCGACTCATCCCGTTAAACCAACTGGCCCTCAAATCCTCCGGCGCCTCGACATCCAACCATCCGCTCGTCTCCCCGTCTTCATATTTACTCCCTCAACAGCTCTCCCGCATGCGCCACTGCTTATGATACCAATGGCAGTAGTAACATGATCATTGGCTCATTTTGTACCTTTTTATTCCCAGATGAACCAAGTGTTTTCAGGACAAGTTTAGTCGCGCCTGCTGCCACTGCTATCCATAGCCTGGTCAGCTTTCAGATTGGAATTGCTAATAGCGGCTGCATCGCCTTCTCACGTGAGATTATAGATGCGCGCGCACGAGCGACTCCCGGCTCTTGTCCACCGGGCCTAATTGCTCCTCTCCCAACCCAACCAATATCTCGTTGCGACAGGCATTGCGGGATCTGTGAGTTATGTCAAAGACCGCGTTACAGCACGTGCTCACCGTTTATTTAATTGTCTTGAGACAAGCGTTCAGAGGTTCCCCCACTCCCTTTCGCAGTCGTTGTCGGATGAGTGCGTATGTCAAACTTGGAGATCTGGACATATTCTTCAAACATGACCATGTTGAGGTTTACTCTCGGGAGTATGTCACTCTTTCACTTGGACGGCTGATCAATGTTGAAGCCCCCACTAGATATGCGGATTTCGAAGGCTTCATTGCTCTGGATGCTGAAGCGCTATTCAATCCGGATATGAAACGATTTCTTGCTAAGGAGGCCCGCGTCGAAGTCAAGTTTGGACAATTCAAGATTCATTACACCACACCCTCACCCCTAGATCCGGAAAAAACCCTTGAGTATGGGATCCATCCTGGATTTGACAGTCATGTGTTGATCAGCAAGCCGGAACCCATAGAGGAAAAAGTGTGGGCGTCTCGATTTCACATTCGGGTTCCTCCACAAGCGATAAAAAAAGGGACTGACGTAACATCGACATTCACGCTCCACGCAAGCGCGAAGTGCACCTTTACATATCTCGCCCAGCCTATTGTGGAACGGATATCTCGAAGCGCAACATCAACTTTCACCGTCAAATGCTTGGGATAACACTTCAGGCCTAATTCGTTGTCATGCATTGGTCTTTTAAGGGCGGGATTGTCAGGGTCGAGAGCTTAATGTAAGGTGGTGAATACCGTATTCTTTTAATAATCAGGAATGCACCATTTTGTTCAGAAGTAGCACAACGACAAGTGCAGGTTTTCATTATGATCTGCTTGAGCCCACAATTGGGACACGGAAGGAGTGTTTCGACGCCTCGTCTAAAGACATACACCCCCCGAACTACCAGCCTGGGTGCCAGCTTGACAAGTGCCGAGATTAACCTGACTCCCCACCCTTTCAGGCTATTCGCACGCACATGACGTGATCCTCCACGAAGTACCTGGCATAGTCATGGTTGAGAGCATTTGGGCTGGTACATCTCCCAGTTCATCAAGCATTCTTCGCGGCACTTTTCGCGAGTTGTCTGAGTGACGTACGTTTCGGCAAGCTGCTCAGGGTTTGTTGCGAATCAGCTCACCACTGCACGCTAACTATGACAGCATCGTTGGAAATTCGACAGCTATTTGGGCGCTTAGAGTGGCCTTCGGCCACCAGTGGGCCATAAAGTCTTATCTCGCTTTGTTCTCCTTCGGACGATCATAGCGTTTCTGGCGCTTTCATCGCTTTCATCTTAATTTTGAAGAGGATAAATATCACACTTTTACGCCCCCCTCAGTTCACTAATGTGAGAGCGATATCTTGATTATTTCTAACTAACAAAAACGCATGTACGATGTTCTCGCCGTACCCCGCATGGTCCTTCGCATATTAGCGGGACCGGAGAATCTGCGTCTAGTAGATTCTACGAGAACAACTGAGCAAGCCTAGTTGCACAGTGTTCAGACCGAGTTTTCTATCAGAGAGCAGGAAGGGAAAATCTAGGTCAAAATGACGAAGACGAGGAGGAAAGGTGATCGAAAGCGTTGGGAAAAACAGAGAATGATAAAATCACCCCGCATACGCAAAGGAGACGGCGCCATAAAGCCCGTCCTCTCTCCCGAACATACCCTGCCCATGCAATACTTCCATCTTCCTTGCATGCCATCCAACTCCGTGGGGACTACCCTCGCAAGCCCACCGCTCCAGACACACCCTGACTTCCTTGCCCTTCCCCTCTTGCACACCCCTACGCAGGGCGCCATCCGCCCAAACAGCAGTCGAATCCACATACCACGCTCGGCCCCCTCGACTCTTCACAATTTTCCATCCAAACGCTCCTGTGCCGAGACAGGACAACGTGAAAGCTGAAAGCTCAACTACCCGCAACCTCGTTGGTGGTTCCGGAGGCGAATAATTGGGAGAATCACTGGAGATGCACGCCGGGACACATAGTGGCAGGAGAAGCTGCGAGTGTAGCGCTATGGAGATGGCTCCTTTGCTAGCTGTAAGCTTCGCAGGAGACGCGTGAGGTGACCCATCGTGAATAGTACCAGTCAACTCAGGCGTACTTCCAACGAGCGTAACAATCTCAACGTTTGGAGCTTTATTAAATAAAAAGTCGCGAATATCCCCAAGCGTCAGACCTTCAGTGCGACCTTCAGTGCCTTCGTGCATGCTGATGTTCGCACCAAGAAAGTTCAGACCGAGGCTGCGCAAGGAAGGTTGGGGCGAGAAACCCGCAAGGTGACTTTTATCGAGCGCGCTACCGGAGAGATCAAGATACTCTAATTGTCCACGGATAAAACATTTGGCCTCCGTCACGATCCTGCCGAGGTCCCACCTCGTCAATGGGCACGGAGCAGTTGCATCTCCATAAAGACTTAACTCCCGGATGCCTTCGGTTACTGCACCGCCGTCGATGAGGAAATCCGTAATCGATTCAGAAGTGAGCCGACTACAACGTGAAAGTGACAGTGAGTGCAAGCGGATTGTAGGTGTGGCGGCAAGCGCCTGTAATAGCGTGGGGGTGCAACAAGTCGAAGCGAGATCGAGATGGGTGAGGGAAGGGAAAGAACAGACGAATGCGGAGAGAATATCCGGCGAAACAGATGCAACGCCATCTAGACAGAGGCGCCTGAGGCCAGGGAATGTCCTTAGAGGAACGGGAATCAGGGAAGGCTCCTTGGCATGTCCGTTAAAATGCCCAGAAGCTAAACGTTTAGGTTGGGCTGGTTTGTAGGACAAACCGAGTCCGGTTTCCTTAACAAATTGCTGCAGGGAAGTGGCGAAGATGGGACTGGCGCATCCACAAAAGTCTAAAGCTTCTAGGGGCTTGTATTCTGCTCGTCTCTCTTCATCATCTGCCTCTTCCATCTCATGTTTAAGTCGCACCGCGCCACGTCCCCGGACTGGTGCACCATTATAAGGAAGTCCTCGGAGGATCAGTTCTGCAAGCACGTTAGCACTGACAGCACTCTCTATCAGCTCCGTCGCTCCGAATACGCGCAGATTAGGCATTTCCTGTCGAATAATGGTTTCTAGTTCGTTCGAGTCAGCTGCAACGCTGAGAGTGGCGTACCTTGAGCAGACGCTCCAAGCGTGCCTCGGTCACGAATCGCGTCCCGTCACCAACAAAATGCCTCATACTGATTGTCCTAAAGTGGTTGAAATCAAGGTGGCGTACGTATCGTCCAGGGCGAGAATACACTGGAGTCGGGACTGTTGATTATGTTGAGAGTGCAATTACTTCAAATGAGTATCGGATCATTCGGTAGTTATAATCCCTCGCACATACCATACAATCCGGGTTCGGCATGAATCCTCCGATTCACATCTCGAATAAATCGCCATCGCCCAGGGGACCGTGCACGCAACCTTCGGGGGCTAGGATCCCGGGAGACACCTGGAGATAGCAAATCCAATGGGACGGTACGTTTACGCATATCCTTGTCGGGCATTGTGATAACGTTCGCCAGTTGCGTAACACGTTTCGTGCTCAACATTGCAACATTATTATCCGGAACAGGCGTAGATAGCGAGGATGGGGGAGAAGTAACGACCAAATGAGGATAACCGTCGGTGGAAACTGGCATAAGGATTGTGGGAATGACTTGTGGCGGGGTGTGTTCCTCGTCCTCCCCACAAATCTCATCCAGTAAACGAAGCCAGTTACGGGGAAGGTTCACCTCAATCCGTCTCCATAACCATGGTTTAGCTGCATAGTAAAAATCCTTGCTAACTAAACACATGTTAGCAAGCGTCTTGCGTGCGACGGGTTCCGACCAGTGTGGCGCGGGAAATGCGGAAGGGGAGGAAGTCGGCATATTAGCAGTGTTTGGCAGGTAGAGGGGGTCCAACGGAGAAGAGGGGCAAGGAAGAGCTGCGTCGAATACTGCTGCAGCTATGGCTTCGAGGATGTCAACAGGGAAAGGTCTTTTCACCGGAATCGCAGAGGGCTTCATAATGTATATCGTTGAAGGTGATATGGACGTCTAAGGACTCGACACTCAAAGTCTAGAAACAAATGTATAAGTGTGGAATGGGGTGCAGCATTTCCTGGTTGAGATTTATACGCGCTAGGTAGCCCAGGTCCGCGTTGTTCCGGAGCAGATCTCTGAAAAAAGTATTATCAGATTACTGGCACTGTTTAACGGACCCGCGAATAAAGCTCAGCACTCTGGTATAGTCCGCGTTGTTCCGGGGGAATCGTGTAGATGGACATTTCAGGAGGCAGCGTCTTGATGATGCGTCGAGCCCCACGGGGAATGGGTCGTCGTTTACCGGAAATTCGATCGACACACCCGTTGTTCCGAGTGACGGGGTAGAAATCCCTCTTGCAGAGGCTCGTGCTCTTTGGTGCTCCAATCTAGAGACTCGCATCAAGCACATTCATCGCGAGAAGATTATGCAAAGGCACAAAACCACGCATTGACTATGATTCGGATCCTTCGCCGAATCCCTACAACACCTCTGATTCAAGCTGCGGAACCCAGCAACAGACAATTTCGCCTAGAGGGATCAGGATGCGTTTTAAGGAACCCGTATGATGCTGATATGCTCGGATCCAGAAGCTGAGCAGGATGCACGTCCAGAAGAGCGACGCGTTGACACAACAACTAGCTCCCCGGCCGCCAGCATTTGATTCTTCGGATTCGGTTCGATGTTCCCATCTGGTTTTCTCATGGGGGAAATAATTCTGCTGAAAACTATTATGATCCTGACCTTCATTGCAGCATCAGACCTTCTAAAATGAGAATCGACGTAGTACAACGACAGATCACATCCAAGAATTGATACATTTAGTCCTTTGGGTTTGACCGCCGGAAAGAGCCTATTTCGTTAAAAGCGCGCGATCGTTTCTTTCTTTCTTTCTTTTTGTGTAACCGACCGTAGCTTTCGCTGGCCAGTCTAGGCTGTCTGGGTAGGGGTGCCCCCGAGAGAAAGAGAGTTGGTTGTTCCCGAGACTTTTATAACAATAACATTATTCGGCACCACTAACGTGAGGAAATGAGTTATCACCGTGCCAGTTGTTCTCACGATAATGTTCAGCTTGCTTCGGTGTCGTCTGGTTCCTTGTGTTCTTTCTCCTGGTGCTTCGGTCGATGTCTTCCCCATCAATAGAAGCAAAGGAGAGCAAGACATATTCAAAGCATTTGGTGCGGGCGATGAGACCAAAGGGGTTAACCCCGCCTGGATCACTGACACCAAGTAAACATTAACCACGGTCTAACGGCTGAACCGTTTATTTTTGCCTTAGGCACCCGAAGAAGGCAGGTTGTGCAGGGGCGTAATTAACAACGAGCATCAAGCTGTAGCGAGGGTATACCCAACGGAATCGGCGTAAGCCCAGGCTCTATGCTGATACGTACCCATCGCGGCCGATGGCATTATCAATCGTGGTTGGTCCCGGTGTCGATGGGTATTGCTCCACCTGAGACAGTGGTAGAGAATATGAAGGACAAACGTGCTGAGAGCTATTCATAGTGTCTCTGACTTTCCGATCTAGTTTCTTCTTGCGCAAAGATTGCAGCCACCATCGATGTTCCCGCGTCGATTAAACAAAAAGAGCACCCCAAAATTAATCAAGTTGATCCTCAACAGGGATTTCGTTTATCACCCCAAGCTCATTCTTTGAGGGGGCGAGATGTGCCTTCTTTTTGATGAAGGCCAAGTCAAAACGTGGTGACGCCAGCAGCAATTCCAGTGAGGAGTAACGCCATTAGATTTGAAGATCATGGAGTAAGGCTGCCCCCACCTTCGTGAAGTTGTTCGACAAAGCACCAGATTTATTGCAGACTAAACAGCAAGGTCTGAATGGACTTATCAACGTATTCTACCCTTGACTTGTCAGTCGTCCTTTCACACTGACCAGCCGGCGGCACTCTCCTTCACCAGTGAAGGAAGAGCCGCTCGGAGTTCTAGGGACAATCTTGAAGAGGAGTAATTCTGCCCAAATCAAGCGAGCGCGACTGCATAGCTGAGTTCGAAATTGATTCCAATGATTTTCCTTTCTGAATCCCACGGCAACCAACACTGTTTGATTTTCCGTCATTAAGAATGCAAACATGGGAAGAGTCACTGAGATATTAGAGGTGACTGCCACAGGGACCCCGGTCAGGGTGTTGACATCAATAAGGCCATTGACTCCTTTTAATAGTGCAGGGTGTTGTGCTGACTTCACCCTTCACGTCCGCAGGAGGGGGGGCCTTGGAGTTTGAATCTGTCGAGTTTCTCCTACTTAGTCATCGAAAACAACCCCGACCAATTAGGGTGCATTGTAATCCCCTCAGGTCATCAGATCAATAGAACGGATCAAGCCGTCGCTGGCTTTCATTAACAGAGCGGACATTTGGCCTGCTACACGGACAGAACTTCCGAGTAAGCGATGATGTGCTCCATGCGATGGCCGTGGATACTTTAACCCCCCCCCCCCCCCCTTCGTGGAGAGAACCATAGATGGCCTCAGCTTTCCTGGAAAGACTACTGCTACTCTCCGTGCGCATCAAAACCATTAGTGATGTCGTTGGATTCTTCGGCCTTTCTGTCAAAGCTCCAAGACAATAAGGTTGTTCCCTGGACACAACTTGCATCGCCTGGTTGGATATTCATTGCGAAAAAAAATTTTTTGGCACGCAGAATTAGGCATGAAGAGGTCGAATGGTGTCAGCGGGGAGATGGAGGTGCGACATTGACCGATCGAACCGAGACTAGGTTCTGGATTCCCAGATGGGAGGGAGGACATTTCGCCTTCAAAAGATTTTTTTTAATACAGAGGCTGGGAAGTCCGAGGCGAAAGAAAGAGAAGACGCCGAACAGACTTTAACCGACATCAGTCCTCTGAATCCACAGTTCAACAACAGGGCGCGTACGTGGACGCGGACTTTCGAAAACACTTCAACAAGGGACGCTGTTCGACCCATTAAAAGTCTGCGTTGATGATGATGATGATGATCGTGAACACCAGTCTTAGCGAGCGGCAGTTACGACCCGGTGGGTCTCGAACTCAACCGTCATACGCAGCATCACTGAGGCTGGAACGAATGATCCCTACACCAAGCGGGTGAGAATATAGGGGAGGCCTCGGCAGTGTCCGCTCATTTGGCTACATTCAACCGAGTGAAAGCACCAGACCAACACCCCAAATCCGTATACATGTTATTACGCTTCCTTTCGGAACATTAATATTACTCTTGCGCGTGATGGACGCTCATCAAAATCAGGTGAGGGCAGTTAGCATTGGCCAGTTCGTCGTACCACGTCCAGGCTGACCATCTTTAGATCGAAGCACACGGTTATTCAGTATGTCAAGAAACGATATAAGGCTCGTAGTTCGGTTCTGACGGGACTTCAGCAAGCGTCTCAGGGCAACGTACTAGTCCAGAAGCGTCAGGTTCGATGCTATGAATGTAGAATCAGAACACAGCGCCAGCACAACTATGCAGATCACATGAACCTGAGTTAATCAACGAATTGTAAGATGAATTTCTTCCCATGAGAACCCTCTTCCAGTTTGGAAAGAACATTTTGTAGGGTACGTGTGATCTCAACATCATTGCCACGTAAGGGTAATATTTCATACGCGGGCTCTTTGATCTAGAAGAATGTTTCACTATAATCCCGATGCAAAGAAGGGATGCAAGGACTTTCACCTGACCATTCTCTAGCATCCCTATGATTTCCTGCATAACTGTACGTCTCTCGTCCATTGAATGGCGCTGGAACCATGTTCCTAACATGAAGCCATGGGCGGTGAGGTTCTTGAAAATGAAAAGCGAAGTCGGAAGCGAAAGAGGTTGTTTTGACATGGCACCGTATGAAACCAAATTCGCGTCTTTTCTGTAGAGCTGTGTGTAGGTGCGAGGAAACCACAAGATTACCGGGAATGACCTACCCGACCAAGCGCATCATAGAGGTGGTGTGTTTTCCAGAAACACAGTTCAAAGCGAGTCGTATGGGCTTAATTTTGTATTTTTGGGAGGTGGTTAAGATTAGAAGTTCTATGCAGGACGAAAATTATGAGAACCCCCACACACCTTTCCAAGAGTCCATCCATTAACCCTATCCCTTATAGAAGGGTCACCCAGCTCTTCATAAGTTAATACATGATCGCCCCCAAGATCTTGAAGATACTGTTTAAGAGAATCGTGATTTGGCCTGATCATTGGACTGTTAGGACGGGATCACCGACAGTAAGGATCTCAGCGTCACCTATTTCTAACAGATTGATAGTTCTGAGCCCAATGCCTTTGCAATTTGGATCACAGCTTGCCCTTGGTGGGCTCATTCAACCCTCATCCGTGTGATATAGCCAGCCGTGTAGCATACCAACAGCACTGTTCGCCCCGTTTTGAACCACAAAATCGCCTCCCGAAAGTTGGCAAAGTTTCGGAGCAACATCAAAGCCGTAGGGGGATTGACCTTTTTCCGTTAAAGTTCAATGGGCACCCCCCCGCGCGCGCGCCATAACTTATTGAGACTCACACTCATTGTAGCAGCTTGAACGTCGGTTACCCGATTGCCGGTCGGAATGAGACTAGCTGCATCGATATTCAAAAAATTCGACCACGTCCCTGCCTGAGGCATAGCCAAAGCAACGCGGTCTCCAACCTTGAGGCTGTTTACGCCGTTGCCGACCTCAACTACAACGCCGACTCCTTCATTCCCAGGGACGTATAACGCATTCTCCGTCCCTAGATCCGTTCTGGGAGGAGGTTTGAAAGGGTATACACCTTGCAAGACGTTCACATCAGACGGGTTGATAGGCGCCATGAGCATCTTCAGCTGCACTTGACCAGGCCTTGGGTTGGGAAGCGGAGCGAAAGAGCGAAGATTGACGCATTCAAGTGGATTTCCAGGTTGTTCGAACACAAAGGCCCTAAAAGGCTTCCTCTCTGCCAACGGCGAAACATAGGCTCGTGACAGCAGTCGAGCAGGCGTCTTGGGCACTAGTCGTGCGCGACAGGAAATGGATCGAATCAGCGTCGTCATGTGACAAGTTGTTCTGCAAACTCTTCGGAGTTGGCCGAATTTCTCGACTGAACGACTACCTATACTAGAAGGGCTGCTGCGCCGCCGTGACCTTGCTTGGGAATAAAATGTGACGCTTTCGGTCACACTAATGCCGCCCAGATGGTGTTACGGTTAAGCCGTAACTCCGAACGGACTTGACGGACGTCTCACGTGTCTTGCTTATTTCAGTTCCATCCCAATTCATGTAGCTTTGCGACTACCTGTATGACTCGGTCCGTTTCCCTTGTTTCATCTTAAGGAGTTGACCAGTGAAGACGGATTCTTCAACTGGTCAACACAGGTCGAATTGACATCTCGTGATCTTGTGGCCTCTTGCTCGTGATCTTCTTGCTCGTGACCGTGACCTTGCTTCTCGTGATCTCACGACTTCTCGCTTTGCTCCGCTCCGTTCTCACGCTCTTAGCCCGAGAGGTTCGTGACACAGGTGGTGGATGATAAATAGAAGAGTTACCATTAAGCTCTTTGTAGAATCCAGACTCTTTTTGGACTGTGAAAAAGAAAGCCACTGGATGGCTTCTGTAAAGCGTAACAGCACGTTTTAAGGGGACCATGTGATACATTTCTGCTAGCACGTGTGGATGAATAGGGTGGGAAAGTGAAAATTCCCACGAATTCCTGACTCGAAGGTGACCTTGCAAGCAAGGTAACGACACTACACACCAGTAACCCACCTTGTATTGACGATCCCCTCATGTACTCTTCGGTGTACGGGTCAACCGCTCTGCCAGGTGATAACGAGGCCACGGGGTAATAAAACAGACCCACCACCCCAGACACCCCAGACACCACAAACCCCATCTACGCACGCACCCGACGATATTAACCAGTCATTCCCATCATGTAAACCCTCACGTACGCTACGGTGTAACGATGGGAGGGACATCAATCATCATCAACCCTTTTGTAAAAACCCTTGCACGCGGTTGGCGAAGCTTACTTTTTTTTTCCTTCTCTATTATATTACACTGCATAACAACCGTTTGCCAAAAAGGAAGAAAGAAAGAAAGGAAAAAAGTCTTTTACCGGTTTTCGATTTTTTTTGCATAGCGAAAAGGCGGGGGAGTTGGGGTCTAGATGAGTTCCCTTTTTTTTTAGGACCCTGGCCTGGCGCTTAAGTGATTTACAACGACCCAAATAAGGGGTTCCTTATACATACGACAGAATTATATATGTATGTAAGCCTGTTTATAATTTTATCCGATATTAAATCGGAACCGGCAGATTTTTTTTTTTTTCTTTTCTGTTCTGAAAACGGCTTGCCGTATTTTTTTTCTTTCTTCTGCTTGCCGCCTTCGATCCCTTGAACTTCCCTTACCTTGCCTCAGGATGACTGCTTTTTGTTTATTTTTAAAATCATACATATGTACATAGTAAGCCGGTGCGGCATCGGAATACAGCAGTAATAGTACTTGGCCGAATTGATCGTCTCGATGGTGGAGGGGGAGAATATTCTGTTGTACCCCGCGGGCTCATTGTAGTCTCGATGGTGAAGCCACTTTTTTGCGCATAAAATCCGAACCAAGTCAAGTTCCAACGAACAGGGTTTCATCGGTTGTTCGTTCTCTATTTGCTCCCTCTGTTTCTTCTTCTTCCACTTTTACCTTGTATGGGATCATTCTACATGAGGAACGTCATGTTCGTTATGCCGGAGTTGGCCGAAGCAGCACATCTCACGGTCTGATGAACAGGTCACTCCACAATATTCATGTCTTTCGAAATGGCGTTGTTGTTCTGAGGAATCATCATCATCTCAGCTCATGTTCTCGGCGGTCGTATACTACTTCTGCTTCGAGCATCAATCCAGACGAAGTCAAGTTCTTCTCCCGTCTTTCGTCACAATGGTGGGACGAACGAGGAGAGTTTGCCATGTTGCATCGAATGAACCCAGCACGTATGAGCTTCATTCGGGACAAGCTAAGTCAATGCTTTGACGAGGAGGCTACGGCGGCCGGTTTGGATGCATCGCCTCGAACGGTGGGTAAGCAACTCTTACTTGAAGGTATGGAGGTATTGGATATAGGCAGTGGAGGTGGTTTGTTATCCGAGGTCAGTTGCAAGCAATTGAGTCGATAAGCTGTGCAAACTGACCCCCTGTCCCTTCCCTCTCCTCTTGAAGAGTTTGGCGCGCTTGGGTGCTAAAACTACCGGGATCGATGCGTCTCGATCGAACATCAACGTGGCGAGACTCATGCCGCCAAAGACCCTGCTCTGTCGAGAAACCTGAGGTATATTCATGGGACTGCTGAATCCATCGTTGCCGAGGCGCTGGAGTATGATGCAGTGTTTTCCATGGAGGTACTAGAGCACGTGGAGAATCCCTACGACTTCCTCGTCAACTGTGTCAAGCTGGTGAAGGTGGGGGATGATGGCCACCGATAATTTTCAGTGACTTGTGGTTCTGATGATTATTTTGCATGGGCAGCCAGGAGGACACCTCTTCCTATCAACCATCTCTCGAACACCCCTATCATACTTTCTAACCATATTTATGGCCGAACAAGCCTTAGGTCTCGTCCATTCTGGGACACACAACTATTCCAAGTTTGTGAAATCATCCGAGTTGGTCGAATTCTTCTCGCGTCCTGAGATAGCGTGGGTTTCTCGGATATTATGACGGCATGCCAACGAGGAAGGAGGCAGAAGTGCGACAGATTCATTACAACCCGTTGGTAGGGACGTGGACGATTGAACCGCTTGCATCTCTTCCCACTATACGTGGTGCATTTGAGTGCAACTATCTATTTTGGGCTCGAAAACCGGCATGAACATATATTTCTGTTTTTAAATTTTTTGGTCACTATTTTTAGTGTTGTAGCGGTTGCGGCTGGCAGCTTTGGGTGTGCAACAAGGGGCCCCCCCCGCTAAATCGATAAATCGATTTATCGCAGGCCTCGTTTTTCACATTTCAAATTGAATTGAATTGCAAGAAGTGCTTTGATTCGCTCAACGAGATTACCTAACCCAGGAGTCCTTGATGATGACAGGAGAGCTTTTTCACTGATGTGGCTGCACCTCCACGCCTCCCTCCCCCCTGAATACTGAATAGCAAGTATGGTTAGTGTCTATGAGTACAATGAGTGGCAAAGATGTTAAGCACTGACGTTGAAAGTCAAGGAAGCGCGCGCTGTTGCCTCGGAGATAGCGATCCGTGATTGGAGGGAATCTTCATTAACCTTCGAGTCCCGAATAAGGGACATTGATTTATATTTATGGAATTTGCCGGATCTGCGGGCTTATCCTTAAGACGTCATGAGTTACCCCTTCTGTCTAAGCGCGTAAGTTTGTTTGCACAGCATTCCCTAAGTAAAATCCTCCAAGATTCTAGTCTCACCTGATCCATTTGCAGTTCTCCTCAGAATTTCAGTTCTAACACCCCATTCAATTGACCCTAGGCACAGCTTTGATCTCAGCGGAACATCCTATTATAGTAACATGTTCCGCCTCACGGGACCATATCTTATCATTGAGACTTTTGCTGCTTTCAACAAAGCAAAAAAGCCCATTTCAATACCAACAAGTCTTGCTCAATTGTGTTCGTTAACACGTAAACCGAAATCCAACTAGTTAAAAATGCCCGTATTGTCTATACCCGCACGACCCTCTCTCCCTCAGTAACCCCCCCCTTCTTCCGTTCCTCTTTCGATTTCCCGCCAAGATGGGTTCGATCGCATCGTGGAAAACGTTGTTGATGGGTTGGGTATTCATTGTCGCCTGCACGACCATTCAAGCCGCACCTGCGCGCTCCTTGGTACCCAAGCGCCTAATCCCAAGAGATGGTCCCAGGTAAGTCTCAATATTCATTATTGGTCAATATCGCGTCTTATTGATGCGCGCGCCCTTCGACGCTTGGCTTCCGCTCTCAAAAGTGGTTGTTTCCCCGCTTTGGATTTCAGTCCACCTTCAGGGACTCCAACCCAGAAACCTTCAGATTGGTGGTGTTCTCCCACTTTAGAGCAAGGATTCTTCGGTTTCTCCTACGAGTGAGTACTAACATATACCAGCTATTTTGTTTCTTTCGCCGCCTCACCTCCAAATTCTGTCTTAATCAAGGGTGGACACCTGTATGAGCAAGACGCAGATACAGTCTGATTTCAAATTGATGAGATACATGTTCGGCGCTCGTTACGTGCGCCTGTACGCATCTTGCGATAATGCGGGCTTCATGGACATTATCATTTCTGCGGCTTACAATGCAGGAATAGGCGTTTACGCATTGATATGGTTTGGGTACGTGTGCGGGAGGAGACCAGACAGCATTCTGTTCCCCGCACCCCGCGCGCTAACTTCTCGTCTCCTCTCAGCTTTAACGGTGGCAATCAGTGGCAAAGGCAAGCAAAAGCTGTCACTGTCTTCATTGCGCGCGCGCACAAGATATAACTTATCGGCGTGAATAATTAATTAATTCAGCCGGCGCGACTCTCTTATTAAGACAGTCAAGACAAATCCACTTGCGCCATATGTCATCCGTTCCATTGACGTTGGGTTAGTACAAGTTCAACATGGTATTCTTCTTACATGCTAAGAATGCCTTCTCGTAGCTCCGAACCTTTGTTTGATCAAGTACGTGTGGCTAGTTAGCGCCCCCGCCCCTACAACAATCAGTTTAATTGTTGAAATCAACATGTAGGTTCTGTCCCCGACTGCACTGGCTGCCCAAGTAAAGTACGGCTCTACTCTTCCTGGCGTTTGATTTAATATATCTCTGATCAACCCCGTTGTTTCAAAGGTATGTCCAAAACGCGGTCCATTCGTATGGAGTCAACGTCTCTATATCGGAAATGCCATTTGGGTACACCGTCCAAGGCAACCCGGCACCCGTACTCAATGCAATCGACATGCTTCATATCAGTGAGTGATTACGCTTTTTACTAAAAAGTGAATATCATACAAACGGAACAACTGACACTGAAAACTCAACACTCTCAGACGAACTGCCATTCTTCGACAAGACGGCGACGACGGGTGATAATGCTTGGCCTTCTCTCAATGGTTCCATATCGACGTTGGTACATCAGACGGGCGGGACTAAGAAAGTGGTCCTCACTCAAACGGGCTGGCCAACGAATACAAAAGTCTGGCCTGCAAATTCGAAGAAGGCCGTTGCGAACGTTCAGTCGTCGAAAGCGTATGCTGATCTGCTGGATAGCAAGTGCGAGGAAATGAAAGTTCTCGGTCCGAATGGTGGCATTGGCTGGTTCTGGTACGCATTAATGAGCCGATCCCCCCCCCCCCCCTCCGACATGTTGCTTTATACTGACGCCATATATGAAAAGGCAAATATGGTCTGACGATATGCTTACTGGGTGGGGTCTCATAGACTCGAATGGACTACCGAAGTGGACTTTTGCGCCTAGAACTGCTTGCTGATCGATCGAACGCTTTCATCCAATCACCGTTTTTTGTGTGAACGACTTGCAATTTTTTTTCCTTTTCACGGACAACTTATTTCCCCTGGGGTTTTTTTTTTCGTTTACACTTCCTTCAATCCCGAGTGACCCTCCTTGTGCATCAAGGTTGGAATAGACTGGAAAAAGACGGCGATCAAGGGTGTGGGAAGGGGAGGGAGGGGGGAGATGATGATAATGATAAATGACGACGAATCGATGATAACAGATCATGGGAGATGAGATATCGATTGTATTGCGTTAGTTGGTGTGTAGAGTTGTCTAGTGTTCGACATTTGTAATGACTTATGTATATAAGGAAGTGCGAATCACTTGCGATACCTTGGATGCACCGTTGGAGTACTAGCTAAGGCGATTGGCAAACAGAATGCTAATTTCTAGTGGAGCAAGTTCCTCGACATAAACAAAGTTGGGGAGTGAGTTTGCGATCGAAGCCCCTCGACTTCATTGGCTCCACGCTCGTAGCTGGCTTTATATATCACGACAATTTTTTTTGTCGTAATGACGTCGCTCCGGAAACAAACCTCTTATTCACGAACCGGCAAGTTACTCCAGATCCGACACACGACGTTGCAAACCCGTCCGTTCTAAAGACTGCTTACCTCTTGCATACCACAAACTCGGTGAACACACACACACACACACTACACACTGCGTTAGAAGCAAAAACCCCGCCCCAGCGACACCCAGATGATTGCCTTTTTCTCTCTACTCACCGCACATTGGTGGCGTTTCTTGCCCGGAAAACTTATACGTCGTCTTCACTCATCTATGTACACAACACCCCCAACAATCGCTCTCGTCTTGTCTTGATCACTGTGGACTTTGACTTCTCGACGTCGTTCACGATGCCGCATTGGAACCATTTATGTATAGTGTTCCAGCAGTGGAATATACTAGTGCCTCGCCCTCACTGTGAATCACCACTTACAGGACACTGTGCAGCATTTGTCCATTCTACACTGAGATTGTCTTCTATGTCTTTTGATCCTGGTGTGTGTGCTTCAACGACGACTCGGAAAGCTGCAATTGAACAAGATTGAGAACTTGGGCTGGTTACATGGTTTCTTTTTATCATGGATATGTTCACACTTTGATCCCTGACTCAGGTTCGGACCGATACAGACGTTGACGTTCTAGCTGTGTCATTCGATTTGTACATTGGTAACGCGCTGACCTCTATTCCGCGTTGATGGATGACAATCGCGACGGCGTCATCCACGCTATCTATTCAAACCAGACACCCCCGCTGACACAATGAAACCTCCCTGTGAATGCGAACTTTGACATCACTGGAGTCGTCTCCGCGATCGATGATCGATTCTTCACAGTAGTGACTAGATCCTTCGGTTCCTCCTGTACTATGTCTCATTGCCCCGTGCAAGTATTCTTCTGCTGGACGCTCGTGAAGTTTGAGCACTGAAAGGCGCCAGACATCTCGATGACTACCTGGTGTGCATCACTTAATTTGCGCGGACCTGAAATACTAAACGATCTACTAGAACTGTTTATAGGAAAATGTCACATTGCGGTATCCGACGTCAACTTTTCACTTACCTAACAACACACAGACACACACCTAAACAGGGGGAACTGATACAACGCCCCCAATCGCGTAGCCGAAGGCTCTGTTACCTCTAATCAGTCGCAAGTGCAAAAGACCTTTTTTTTTTTTTTTCGTCCACACTGGCAACGTCCGGCATGGGTCAACCGAGGAAGGCCTACAAAGGACGCGGGGGGAGAAATCCATCTTGTACTGTGGTAGTACGACTACCGCGCGCGCGCGCTTAGGTATGATATATCGCCATTGCCGTCCAGAACAGTCCTAGGGGTGTGGCGGCGGCGGCGGCAGGGAATGGGTGAGTGCATATTGCTAACGATCGCCGGAAATTTGTTCTGACCTATGTGATTAAAACGGACGCATGCAAGTACACACGCTTTATTTATCCATGATCATCTTTCGTCACATAAAGAGGAGCGGCAGGGCGTCGCTGAACAGCGCATCCGCCGTACTTTATGGATATCTTAGATTCTCCCGTACTATCTCAATTCTTGTTATAAATCGCCAGTTGTTCCTCAGCAACCGTGCGCGTCCGATGAAAACTGTTAACAACTTCGCAGCAAAAGTACGTACGTACAATGATTTAGAGGTAAAGGGAAGAGCAATAAGTATGAAACGAGGGGATAACAAGTGAGTGGTATGAGTTGGTATTAACGAGCCACATTCATAAGTTTCTCGTTTTAGGGATGGAACGCGCAAAAAAAAAGTCCGTATCGAGCTCACACCTCGCTCTGACGTCAAAGTTGTACGCGTTGAATGTACCTTGCGGCGACCGTGCGTGAATTTGGCGGCGTCGGAAAACGTCTTTACGATAGTTGAAGTTTATTGAGTACAACATCGGCGATCACTTTGTCATGATATGCATATGGGTTTGGGGGCGAACTGCAATGCAATAGTTTTTAAACTGGTGGTTGCGCGTAATATACTGCAGTGAGCGTACTGGCACTCCGGCTGATGGTACGGGCGAAGGAGTGAAACCATTGGGAAGGTTGCTGAATAGGAATCAGTAGGAGACGCACTTCTGCCTACCAGAGCCGGGTTGGCGCGGGTCATGATGGAGGCGCCCTTGTAACTGGGAGGAGAGGTAGGGTCACTAGCCTCTATTGGAACAGAGAGGAGAGGGAATAACCGATCCTGCGTACCAATAATGGGAAACTGTGACAGCGGTCGATATTGCTCAGGGTCCACAACTGATCTCTCAAATATTGATCATTTTTTTTTTTGTTTCCGCTCAAAATCTCTTCTGGGACTCAACATCATGGACGAGGACGAAGAGCTCTGGGGAATCCAGGGTCGTCGGACCATGGAGGATCGATGATTTCCGTGGTCCGCCCTGCGATTTACACAACAAACACCTCTGTCCGCAGACGAGGTAGAATCAGAAGATGAGGGGAGCGGTGTTCTGTTCATCCTTATGATTCTGAAGCCGATGAAGAAAGATTCTTCGTCGTTCGCAATGGGAGGAGGTACAATAGTACCAGTGAACTATATCCTCTCCCGGCAGGTGAGTTGGTCGCGCAATGACAATAGAAGGACTGTGGACGAACAATGTACTCATATGATATATGGTAGATGAGGAGGAATGGGATAGGCTGTGGGTTCATTTCTTTTGAGGCCCGTAATATACCTCATTCCCGAATCGCGATATCCTAGAGCGGACCTACACAAGATCCACAAGATCTGTCTAGGTGGGCTCTATCAAGCTTCAACAGCCGTCGATAACCTGCTGGCGGACGAGGAAGGGGAGGAGAAATCCATCCTGGATTGTGGTACGTCCGCCGCTTTATTATATATCTCTCACTTCCGGAACAATGCTGAGAAACCCCTCAGGATGTGGAGGGGGAGAATGGTTAGTGCATATACTAATGATGGTTGGAAGTTCTGATTCTGATCGATGGATGAAGGGTGATTGAAATGGCCTTGGTATGTAGCGCGCACACCTGCATCATCCATAATAACTCAGTTACCACATGACACCCATTCTTGGAATCGTATCTAGGAATTCCCTCATGCAAAGGTTGTTGTTCATCTTTTCATGATTACAATATTCGACTGATCTACAATGTCCATGTGCGGCACACCAGGTCGTGGGGATCGATCTCGCGCCCGGATTCATCAGGTAAGCCTCGCCAGGATCCACCGGGAGTAAACAATATTCAATGCTCACATGAACCTAGGGAGCGAATGCCCCTGAATTGCCGGTTCGTGTCGATGATATTTCTGACCCGGTTGCGATATCGACGAGTTCTGAGGTGTTGAACTCACAGGTTCGAATTCTATGACGTCAATCAACCGTTAGACCACTACTACGGTAGGTTCTTCATTCTGGTTTGTTGGGTATGCGCTGGATGGGCCGCTAACTTGTTTTGGCGCTTTAGGTAAATTTGATGTCGTGCATGCCAGGTCATGCTTTCTAGGGGTGAGTTAACCATAACCTTTATTGCCGACTGCTCTGTTCTAAAATAACATGTTTCATGAATAGATCACGAATTACCTCCACTTCGTGGATCAAATGGCCCAGTGTCTCAAACCAGGTATGTCCGGAGCAAACTCGCAGTGCAATTAGTTTCCAGTGTGGAGCTTAGCGGTGCGCAATTTTAGGGGGCATATTACTAATAGTGGAGAGCCCACTGCAGCTGACGGTACCGCAATCGCGTCAGCAAACAGTGCACTCATCGGTAACTACCTAGCGCAGCTGTTTGAGGGTAAATTCTCTGGCTTTATTTTCCCTCAGTTGCCTTTGACATGTTTGCTTCAGTGGTAGAAAACACGATCCAAGGCAACGGATCGGATATCAGAGCCATCGACAACCTGCGAGGGTTGATGGAATGGCATCCTCAACTCGAAATTGAGGAGTCGTTCGTCATCAACATCCCGGTAGGTTCATGGGCTATGGCAGAAACCCAATATCTGGGGGAAGCCAGTGAGTTCATCGGGGGATTGATGCAAGAAAACGTTGTGGTAGGTTGAGCAATCAATTCCTGGAACTACATTTTTACTAATGTGATGATTTCCACAATGCATCTCAGCGGCTGGCTCAGGCGCTGAGGATTGTCCTTCTCCAAGCGGGACATCATCCACAATGGGTGGATGAATGGTTGAGATCGATTATACAAGGTGAATCACTCGTAACGCGTCGGTTGTAAGGAACTGACTGTCTTGGCCAAGCGATCACTTCTCCGTCAGCAAGGCTCTTCTCAACGTGGGGTTACTTTTGTGCGACGCGAGTAATGGATACGGATGTGCCTATGGATGCGGAGGAAGAAGAAGAGGAAGAAGAAGGAAGAAGAGGAGAGAAGAGGGAGAAGAGGACGAGGAGGAACATGAAGAGCGCGACGAGGGAGAGGAGGCGGCACGGAGGGACCGATGTCTAGAGTGGGTTCGACATCACTCGACTTCCGGAATCCCGAATAGATCGTGGCCGGTGGCATGATAGCCACGCACCTCACCCCGCGCGCATATGTATCCTCCTCCTACGCTCCTTCGATTCATACCGCGCACAACATCCCGGATGAACACGGCCGCAGTTAGACCCCAAGCTCCTTGCTAGCTTCAATGTATCGCTCGGTCATAACAATCAGAATTACAAAATGGGACGAATACGGTGGGCTTTCTGGCTGATGTGTCGAAGAATCAACCTCATCGACGCTACTCAATACTTTCCATGCGAGACATAAGTTGAGTGATGTGAACCTCAGTCTTGGCTCAGGATTGGGTGGAATAATGTTTACGTGCTCCGGCCGCATGTTAGCCCGACGTCGCTAAGAAAGAGCTAAGTGATTGTGAGAAAGGCACCCTAAGACTTCAACGATCGATGAGAGGCATTGGGGACGGGAAGATGAACTATCGGCAGTAAGGGTCGCGAATATGTAGCCAGTCGCACCGATCGCGGTGGGCACAAAATAGCGCATTTACGGATAGCAAGCCATGAGTCGTCGTAATAGTCAATCGGGGTTCATCGCGCCCGTGTTTGAGTGGCGCACGACAAGTTACGATGTTGGATACCAGGATCAAGGGTAGATAACCACCCTGCACAAATTTTGCCAATCCCAAGCCGTTCTGTGTGTGTGTGCTGAATCAGGCGAGGCTGTCAAACAAGTATAAACACCTCCGGCGCTTCCCGCCATCACTGATGAACAATCCCTCTTCTACCACTCTCTGACCTCGAGTCTGCTACTAGATACTATTTTTAATGATGGCCTCCCTAATGCAATGTGCGTGTGTGATGCCTGTAGCATCGATTCACAATGGCTATGAGGTGTTAACGGGGTTTTGCCCAATCTTCTTCGCCTTTCCATCTGATGGGGAAAGGTAACTTGAACGCGTTATGTTGCGCGTTGCCGATATCTCATTATTCTTGGCGCAGGAGTCAAGGCGGCGCTAGGTGCAAGTCACTATGTTCGACAATGTGAACATTCGAGCACTTTAATGAAGACTGAATCTCTCAGAGCTTGAGGTATGACGACTTTAGTCGGGATTGACAACTATTCCTTATTCGCTGCTTTTTAGATGAACCTGAATGAGTGCAGTTTAAAGTTTGGAGGCAGCTGAAACCTGCGCGAGGCAGCAGGGAAAACTAGCCAAAGCAACGAGGGCAGGAACACACTATGCAGAAAGTCTCGAATAGGATGTGATTGCAGCAGATCACAACCCTACTCTTAGGGCTATCAAATGCCTTCTCGGAGTCCTGTATCGGCTAGGTACTCCCTAAATTAAACAGGTGGGCTCATATTGATTCTCGCGATTGACGTTATGAACAAGGTTGCAATCTCGCTTACCATAAAGTATTCGCGATTTACTTCAAGTCGTCTTCCCTAATGGAATCCATGATATTTCCACCCCGACAATCTCAGAAAATCTTCGCAGACGGATTTGCTGGCTGAAACTACAAAGCGATTAAGGATCGCCGACGCCTCTGTATGATTTACGTCGTCCCAAACCTCATTAACACTCTTTTCGGTAATCTATTCAGCCGCTGGATGGGCGGTTCCAGATCTATAACTCCAGTGTCGAGAGCGACTCGAGTTATCAGGTCATTCCTGGGGACATCTGATTTATCCTGGTGTTGCATTCGGTTAGTGTGGGGACCTCATCTGAACTTTTTGGTGGCATTTACCCAAATCATTCAGGTTATGGCCTATTTAATTTATCCTTCCTTGCTTCCCCCTAGGATTAGGTGGAGTCCGGCTCACCCGTAAAAGCAAATTAACTCGTTGCCAAAGGTCGGGTCTACGGGCACTGACTGTCGCCACAAAAAGGAGATGACACCCTTCTCAATTTGCCGCGTGAGTCTTTAGTCAGACCCTCAGCCACTGAAATAATCCTGAAAAGGGTACGCAAGGTTTTGGTAAACCTACCGACAAACACAGATTACCCTATTACCCTCATGACGTGTCACGACGCTGTCCTCTAATTGCTTTCAGGGTATCACGCAGACGAGCAGCAAATAATGAACCAGTACGATGTGCTTCCAGAAAGTGAGTAGATTACTTCCATTCTCGTCTCGATCTTGATGAAATGTACAGAGTGGAGGCGAAATATGGATCCCTTTGATGAAACAATTATTTCCTGTTCCGATCACCGAGCACTTTCAAGGCTAAACTGTAGCGGTATGCTGCCGCAGCTATCGCCACTACAACGTGGAATCGGTTCAGAGAGAAGGGATCATCCCGAATAGGTACTATACTGGTCTTCGAACTGGCTTGGATTTTGTTAGCGGAAAGACGATATGAAGGATCCGCTTGAGATGTTCCTTCGCCTCGTGATACTCAATAACTGCTTTGTTGTTCGACGCATCGTCTTCGCCACGGATTGCTTTTCTAAAAGCTGGGGCGAGTTACGATCGAGGCGTTCTGATTGGTCGCCTGCCTTTCTCTGACTCGCCTCGCATTTCCGGCCTCCTCATTCGCTGGCTTTAGAGCGGACTTTGGGGTTTGACGTTGTGTCCTCACCTAGCAACTTTCCCGCTGTCTTCACTCAGGTGGTGTCTACGTACACAACAGCTCAACATCACTCTCATCTTGAGCGCTGCAGACTTTGACCTCTCGACCTCACTTTGAGTTCGATTTTGCGGCGAAGCCATCGCCGTATCATGCTAGAATGGGTATGCAGGTGGGGAACGGATGGAGTTCTGATCTGAAGAAATGGTCCTCGGTGATAATGGGAATGCTCAATGTACCTAGCCACCTCCCACAACGTTCGTAACCGTTGCAAAGGAAGTCCCGGACATCTCAGTGTGGAATGGATGTTGCTGCGCAGTCTCTTGCAAGTCGCAACGAGGGTGAGGCACCGACAGGGCGCTATGTTGAATGCACTCCTATGTAAGTAACATACAGTGCTTATGCAATTGGCTGAAAGTAGCGAAAACGGTGTGGGGGAGTAGCTGGATACTTTCAGTTTGCTATTATGCTAACATCGAATGCGTCTGTTCAAATCAGACCTCCTCCATCTTTTTTGGGGTGCTGATTGGTTGCGAGTCAGTTCGGTCAGGGTTTCACTTTCCCACGCTCTCACTTGGTTCGCACTTTCACGCTTCACCTTAGCACCGATTCTTCTGGAATGTTGCCTGGCGATGGATGAGATCTGTGGGGGAAACTTGGACTGTGATGTTGATTGAGCGGGTGGGTTCACAATGGCCGAACGACGTCACGCACAGAGGCCATCGTGGTGAGGGGTGCGAATGGCAATAACCCAGTGGAGCGTCTGAACGTCGATTCGGGCTATCTTCCGCACGTGATCTGACAAAAGGAGAGAACTTGACCACCACCAAGTCATCCATGGCGAAGAACACAAAAGATGTTAAAATCGGACGTTGGGTTCCATTGGAGAGCAACCCTGAGGTCCGTTCTAATAACTTTCCTTGTTTATCGATCAACATTGGGTTGAAGCCGCGCTAATGTCGTTTATAGGTTTTGAACTCGGTACATGCTTCATCATAAAATCCATTCGAGCCTCTTATCCAGAAATTTCATAGTGGTCATCTAAATTGGGGCTTTCGACGAAAGTCAATTGTTTCGAAGATATTTACGGGCTTGATCCAGCGGTACAGTATCTACACTTCCCCCATTCAATTCCAGTAGAATCCAACGCCGCTGATGAAAAAGCTCTATTTCAGCTTTACACGCTGGTACCACAGCCAGTGAAGGCCATCATTATGGTCTTCCCGATCACCGAAAAGCTTCAGGATCTCAGGAACGAAGAGGACGAAAAGATCGAAAAGGAGGGTCAGCATGAGATTGACCCTAGCGTCATCTTCATCAAGCAAACGGTGATGAACATGAATTAATAGGCTATGTTTAAGCCCAAAGCTGACACCACGTCAAACATATAGATTCCAAATGCTTGTGGGACTATAGCGTTGTTACACGCTCTCGCCAACGTATGGTCCTTTCTGCTCCACCATGATGTAATCTTGACACAATTAATGTTCCCTTACCTAGTCAGATGCGACCATTGCTCCAACCAGTCCATTGGCCAAGTTCATTGAAGAAATAGCCCGTAAGCCAACGCATGAATAGAAAAACACCACCACCATTTTTTCCATTTTTCCCTCTCTCTCTAGTGCTGGACCCGCATGCAAGAGCCGAGGCACTGGAAAACACTAAGCTCTTCGCAGAAGCCCATGTAGATGCCGCAAGTCTTGGACAAAGTGCTGTCCCTTCATCGGATGACGATAGCGACCTTCACTTCGTTGCCTTCGTTCAGGTACCATCGGCCGTCACGCCCAGTGAGCGGCGCCTAGTGGAGCTGGATGGGAGGAGACGAAGCCCAATCGATCTTGGGAAGAGCGAAGACCTATTGAAAGTGAGCAAAAATCTATAATTCTTCCACTTTATGCCCTTGGCATTTTTAATGCTTGTGTAAAACCGCAGGACGTTGCCCAGGTGGTGCGGCAGAAGTATATAGCACATTCAACTTCACATAGTTTTGGGTTGATTTCACTAGGTCCGAATCCGGATTTCAATCCATGAAAAAATGGTGGTCACCATGGCTGTCAGAATGATAATGTTGTAAAACTAATGATGCCTGTACAGAAACTTGGAGCGGGGGGGGAGCGTAATTCTGGATGTAATGTGAATCATAGGAAGAACGTCCGTCTTGTAACCTCCAACTTCGGCTGGAGGATGAGCAGTAAATGAGAAATCTGTCCTTCTGAAGGAAGAACATTAAGGTTACCTTCCACTTCCAGACATACTCCTCGTCCTTAGCAAGCTGACTGGGTGCCTGTGGTGCTGCGGGAGCGATCGGAGCAACCATTTCCTCCATCTGCGTCGTTTCGTCCACCCGACCGGGCGTTGTATCCTCGTTTGAGGCAGGAACTTCCTCCTTATCATCCTCATCTTCTGCATCGACGTCGAACTGGAGCGGTGGTGGTACGGCCCCAAGCTGCTTGACTGCAGGCGTCCCCTTTTTGATGTAGCGCAACTTGAGCGTAAAACGAGGTCCAATTTCCTGTAATTTAGCTTTGTCCGCTGAAGCGAACATGTATCTAAACAGTAAATTAGAAACGTCATTCATTTGAAGTGAGAAAAGAAACGAAGCAAAAAAAACATACCTGTGGCGTCGGAAAAATAGGAAGTCTCGCTGATTGTGTAGCGTAACGACTTGTCGGCCCTCAAACTCTGGTAACGGCGGAAATAATGTCTGGAACATGCGGCCAACGACGTGGCCGAGCCGTGTGACAAACCCATTTAAGATGAGTTCAGGATAATGAGGGCTAGGTCGGGCACGACCCTGAAACAGGAAATAGATCGGATTCAGTGTGGACGGGCGGAACGCTCAACTCACAGAAATCTCCTGCGTTAGCTGCACGGATGTCAGCCTGAATTGTGCTGTTGGTCCATGTGGGAGATGAATCATTACGAGTGCGTCTACGTAAGGGGAGAGAGGGCTTATCAGGAAAACCCGGAGGCATCACCCGTGTAAGGAGAACCTACTTACTAGACTTCTTCCTATCCTCATTGACAACAATTAATGAACTGTAGCCCCGCCCCGCAGCCCAACCAGTAATCCTCCCGATCTCAAATCCTTGATTCTGCTTTCGTCTGATAAATTCAGCTCCAGGAACAACACTGACAAGTTCTTCGCAAAATTCATAAGTGACTTTGGTGGCTTTACTGGATGTAGTGATGAGAACTTTTGGAGGAGTGTCTGAGTTTACTTCGCCCGAAAAGTAAGAAGTGAATGGGTCAGTAGATATGTCGAGATCATATTCCTCGTCCACCGCTGGCAAGTCTTCGGGGGGGTTGGGAGTTTCCTCCGTCGCAGAGGAGGTAGAGGCTGATGTGGATGGTAGTGGCCGAGAAATGGGCTGGAGCATAGAGGGATCATGCTCTCGCATGTTATCGAGGGTTTTAGGAACATTAATGGCCAATCGTCTCTACAAGAAATCCTCTGTGAATAAAGAGATGGTGCTCAAGCTAATGAAACGACATGCTTTCTTTGCCTCAGGGTCATTTCGTTCGGCCTTTGCTCGTGCTATGCGCTTCTTAAGCTTCTCTTGCATTTTCTCCCTCTTTTGCTTCTGATAGAGCTCTCCACGCCTCATCTTGTTCTTTACAGATGAGATATCGGGGGCCATTATGTCGAGATGAAATTTTAGACGTTTCGCAAAGGAAATCCAATTCAACCGGAACCTGCCGTCTCGCAGGAAGCTTGAACTCGAACGCATTCGATGCATTGGATTAGGCTGGTCCAACTCTCCTTCTTGGTTTTAGCATCCTACAGTCATGCGCTCCATTTCTATCTTGATGCGGAGGAAAAACGTTGTTTTGTGGAAGAATTACCAACGGACACTGTTGTCGAGGGTCAGTGGTGCAACCTCATGTGTTTCCCAACCCCTGGTCAATGGAACCGTTCTTTCAATATTAGGCCACTACAGAGCACTAGAATGGGATGAGTCCCTTTCTATATACAAAAACAACGATAACTTGGGAATAGCGGTTGAGGTTGAGGTGAGTGCTCCGTGTCAATAGCGCCAGGTCACATCAACTTTTTGACTGGATATGAAAATAATTCTCTAGGAGGCATCCACTGATCATACCGTAGTGAAGACCACTGGACCCCCCGATGGAAAATTTACTTTCACGTCCCATGAGTCTGGAGACCATATTATTTGCCTCTCCACCAACTACACCGCTGGGTGGTTTACCAGTCGTCATATCAAACTGTACCTGGATATCGTTGTAGGGGCTGTCAAAGCTGATCCAGAGCACGACCGTTCCCACATTGGCGAAGTAGCAGCAAAAATACGGGATCTTAATGAACGATTACGAGGCATTCGGCGGGAGCAACAGTACCAGAGAGAGAGAGAAATTGCCTATCGAAATTTAAGTGAATCTACTAATGCTCGAGTGGTGTGGTACGTGATAATACAGGTCATCGTGCTCGTCGCCACCTGCACATGGCAATTGAAACATCTTCGGGTAAGTGAACGTACTCTGTCGGTGAATCTTTAGCTCATATTCTGTTTGGGATAGCGTTTCTTTGAGGCGCAAAAGTTACGGTGAAGGTTCTCTCGTATGTTGTGCTGATTGTTACTTGCTAGTTCCCTGTAATACATCATGATATCCTCATCCACCTTGCCGCACTCAAGCTATTCCTGGATCATCGTTTTCGCTGAATATGAGTCATATATGCGCCGGTTTTGTCCGATAAGTGCGATCGAGCCAACCCAAAGTTTTGAGGCAAATATGTCGACACCCATCGGCGAGTCGTTCATCGTACTATATGTGAAAATTAGCATCTTAACTGCGTAGCGACAGCCTTGCTCTCTGTTTACGACAAAACCCATCTGCTTGAACTTGCAAGTGGCCTCCATTCTGCTGGAGTCAGCTTGGTTGGATCGGGGGGCACGGCGAAAAAGATTCGTGATGCTGGCATTCCAATCCAGTATGGGGGGCCTCGTGCCCTACCTGCCATACCCTTCAGTGAAACTCATTAGCGATGAATCCGTAGAGAAGTCTCGGACGTCACGAAGGCACCTGAGATGTTGGGAGGCCGCGTCAAAACCTTGCACCCCGCCGTTCATGGAGGTGAGCTCTTGCATGCATTACGTTCAAACGGATCGCAGCAAATTTTACTGTGAAGGGATCTTGGCACGGAATATTCCATCTGATCTCAAGGATTTGGAAGACCGAAACATCTCTCAGATTTCGATTGTAGTGTGCAATCTGTACCCATTCTCGGAAACCATAGCGCGAGAAGGGTGTACACTAGAACAAGCCGTTGAGGAGATAGACATTGGAGGCGTCACTCTACTTCGGGCTGCGGCTAAAAACCACGACCGTGTCAACATCTTATCCGATCCTCGTGATTATGACGACTTTCTACGGGCATGGATCGAGGGTAAAGGGAATGTAGCTTCAGATTTACGAAAGAAGCTTGCCCTTAAGGCTTTCGAAGTCACTGCCGCATACGATTCTGCGATCAGTGACTATTTCCGTGAAAAGTATGCTTCAGGAGGTTCTCATCCATCTGGATCTATTCAGAAGTTATCTTTACGATATGGAGCTAACCCACATCAAAAACCGGCCCAAGCATTCGTAAATACGGGAGAACTTCCTTTCAAAGGCGAGGCGATGTCGTCCTTCGGTTGAGACGGGACTTACCCATTCATCCTAGTTCTATCCGGAGCACCGGGCTACATCAACTTGCTCGATGCGCTTAATTCATATGCGCTCGTTAAGGAACTGAGCGAGGCATTGGCTCTTCCAGCCGCAGCCTCCTTTAAACATGTTTCCCCCGCTGGCGCTGCTGTTGGCGTCGAGCTCGATGAAACCGAGAAGAAAGTTTATGGTGTTGATGACTTGAAGGAACCATTAACACCATTAGCTGCCGCCTATGCACGCGCTAGAGGTAGATTGCTTGTTATGAATTTGCAGCATTACTCAACATTGCCTGAGCAGGAGCTGATCGCATGTCATCTTTCGGAGACTTCATTGCACTGTCGGCACCTTGTGATCTAGCAACTGCAAAGATAATATCACGAGAAGTTTCAGACGGCATCATAGCTCCTGGCTACTCTGTCGAGGCGCTCGAAGTGCTGAAAAAGAAGAAGGCAGGAAAGTACTGCGTCCTTGAGGTAAACCGGATTTATCTTGTGTCAAGACAAGATTAACGCATTTCGCCAAGATGGATCCATCATTTGTCCCAGAGAGGCTCGAGACGCGTCAAGTCTATGGCGTATCATTGCAGCAGAATCGCAATGACGCTAAGGTAGACAGATCCTTGTTCAAAGACATCGTCACCAAGAATAAAAACGTGAGCCGTCGCAGTTCCCTTTCGAACTTTGCTGATGTTCGTACTAGCTTCCTGAGTCTGCAATTGTCGATTTGATCGTGGCTACTCTTTCCCTCAAGTACACTCAGTCCAACAGTGTGGCGTATGCGCTGCGTGGATCCATAATCGGTCTTGGCGCCGGGCAACAATCGAGAATTCACTGCACTAGATTAGCTGGTGGGAAGGCGGACAACTGGTGGCTTCGCCATCACCCTCGTGTCCTGGAACTGCCTTTCAGATCAGGTGTAAAGCGAGCTGAAAAGGCGAACGCGATTGACCTCTTTGTTGGTGGGGAGGAGCTCGAAGGTGGAGAAAAGACGCAATGGGAGAGTCTATTTGAGACTTTACCGTCACCTTTGACACCCGAGGAACGTGCGGAGCATGCAAAAAAGCTGCAGGAGGTCGCCTGTTCAAGCGATGCGTTCTTCCCATTCCCAGATAACGTGCACCGTGCCGCGAAGAGTGGTGTTAGGTACCTGGTCGCTCCACGAGGAAGTGTCATGGATGCTGAATGCATCGGGGCTGCTGACGAGCACCAGATAGTGTTTGCCCACACCGACCTGCGGTTGTTCCACCATTGAAAACTTTATACAACTATCCAATGGATCCAACGCTTGTATTAAACATGCTTAGAAAAGAACATGGGGATAATTCTGTTCAAGGTTCAGATGCGCGCGATGCACGCTCAGTGATCAGATCCGCGGCCCAGCCCTGAACCTCGGGATGCTGAATTTTCGAGATGCTACTGTCGAAGAAAGGTTGGAGATCTTTACGATGTCTCTTTTCGTACTCCGAAGCTGTGGATGTGGAAATCTAGGGAAACGCGCAGAGGAAGCATGCGAACAAATCGGTACCTTGCAGGGCCATTTCAACGCGATCTAAATCTACAATTGAGAATGGCAATTTTTTTTTCTCAATTCCGTCATGAATTCACGATCGAAAGCTGACTGACCTTTCACAAAACGCGCTTCCGCCGTTTCGCCAGCCTCATATTCCTAAGTGGTTGATGTTGATTTCGAATGACCTAGATGCACATGAGAACGAACATTCCACAGCGCTTCTATTCTTCGTGCGGCAGGGCCCCCATGAAGCATGTCACCAACCATGCTGCTGATGGCATCCTTCCAATTGCAATCACAATCATCTCAATTTCATGTCTATCACGGCATGGAGCAACAAAAGCGTACGGCTTCCAGTTTCTTCTTCTCCGCGGACGGGATTCCATCCGATGGGGCAATGTCCCCAACTATTGCCTCTGCCAGATCGTGCACCACCGAAAGCATAACACACCTGGGCAGCAGTTACAGAAGATATTGCGAAAGTTTATGTCTAGTCCTCTCACTTCGATACATCAAGGCCTTGGTCGGTGGTGCACAGTGCCAATATACTCATTCTGTGCATATGATCACTGATGCTGGCGAAAGAGGTCGCTGTAAAAGTTTGCCTCTTGAGGAGGAATCTCGCGCACAGTCACCTTTCAGCATCTGTGATCTAGTAGACAGAGGCAAATTTCGTACGCATTATAGTAAATACTCCTTCCCACTCACTCTGTTATTCACCCATCCGGTGCGCCTCTGAGTCTGGCGAGGACTGATCAGATAAATGTCGACTTTGGTATCGACTAGTGACCTTTAATTGCTCCAAAATATGGAAGAAAGCGAGACGATCGCCGCCCTCATTTCCAGAAGGAACAAAGTTGGACCGTCGTGACATGTCCTAATGATGACCCCAATCCTGACCTGAATAAAAGATTCTTGTGGGAGAAAACACAGCCACATCGCTCCCGATGAATTTTGCGCGGAACGCACCCACAATCAAGGGGGTAGGGGGGCTGGGCAATACCCATACTGCTAGAGTGCTCAATAAGTTCTTGGAGCTAATCAGAGAGCACGGAAATGCTGCCGACATATCTCCCTATGTTCGACCTCGTCCGTCAGCTTATTGGGGCCACCATACCTATTCGAAATTTCGTACGTGCTCAGCGGGATTGCTTGTGGAATGTCTAACAATCTCTTATAGACTCAACTGCTGTATCTTTTGAAACGCTGCCAAAACTTCCATATTCCGAGGCTTGTTCAACGTGCACCTTATAATTCGATTGCGGCTAACCTTGTTCACTCTAGGTCCTCATAACAGGCGAGTGAGGCCATGGGATGATTATAGGGGCTAACGATTATGAATTTTTGAGTCAGGGAGGACTAATGCTGGAAAGTCAACTTTTATCTCTGCTATAATAGACAATCTGGGAGGCAAAATTGTCCGGACTGGCAAAAGAGCAGTGAGTAGCCCAAAATTCATACATACTCTTGCAGTCGTAACTTAGGAACAAAGGGATCAGGGAGTAACACGGGCGTTTAATTTCTACCCTTGTGGTGGCCCTCTCATCCCTCCGGAAAAGAAGGTGACGCTAGTCGATAGCCCAGGCTACGGTGACAGGGGCACTGAGGAGACGGGCGATTTTTTTCAATCATATGTCAAGAGAAGATCCAAGTATGTCTTTCCATGAATGGAAACATGTGGCCTCGCTTAAAGATTGTTGTTGACAGTCTCAAGCTCATCCTTCTTTTGATCGATGCTGAGCTGGGCATGAACCACTACGACAAATCAATGCTCGAATTCCTTTCTAGAACACGCCAGGATTGTCGTCCTGACGTCCAAATTCAGCCAGTCCTTTCCAAAGTAGACAAGGCATCACACAGCAGCGTGATAACTCGCCTCGGTCGTACGGCGGAGGACGTTTACCGTATCGCACCTAATGCAAGGCAACCATTCGTCCTGGTTGGATGTAAAGGGCATATGAAGAGACTAGGTATTGAGGAGGCCAGGCTTCAAATTCTTATTGGGGCAGGTCTGGCTTCGCTGCGTCCAAAATTGGCGAAAGTACCTGTTTCGTCTGCAACACCTCTATTACCAGTAGCTTCGGCTTTCGGTAGTGGCGGCATTCCGGAAAAGAAGTCGTGATCATGTTAGCATGGGTCTCCTCGGCACTCACCTACCCAGGGACAACGCCCTCGACTCGTAAAGCTCTCTTAGTCGGGGCGACTCTTATCTTAACATAACATCTTTCAATAAAATGCCGAAACTTTGAGGTGCCATTGCCAATGCGTGTGTCACGGGTCTTGCTTAACATATGTTCCAGGTATTCGTCAAAGTGTCTTCTGGCGTATACGATTAAGACATGAGCACGATTTCTATAGGGGGTATCTGATGGTAAGATGACAAATGGCCATGAAATTCTAAAAGAACCACGGGCGTGCTTGATCAAGACTGCCTTCTGCCTGAAAACGGGCGTGCCCCAAAGGGAAGGTTTGAATATGGGTCTTGTTGCGGCATTGCGGTGTACACACATAGCAAGGCTACTGCATACTCTGTACCCGCCCTTTCGGCCCACGGTTCCTGCAGTGAGGTATCTATCGGAAATGGATTGAAATTTTACGGCTGCGTAGCTTTTTCCGGTAAGATCTTCGACGGGCATTAACTCTGCCTTAAGCGGGAAGACAATTCAAGTGCAACAGGCACAGGAGCACAGGTTTACGTATCTCGAAATTCTAAGATGGCCAACAACTCAAATATGCCGTTAGGAGTCGGCAAAGTGCCTCTGGTCTCAGCCGCTCGTACTGTGCGCTTGTGGCGATGGCTGTGGACATTGCTGCTTCCTCTCCGGCCGAAAGCGGTGCATCAGCAAGGCAGTAAGAAGGGCGTTCTTTGCTGAAACAAGCTTGGTGACCTTCACGATTCCCTTAAGCTAGAAATGCAAGTTAGACTATAGCTCGGTCTGGGTGTAGCTAATTCGGGAATGGAACAATTATGAGTCGACTGCGACCAGCAAGGAGGCTTTGACAATTGGACGTAAAAAGGAATTGACAGGATAAGTTCTCAAATGGGTATGTGATGTAACTTCCCCTTGATCAATGCATTGTAGAGAGGCGGATCTGAAATAGGTACGGGGTTGTCGAGTTTGGAATTTACGATATGGGGGACGCCGTCAGTAAGTCTGGGAGAGGACGAGTCAGCTGTATATGGGCTTAAGCCAGCACGACACATGCCTTTGGCAGCTTCGTTCTCGGCATTCGTTAAACCGGAATCATGTGCCTCTAAAAACGCATCAACCTGATGGTGATTGTTCCAGTCAACACCTGCCCTGTATAGGAAAAACATGCAGTAAAATACTTACTTCATCCATCATTAACTTGTCATCTTCTCCTGCAACGCCATCCAAGGAATCGAGATCGTCATCTATCCTGCCATCGTCCTTGGCCTCGTCGATTGCGAACGGTTTGCGCTCCATGACATTAACTGATGTGAGCTGCTTGACTATCGGAGTAATCGGCATTTCGGACTTCTCGTCTATTGATAAAGAGGACAGAGATTGCTTTGATTCAGTGCCTGACGTGATTATTATCTCCGGCGTGCCCAGTGATAATGACGATCCGGAGGGAGAACGGTTTCGAATGGAAGGAGTTAAGAGGGATTCGCGCGGTTTGGGCTCTTGTAGCCCGTAGGTTTTGTCGTATTTACCAATGGACGGTCGTTGGACAACCTGAAGAACCCGATGAATGTCAGCGATAAAATATAGCCCGCCAGTTGACCATTTGTTACCTGATGCTTCCCCATTGTTTTTCCGATCTGGTCCGCAACATTGTTGATTATACGCCTGTTATCCTCATTTGAGAGGAAACTTGAAACTAGCCCTCCCAAAAAACCACTCTTTTGTTGCTGCTGTTCTATCAACGGAGGAATAGGCTCGAGGCGGAATGACCCTGAAAGGTCTACATCGAAAAATGATTCGAGAACCTCGTCTGCTAGAACCACCATGCGGAATCTATGAAGGGAGTGATTGTCGTTCCAATATAAATTCACGATCCTTACGTCGGAAGAGTGAGATAAGGGAGATTATGACTTCCTTCAGCCGTTTCAACCTGAGGCGACAACGCATCTCCATACTCGAACGCGTTGGTCATGAAGCGGCTGACGGCACCCAAGTAAGTGTCACCTATTTCATGACGGAATATAAACTAGAACGTTCTTGAGCCGGGTCCAAGACAAGAGGCAGGAAAAACACCAACCAACAAGGACTCCGCGAGCTGCAAAACCTCGTCTTTTGTGAGAGCACCATCTTTGTCCTTGTCGTGAAGTGTGAAAAACCATTCGATGTTTGCCATAAGGTCATTGAACATGACCCCGCTGAGGCCGACAACTAAGTCCTGAAATCAAATTGAGACGTTTGAACAGATGCAAAGCTGTTTATTAACCTGGAAGGACAACGCGCCTCGATGCGAGAAGTCCCAAAAAAAGCTACAATGACCGTTGAGGATTGAGTGGGGAAGGGAGGCCTTATGACGTACAAAAGTCGATCAATCAGCTCATGGTCGGCTACATTACGATTGACACGTTGCTGGGAGACCTTCAGAAAGCGACATATGGGAAAGGGGACGAGAGCCTACTTGAAAGCCATTCGAGACGATTACTTCATCTCGTGCCCAGGACGCAACCTGACTCAGGAAAACTTTGAAGGTCTTGAGCCCAATTCTGGTTTCTGGTCTCCCCGATGGATCTTTATATTCGTCGGGATCATTGGGGACATTCTTGACGTCGTTTGGTGGTTCGTCACAGATTGCTTGAAAGTATACATCATAGACCATGCCCGCTTGTACCTTGTCAAGATGTCCAAGCGTTTTTAAATTCCTGACTGCAGCTCGTTTCGTAAATGATTCGATACCAGAGACAATCTCCGTTCGGAAGCGCTTGCGCTCTGCCGCGATGGTTTCCTCTGTGATCACGGAAAATTCACGAAATGAAACAAGGAGTAATTCTTGGAAATTCGTAATCGCCCGGACTCGTGGATCCACAGAATCGGGGTGAGCAGAATCCCCAAGGGAATTAAAATAATCCCGCATCAAGCTGGGATAATTCGATATTCAACAGTCTTTGAAGAAATAAAATGAGTCTCACTTGATAAAACTGCCGTCATCTTGTATTTCTAGAAGCTCTGGGCCGTTGATTTTAAGGATTGCTGTCCTTAACTCTTTAGTTGATGGCAACGAGTGCCATCGAATCAAACTACTCACCCAGCCTTTACACCAGAGGTTAGCGACGGTGAGCCACAGTTAAGCAGGACTCTCACCCCACTTGGAAGAGAACTTTTGGCCCCATGGCGAAAAAGCAATCAATAATGCGGAAAGCATAGATCAAAGGCATTGAATTAATGAATCTACAAGGACCAAATGCACCGTTAGCGATGAGAAGAAGACAATACAACTATCAACGGCTTGGGCTTACAGACTCAAGAACCATGGCAATGAAGCAACAGAGAGTTGCACATCCACCGCATGGAATCGGTCATGAATCAAAGGTAAACACTTGTGCACCAGCGCCTCGAATACTCTTTGGTCCAGAATTGTACCCCACATGCTCGGGCTACAACGGCAAAACACATATTTCGTAGGCACACGAGAAGACAAGATAGCTAATCACCTGTAGTAACCGGGAAGAAGGCGGTCACAAAGAACCTCGAGTAACCAGAACGCTTGTTCCTCAGACATAAAACTGACATACATAAGTCACTACATATACTGACAGTTTTTAATGCTCCACCTACATCAGGATCGCTGCAGCTAATATATTCATAGCCTACGCAGTGGGATGATTAGAGCTTGTCTTTGAAGTTCCACGGGGACTACCTGACAGTATCCCACTTCGGGGTTCTTCCAGCTATACGCCGTTAACACCTTGCGTAATGTGTCGATCCCTTTTTCGGTCTGATACGCAGGATATTCCGGGAGGCTGCGAGAAAGATCCTTTTCAATATCTTCTGTACTAGTGCTTGTCCGTCCTTCATTGTCTTTCAATAGCTTTTCATAGAGACCGGAGTTGGCAAGTCTCAGATACAACGAGCCAGACAGTGTCTCCCACAGTTCTCCACGAAGACGATTTGGAAGGCCAACCTGTATTAGACGAGTACATTGAGGATATCGTAGAAGAGTAAGATGTCTTCCGTGAGCTGAGTAAGCTCATTAGTACTGGTTCGCTGGATGGCGGGTCCCTTACATCGAAGATACGTTGCCCAGAGCTTGAGCTTTGAACTCTCTCGGAGCCTTGGAATATTGTGGAGATTAGGAATTATAGTGGGAAGTAACAAGAGCATACTTCTTTGCATCTCCTGGGAATTTGAACTCGAAGCCAAGTCCCCCATGATAGTCACTTTGCATCGCCTCCATACCCACTGGAACATCAGGATCCTTGATGATGCTACCATCTTCTCTCTCCTTATCCATTGCGGAAGATGATGGGGGGATCAACACTTCAGAGTACAACGTCTTCACAAATGGCTTCAAGAGCTTCATGGAACCTTGTTGCAACTCCGCCTTCAGGGCGTCCCGAAGCATGGCGCTGAACTGGTCCGCTGCAGGCCGCAGGGAGGTGATTTGGATAATCTAGGATGGGAGCTACTAAGTTTTCGATCACGAGTAACTAACAAGTTGGGCTGACAATCTTCGTTCCGTGCCACACGATGATGCTGAGTGCGAAGACTCCTGATCGCGAATTCAACCGTTCCACTCGCCGTATGGTGCTGAGAGGAAGCGTGAACTTCACAGACTTTTGGTCAAGGGACATGAAACATAGGAACGGGGGAAATAGATAGAGCCTCCCTGCCTTCAAACGCGATGTGAAAGTCATGCAATGATTGTTCCACAACCGTGGACATTGCTCACATATGAATCTTCCCGGCCATGTAAAGTAACAACAGAATTGACGTCTATCTTCAGAGCGCATCCCTTTGGGAGTGAGAATTGAGCGATGAGCTTGTCCGTTGCATTAGGTTCGCGGTGACTCCGGAGAGAAGTGATGCTTGTCATGTGAGAGCGCCGTGCCTCTGACGAAGCTAAATCCTAGAAATAGCAAGGGTAGCAATCGTGCGCGTGCGACAGTACGAACCAAAGCGAGGAATCAGTCAAATGTTGCTACTTCGGCGCGACACTGCCCATTCGGGGATGACCGATGGTTTCCACATTCAAACCCTCTCTCCAGCTTGACGCATATATATAACTGCACCTTTCCTTCACAGCGTTATGCTTTCTTGAGGAAGCCTATGCCTCGCTACCAGCTCGCTCTAGCTTTATCATCGAAGGCTAGCTTTTCGGATATCTGGTCAGACATCGGCACTTACAAACCTGAAACTCTTGACTCGGCTGTGGAGACTTCTCGTTCTACACAAGATTATCGCTTTGGAAAGCTTCGAGTAGACTGGGCAGATATACACCATCGATCTCGGATGTCTCCCTTGGACAAGCAGAAGGACAGCGAGGACTCGATCAAACGAGTCAATGCCAGTATGGGTGTAGGTGAGCGCATCGGAATGATGACAAGTGTTGTGACCCTCTCAACTATAGCACACAGGGCATAACGCGCTTACTGCGACCTTCCATCCAGTTACGGAGGCGAATGTATTGACATCGTCATCCATCGTCTTTGGGACTACAACTCTGCCGGAGGGAATGATCAGACTTTTCAGGCACATACAGTCACCTAATGCAGCCGAAACAACAGCCCCGCAAGATGATGGAACGATACTATGCGTTCTTGCTGTCCCATCCTACATGACCCCCTCCGATTTCTTAACTTTCATCGCGCCTGCTGAAGAAGGGCTAGCACACCTTCGATTGATTAGGTCAGGAGCAACCGCTATAGTCGTTGCGTCTAGGTCCTGACCGTGATGATAGGGATGTTTCGGAGAACCGGTCCGTCGCACTGCTGAGGTTTCGGGGTCGTGACTATGCAGAGGAGTTCGCTCAGGAATACAACGGCAGGCTCTTCAACTCACTGGAGGTCGGTACCAGTATTTAACAATAGTGACTCCTCCTGATGGTCAAGTTATCAGCCAGAAAGCTGCCATATTGTCAGGATTACTGCCGTTACCATTGATGCTACAGATAACTCGTTGAGTGGAATGTTGCAGACGCCCGTCAGGGGTTTGACAGACATATATGAACTTCCGACATGTCCGGTATGCCTGGAGCGGATGGACTCCGCTGTCACCGGACTTGTCACTATTCCTTGCTCCCATTCATTTCACTGCATGTGCTTGAGCAAATGGGGTGATAGTCGGTGAGTTCATTGTTTCGGCTTCATGCCAATCTAAAGCTGTTTCTGAGCTCCATTCTGTTGTGACAGGTGTCCTGTGTGCCGTTACTCGCAGTCGCTGTTGACAACAAAATCACGGCAGGCCAATTCGTCCCGATTAGTCTCGTTTCCTCCCGCTGACAACGCATCAGTATCCATGTGCTCATCGTGCTCATCGACGATAAACCTGTGGATTTGCTTAATATGCGGCAACGTAGGATGCGGCCGATACGGCCAGGCACATGCTTTTGAGCATTATACACAAACTACCCATCTTTACGCATTGGAATTAGAGACACAGCGTGTATGGGATTATGCAGGGGACGGATACGTTCATAGACTCATTCAAAATCGCGCCGATGGGAAGCTCGTGGAACTGCCAAGCGCATCTGCGATGGCACCTTCCTTTGGCACCTCTCAGGGCAGGACTGGCCCTACCCCTGCTGATTCGCTGGCTGCGGAAAAAGTTGAAGCCATCGGTATCGAATATAGTTACTTGTTAACGAGTCAACTCGACAGCCAACGATCGTATTATGAGAAAGAACAGGCCCAATTGTCCAGTGCCCTCAGCGATGCACATGACAGAATTTTGCGGCTGGAAGATGAGGTGGTAGCTAGCGATCCCAATGTCATCAAAAGACTTGAGGAACGGGCAAGAAGGGCTGAAGCCCGCGCGGAACGACTGCAGCAATCGGCGCGAAACTTTGAGGCGCAGCTCAAAGAAGAGAAGTTGATTAGTTCAGGGTTTTTGGAGAATATTGGCGCGTTAAAGAAACGTGCGGAAGCAGCAGATCAGGAAAAGGATGCCATCTCGAAGAGATTACAAGAGTGCGAGGAGCAGCTCAGAGACATCATGTTTTACCTGGAGACGAAGGAGAAGATAGAAAAGGGAGCAGAAACTGGGGAAAGTCTTCTTGGGGAGGCTGCTGGTGGGACAATCGTACTACCGCCTGCCGAACGCGCGTCCAAAGTCAAGAGGCCAAAGAAAAAAGTATAATTAGAGAGCAATGGTGATTTGGGGAATCTGTTCGCTAGTGTTCCCGCATTATAGTGTATGACAATAATAAGTGTAAACCTAGGGCTGACAGGAAGGAGGTGTTACAACATAATATCCCGGATGGCTGTTGGGCCGTGTTCCGCATAGTCCGATTTGGATACGAAATTTTTGCCAGTTGAATCAGTGAATATTAGCTACGAGGAGTGTTGGCCAATGCTTAGAAGTAGTAATGCGGAATTAATATACCTTTGCTGCAATGCAAGCACCTAGGAAAGCCGCAAGGACGTCGCTGCGTTCTTGGAACTCGGCAAAATATGCCGGAAATTTCAGGGTGCTCACAGTTGCCGGTTGACCTTGCGCTTGCCACTGTGATTCCGCATCATGGGTGGCGAAACGGGTTAGGCGGAAAGATAATGCGGCCTCGAGGTCTGGTCAAGAACTCATTGAACACGAAAGGGGATAAGGATAAGACTACTTGAGACATACTTTTGACTTTCAACATATCCCCAGTGAGGAATATTCCATCCCATAATTGTGTGCGTTGAGGATGGTCAACTGAAGCGACAGCAAGGCGAACAGCCTCGTCAATGCCTACCGAACCCTCTGGTAGCCATCGCTCCGGTGGTAAGAATTGGTTGAGAAGAACCGGATTAAATAACGGGTCACATAAACGATGTCGTTCTTTTCCCAGAGTTATGGTGACCGTCCGCTCTCCTGCAATAGGCTCAGCGGCTTCAGGCTCGGGGTTTGGCAATGAAGGTAGAGTATTTCAAGGTCTACGAGATCCAGCGCCTGCCGCTCTTTCTCGGCAGCCGATGCAGCAGCTTTCTTCTCTTGAGCCGCACTCTTCTTCTTGTTTCCTGCCGCCTCTATGACCGCCTTCTCCTTCCCTGCGACCAAGACAGCAGCGATGTTGCTCAAAGCACCTTCGTCCTCCGGCGGTGCTTGGGCAGTTATGATTGCTCCTTCAGACTCAGGAATGTGTATAAGACCTTCCTTCGTCGCAACCCGTATTATTTGATGGAGAGCAGCATGTAGGTCCTTCTCGGTCAGCGGGACTGGGGTATTGAGTTGGCTCATGAGTGATGCATTGTTTTTAAGCACATTAACAAGGTATGATTCGCACTGCTTAGCGCCGACCGGGACAGCACGTAAGCCGTAGCGATAAACGTCGCTGTCTAGTACCGGTCCGATCATTGTGATGTCCTGACCTATGTCCACGACTACTCCAGATAATGAATTCGCTGCGAACATTTGCAACAAGGGTCGCTCGAAGATAGACAGTGCGGCAGCATTAAAGCGTTCGAAGAATATTTGGGCCAATCGTTCATATGACAACCTTGGAAGATTGGGTTGAACGCAAAGCATGACTGGGTATTCATTTTGGCTACGAGACAGTTGCAGGGAGGTGAATAGCACATAACGCCTAAAAAGCACGACTGTGAGTGCACGTTTGATAGAGACAGAGTTTTCGAGAATCATAACATACCAGAGTGCTTCCGCTTGAGCCCATTCTCGGATTCCATCGTGTGCAAATGGCCAGAATATTTCCAGGGATTCCCCAGCAGCCTCAGCTTCATCGAAAAAAGTCCCTACGAGGTATTTTGTAGCCTTGACGGAAGACAGGCTGAGGTCCCCGTCAATTTGCATAGAGTCCCTCCTTAGTCCAACGCATGCGCGGATTTCCTGTACATGAAATCCATGAATTGCAGATTTGATCGGTGAGTTTCTGTATCGAAACTTGCGTACCACTGAAGGCAGAGGCAGAGGAAAGTTGTGAATCCCTCTTCCTGCGCGAATGACATTCTGTCCGCATTCGATGACCACCACACTTGACTCGCGGAACGACATCGTTCCAATGTTATGACTTGTTTCCAACCTCCTCGAACTCTATTGAATGAATTCATAAATATAGTGATATCGTTCCACAACAGACCTCTCCTGCACTGTACCTCACTCTGAAACGTATCAAATAGAATCTATTCCACGATATTTCTCGCACACACTATCCTGTAATGCGGGCTTCTCCCCAGATCCCCCTCGAGGGAAATACACCTTTCACCAATTATTCAAACTGGAGGCTCAAATGTACAGATGGTGGAAGGCATATATGGCACTATTTATCTGATGAGGAAGCCAAGACTTGGCCACAGTCCATTATCGACAAATACTGGCTTGGCCTTCCGACAGTAAGTGCAGTTTCTGCATTTTATACTTTCCCCCGTATTGACTTTTTCAGGGCCTCCCAGCACTGCCAATAGCGAAAGATGCAATGTCTGCAGCACGTAACGGCTTTTCCTTTTACAAGAATCTCCAAGATCCTGATGGCCATTGGCCTGGTGAATACGGTGGACCCATGTTTCTTCTCCCCGGACTGGTCATTGGGTCATATGTGTCGGGCATGGATTTTACAGAGGGACAGAGAATGGAGATTATAAGATATTTAATCAACCGTGCTCATCCTGATGATGGTGGCTGGGGAATGTATGTCGTCTGCCACCAAGTTATCCTGCATTTTGACCCATTCATGCGTAGCCATGTCGAAGGCGTATCCACAGTTTTCGGCACGGCGCTCAATTATACAGTTATGAGGCTCTTGGGTGTGCCAAAGAACCATCCTCTTTTAGTGAGGGCACGAGCTCATCTGCATCGTTTGGGTGAGCCTTCCTGGATTACTATCGTCTGAGGGCAAGGATCGATTGCCAAGTAGGGGGAGCAACTGGAGTACCTTCGTGGGGAAAGTTTTGGCTGTCAGTATTGAATGTGTACGATTGGGAGGGAAACAACCCCATTCCTCCCGAGCTTTGGTAAGTGACAACTTCCCATTCTCACGCCCGGATAGCAAAGTGACATTTCCGCTTAAGGCTTCTGCCCGATTGGTTGCCGATACACCCCCATCGGTGGTGGATACACACCCGACAAGTATATGTGGCGATGAGCTACTTATATGGGATTCGCTTCCAGGCTGCTGATAACGAGCTTATTCTCTCTCTGAGAAAAGAGCTTTATGTGCAAGACTATAACACCATCAACTGGCCTGAGCAGCGGAATAATGTTGCACCAGTCGATATTTATGCACCTCATACCACTCTCCTTGACATTCTCAATGGTGTTCTGGGCGCCTACGAGTGTTGTCTTGTCCCATTCATTAGAAGACGTGCTTTGAACCGAGCGTACGAGCTCATCTGCAAGGAGGATGAAAATACGTCATACCAGGACCTCGGTCCTGTGAATAAAATGATTAATCTCATTTGTCGAGCGCACGTCGAAGGACCAGACAGTGAGGCATATCGGATGCATGAGCGAAGGCGCTTGGACTTCATGTGGCTCGGCGCAGAAGGGATGCTGATGTGCGGTACCAATGGCTCCCAACTTTGGGATACGGTATTCATATCTCAGGCTATTGTGGAAACTGGTCTTGTTCACGAGGAGGGAACAAGGATGCAGCGATTAACGCACTACGCTGGATTGACCAGTGTCAGATACGCGAGAATCCGAAGCATTACGAATCTGCTTACCGTCACAGAACAAAAGGCGCATGGCCGTTTAGCACCAAGGAACAGGGATATACCGTCAGTGATTGTACTGGAGAGGGTCTCAAGGCAATTATTTATTTGCAAAAGCACGCTGAGTGAGTAAATTGCTTTCAATACGGAAATACGCGTGTCTGAACAAGTGTCTTTGTGAAGAGGAGCTCCCGAACTCGTCTCCAATGAACGTCTATGCGATGCAGTGGATACACTCTTGACCATGCAGAACTCGAATGGAGGTTTTGCTAGCTATGAGTTGGTGCGTGCGCCGTCAAGGCTCCTTGAGATGATTAACCCCGCGGAGGTTTTTGGTGAGTGCCCAGTGTACCTAGGTCTGGGTTTCCGCCAACCCTATCTATCCCTAGGCAATATCATGACCGATTATACATACCCGGAGTGCACGACCTCAGTCGTGACGGCATTGACGATATTTAAACAGTATCAACCTGAGTATCGAAGGAACGAGATTGAGTAAGCCGTGTATATTCGTCTTTGTCTTCTCATTCTAACCCAGTCTGGGTCCCAGCACCACAATTCGCCGTGCAATTTCTTATATACACAAGTCCCAGCGAGCTGATGGGTCATGGTTCGGCTCCTGGGGCATCTGCTTCACTTACGCCACTATGTTTGCTCTCGAATCCCTGTCTCAAAACGGCGAGACGTATAATTCAAGCGAGAGCGTAAAGAAGGCATGCGAGTTTTTGAGATCTAAGCAAAAACTAGATGGCGGATGGGGCGAAACATATATGGTACGTGTCAAATGTGGTATGTATCAAAGAGCGAGTAGCTTATGGTACGGAGTCTAGAGTTGCGTTTCTGGCGTGTATACGGAACATCCGGAATCCCTCGTTGTGCAGACTTCTTGGGCCTTGCTCGGTTTGATACACGCGAAATACCCGAAGAGACAGCCGTTGGAACGTGCTGTGCGACTCATTATGACACGTCAACTTCCCGTGAGCATATCATTTACGACTAACACGAGAATTTCCATTGACATGCATACCCTTAGGATGGATCATGGGCTCACGAGGCGATTGAAGGCATCTTCAATAAAAACTGTGCTATTGCATACCCCAACTTCAAATTCAGTTTTACTATTTGGGCGCTGGGCAAGGCGCACAAATACCTTCAGACCATTGATTGAAAAACGGTGACCCCTTTATAGTTACGCGCGAGACTCATGCGACCTATGTATCGACTTGAGGATTTTATCATTATTGTACCTATGACTGCATGAGTCCTATCATCAAAGATTCGGCAACCTCTTCCGACAAAATGTTCTTTACATCGATCTCATTATCTGTGATCCAATCGTATGCTTCGTTCAGCAATGTGTCAGTGAGTGGGAACTGATAGCGAGCGAAGACAAGAATAATGTTCGAGACGCGACCTATCGCCGCACGCGTCATCCAATCGATGTCCTGGAAGTACATTAGTGCATTGTAACTAAGGCCAAGTCGCTAGACATACGTCGTTAACGTTTGAGTAGACAGCTTCAGAGTCAAATCCCTCTTCACCCTCTTTTTGGTTGGCAGCGGTATGTTTCTGTACCCAAATGTAACCATTCATGCCAAGGATGATATCCACCCCACATGTTAAAGAGAAGAAATGCGACTTGAGACGCCGCACCAAAGTGGAGGGTATAGTTACTAGTTGACCGTTGCGCAACTGGCCAAGTGAGAACGAATAATTAGCCCTCTAGAAGATCGTAAAACAAGGAAGTACCTTTCCAAACTTGAGAGAACGGGTGTGGAGAGCAGTTGATCCTTCAGCGAAGAACGATTGAACTTCCGCTACGAGTAAATCGCCTTCTTCGAAGAAGTTTCTCATTTGCAACTCATCAGCTTCGAGCCTTCTGCGCTGGTGTTATGTAGGGCAGTCAGATAAACCCTGCCGGACGGGAGGTCTAGGACCTGCCTGAATGCCCCCCGGAAGATTAACGGAAGCAAGCATGAGAATACCATCTAATCGCGAGTTGATATCCACTTTCCAACGCTTTGACCCAACCTAACGATGCCTAGTTGAGTCGCATATACGATTGGGTATTTATATCTGGCTGCAATACAGACATCCACAACTCGTCCAACCACAAGATCGCCCACTTCTGGTATGTACCTGGAAAACACAACTAAGCCAGAATAAAGTCCCTCCCAAAAAAAAGCTCGAACGAACCTAGACTTTAGCGCCTTCACAACCACCAATTTATTTACACGAGAGACCACTCCAGCAAGCGACGCTACTACATCCTCGTCCTCGACATAAGTTCCATGACCCCTTTTTCAAAATATGAGGACCCAAATTTCGTGAGCACAACAACCTACCTCAGGACGGCTGAGGAATCGGATATTACTTCCCCAGGAGTTGTCAGACGCAATGAAGACGCTTCATTGTCGATATCCATATCATGATCTGTCTTCCTTGGCCGATGCAACCGACCGCCCCCATATTGAGTTCGAGAGGCGGGTACGAGAGGAACGACGGTAAAAGTCATGATTTGACAGCACAAGTCACGTTGTGTCACAGTCACCATTTGTTGCCAGTTCCAAAAGATCAACTTCTTCTTGCTGGGGCCTGCACCAACGTGCTTCATGCGGATGCCCCCTTCTGATCACTGCTATCATCCAGGGGATGGAGGGAGAACATCCACCAGTGTTAACACTCAAGTTGAACGATGCGGCCTTGTGCATGTGCCACTGGAATAGGGGAAGCGTCAATGAACGGCAACCTTTTTAATTAGTCTCCCAACCATCAGCCCAGGGTGTCGTGGCGTGGTTATTTTGAATGGGTAGCATAGGCCGGGTTTCGGATGTCAACAGCCTCTGTTGCTCTTTCAATGTGATTTCTTGCCAGCTGCTTACTCCAACGACATGACGTACGGTGCACAACTTTTAACCTGTCCAGTACGGTGCATAGCAATTTAGTCCCAGAGACCATGTATAATCATCACCGTTCAATATCATGATACAGATTATGCTGCTTGCATCGTCTCCCTCTGTTAAACACTAGATAATTGTACAAGATCAATTATTGAGTCCGTTGTTCGATCGAGGTACTTAGGATAGTAATGATTCGGAAGAATGAGATGAGTAATTGTAAAATCCATTGGAGGTCATTTAGTGGCAGTGGCCCCGCTTGGCCCGGCACTATCCTTCGCAGCAGGACGGAGCGGAGGTTTATTTGGGTGAGGTTCAATTGCTGCGATCTCCGCTTTGGCAGCTTCCCAGGCCTCGAGATTCTAGGATTAACGGTCAGTCCTGTGTGGAGATATCCTGGGTACAAGACTTACGGCCTTGCACCATGCGAGGTGGATGCGTGCCATTCCTATGCACATTTCCCTAAGATCTGCCACCTTTTGACGCTGGAACCGGTCAAGGTCTGCTTGTATAATGGACGAAGCATATTTGAGATCCTGGGCGGAGAGGTGTTGGGCATCTTCTAGCTGTGCAAGAAATCATCTCAACACACTCAAGCAGGATGATCGGCAATACACACATGTGAGATAGCGTCCTTTGTCTTGCTGATCGAACTTCGACGAGCTGCCTCTGGATCCACATCCATCATTCCATGGATAGAGTGCGACAGAGCACTGAGAAGACCGCCACTTGGACTCTTGTTTCGTCTCGGCAACACGGCAGGTGATGGGGGAAGGGAGAGAGATTGCCCCAGAGACGATCGTGACTCCGCAACAATGTCATCAATGTCACCTTCAACACCATTGGGTTGTTCCCCACGATGACCAGTCGCTGGAACAGAGGCGGACTTGGGTCGGACACCCACGGCAACCAACGCTGCTTCAAGTCTCCGAGCCTCTATCTCGCTCTTCTCTAACTCCTCTAGATTTTCGCGCCTTGTTTCCAGAGAATCCAGTGTCAGCTCGTATTGGACATGTTTTTGATGTCGGTACTGCAGAAGCTTCCTGATGATGTCCCCAAATTGCGAGTACTCATGTAAAGGTTCCGTCCAAACTTGCTCAAAATCTTGGAGCTGGGCGATTCTGAGTGGAAAACGCAAAAACGGGTGGGAAACACAGTGCTTACTAAACGTGCAGTTGAGATATATGTGGCGTCAACTGCTTGTCCTATTCTCTCAATTGCTGGCGCTAAATTACCCGATTCCGACAGGCTGAAAGCATTTAAGGCTGCCCCAAGTTCGGCGTGATCGTGAGAGTACTCTATGACATGTATTTTATATCATTTGAGATCGAGATACCGTAGCCGTAACGCACCAGACCATCGTTTCATAGTCCGCCGTGTTACTTTCTCCATGTTGCCAGACAAATGTGAGGCAAACCTACTGGTGAATACCTCAGAATCCTGGAATCTTTGGTCGGGTTGTCGAAGTGTGGCGGAAGCGCTTGGACTGGGAAGTGCAGCGTAGGCAATGGCGGAACTTGCATCCAGCGGGTTGTGGGCTGGGGCTTTCAGGATATTTTTGGGCAGGAGAGTCAACGGGGGAGATCGTGCTATTTCTGCCTGTAGGGAGATCATGAGCAGTTGCGGGTTAATTTAATCATCGACTGCATACCCATGAGACGTCACCGCTGAGAAACCTATGAAATACGACTTCTGTAGAGAGGATGTCGTGTCGAGAAATTCTGTTGAGAAAGACTTGAAGCATTCGCTTGCGACGTGCAATTAGGGCAGCATCTTCTTTCGCTTTCGCTTGTTTCACCGCGTAGTCGCCAAGACTCTGTTTTGATGGTATTGGTGGAATGATGAGCGTCGGGTATAGCTTCGTCATGACATTGCGGAAGGCTTCGAACTCTGAATACCGGCGTCGCGTCTCCTCATTCTAGAGAAATGGTGGTTGGTTTGAAACACATCAGGTGCAAAGACATGACGAACCCCTGTTCGAATGACATATACTATGTAAGGCGATGAAGAGTTCTCGGTTGTTTTCACCGCATCAACGATCTTGGGAAAGGGTGAGTCCCCTTCTGAACCGAATAAACGCGCATATGCGCAAACGACATACGAGTATTTCCGCGTCATCTCCAGAATGCAAGTATCGGTCGATATCATTTTTGAAACCGGCTGGGCGTGCAGAGGGGTAGACAGCTGGGTTGCCAGTTGGTTTCGAGTGCTCTCCAAATTGCCCATTAACCGTGGACTGGCTGGAGTCAACCGCAGTCCCGTCTGGAGTGAACTGTACATGTTCGATTGACGGCGTACTAACAAGACTCGGGGCATCGAACGTCAATGGAGATGCAGATCCATCTTCTTGGAACGGATTCAGTGTATCGTCGTACGGGCTTGTCATTGAAGTTGTCCCGTCGTGAACGGAATCTCCGAGGGAGCTCAATTACTGAACGAGGCAACGGTTCCATCCGACAATTCAATTTATAGCTTTTCTGGTCTTCTTGTCGCGGGACGGCGCTTATGTCCTCAACGTGCGACATGTGTTAGGAATTCCTTCACCAAAGGATTTTTAGGATTAGTCGCCAATGCCCAATCATCTGGATGTTACGGTCATGTCTGCTGACCATGACCCCGCGCCTGGTTCAAGCAGAGCGTTCTGCAGTTGCATCTCCTTCACGGATATGTGTGCCCATCCCCTTAGCGAATTCGAAGGTAAACTGTCCCGAATTGTCATGGCGATCTCACTACGATTCCACCTCTACAGCCACCGACCAAAGCAATAAATACTGTGGGACCACCAAAACATGTTCGCGGTGCAGCCATTTTTGCTCGCGTTATTGCCGACATCAAAAGAAAGCACTCAGATCAGCCGTCAGCCCCCACATCTCTTCTCGAGGCCATTCGCAGGGAACTCGATGCCCAGATGCTCAATCTGCTTCGGGATCCCCAAAGGTGGCCATCAATACTGCGAGCCTACATCTATCATCTGTACAAACAACCAAGGACCATCGATGCCTCCGACCCCGTTGTCCTTCTGATGCTTCGCTTTGTGCGTCAGGGAAATGTCTTATTGAGTCCGACAGAAGCACTTTTCCGAGTCGAGAAGCTCGTCCAGTTACTGGCCAAAAAGAACTGCACTCTTACCCCGCGCTCGTACCTCGCCATTCTTTCCGCTATCCACCCTCCCCTCTCCCCCTTTCTCACATCTGCTGCGCTGAAGTCGATCCAATGGATCGTCCACCGTCGCGAAAATATGGATTCGCACACCCTTTCTGTAGTTCAACAGCTCTTCGCGAAGCTAATAAGCGATTGTACCCTCGGCAAGAATACAAAGAGGTGATGAGACTCTTCAACGAGATGAGGACTCTGGCCATACCTGTTCATTCAGCTGTTGTGTATGGACGTGTTCTTGGGGCTGCTTTCGGTATCCTGAAGCCTCCGCAAACTGGAAACTGCTATTACCCATACAGAAGGGTACGGCGTTTGGGGCCAAACAAAGAATACGTCGTCGATAGCACCCTGAAATTTGTCCAGACTCTACTGGATGATATGACTAGGGCTGGCATGTCCGTGCCGCCTCGTCTTTTGTCTATTCTTCTGAGGGGACTTGGCGATCTGTTACAATATTCATCTCGTGTCCCCACATCATCCGAAACCGTCCTCACTATTCTTCAGACGATCGGAAGAATCAGGATATCAACAAAGGTTCATCAGCAGACAGCCATGGTGGATTTTGCCTGGGCCGAAACGTTGCTTACACTTCACGAGGCAGCTCGGTCCCCAGGGTTGCGACCTAACTCGCGCCCAATTGTATTCAAGGAACTGATTCTGCAAATCTCAGACTCCCCATCTGTTTGGTCATACGAGAATGCCATACAAAGAATCCAATCGCGCGCGTGGCGAACGCGATTCGGGGCTCCGCTCAATGGCTGCGACCCCTCAATGCCGTGGTATCATGGTCACCAAATTTCCTATGTGGAGATCGAACTTCACCGCTTCGCTATTTTGATCAGGCACTGTTTGCTCCATCACGAGTTTGACAATGCTTTGTGCCACTTTCTCCAAATGAAGGAATTGTTGGAGGCTTTCGAGAGCTCGGTCCCCCAGTTCCTGGCATCCTATCCTAATTCAACATTACAATCCAGCGGACACAATCCATTTCGCCTTTACAAACATCCCTCGTCTCTTATCCGAGCGACTTCCCGGGGTCTCCGTTTTCGGTTGTGCACCACTTTCCAATATCTTCTGGATTACCTTGTTGACCAACAGATAAGCCACCCCAATCAATTCTCCCCGAAACAGGTCCAGAGGATTGCTAAGCTTCTCGGCTGCACGTCTGCATTTACGTCGTTCGATATGAGGTTCTTTCTGCGAACATGGAGCACTGCAATATGCACATTGCTCGATTCGCGAGTTCCGTATATTGTGACACCAGTAGACGTAGAGAGGGGTAACGTAGGGATGTGCCACATATTGGAATTGTTTAACGGATTATCCTCTCGCTCGGGAAACTTGGGAGGGACGTGGGACGCTCAAACTCTGAGCACAATGATTTTGGGCCACTCACAGCCTCAGAGCGAAGCTACTTCCGTCGTAAGCTGATGCAGTCAAACTATGCGAATCAACTGGTTCGTTGTGCAGCCCGCTGGGCTAAAGAAAACGCAGTCCGAGATGATACCGGGGTAGAGGAAGGTTTAGATGTCCTTAAACAGTTTTTGGAAACTTCTGGTGTACGGACGAACCGACTTTATCGTATCATTGAATAATTTTATGATTGAGCACAAAATAATGATGATCAAGGGTTCATCACAACTGCAGCTGTGTTGCGGAAGGCCTGAAACCTATAATGGTATCAGTAGATCTACTCATCGCGCTGATCGCCACCAGCAGCCTCCTTCATTCTCTTCCCCAAGATTTTTGCGCTAACCTATTGGCAACAATAAATCATCCTGTGGAATGGCGTGAACTAAAACAGCAACCCACGTTTCTGATGTGAACGCCTGCTCGCTCAACACCGTTTTCCTTGCTACGTTTGTAATGATCTAAGGCTTCCTCCAAGAAACCGCCTAATGGGGTGATTAAGAATTTGAAGGTTAGTCTCTATATGAGCACGCACAAGCTTCGAGAACAGCAGCCAGATTGAAGGAAATCTCAGGATCGTCCGGGGAGAGGGAGGATGCAGTCCTGAAGAGTGGTATAAATGTCGTGATTCCATTTCGGCACAGGGAAACTCACCTCAGATGTTTGAGCGCAAGGTCAGGCCTCGAAACAGGTGACATAATATAGGCACTTGCTAAGTCTAAGACATGGCTCAGCCAACTACTGCGAGCTTGAAACAGAAAGATTTACTTGTGTGTGCATCTGGACTCGACGGCTGTAAGCTGATGCTTTCCTCCCAAGCGCCTATTGCTTCAGGATACTCCTCTGAAGGGCTGATTTTAGTGAGAGATAGAGTAGGTTTCCTTTCTACGAACTCGAATGATAGTATGTGACTCCCAGATTGAACAACGCCTGTGAGCACACAGAAATGAGGGTCTCATCACCAGAGTCCGGATTAGTAAGCTCACGCTAGCAGTTCGTTTTATATCAACGCTTCGTTTATACATGGCCTTTGCGCCGTCCACGTCTCCTTCTTCAAGCAACTTTGTACCGGCTTCAAGAGCTTTATTTGCCTCATAATCGGCCGGGTCATTTGGCGAAGAGGTCACGGATGTTGAAGCAGCCCACCCTATCTCGTAGGGTCAATAACTGACATTAGATACCATAGGGTGGTGTCGGCTCACGACGTGGGGCCGTGCGGCGGTTCAGAGGTTGGATTGTTGAATGCCTAAGACTTTGTGATACTTGATGGATATCCAGCACCAGACGAACAAATTGTCTCTTTCCGGTGAAAGCCAAAGGGAACACGCTTCGTCCGAGCATAGAAGGTCCAAGACGTCGTGATACGCATCAGGCCGTGGGAATTTTCCTGGAGGTAAAGTTTCCTTTCTGAGAACCGTGAGAATGGGAACATTTCGATATTGAAATGGACATCAGCGTCGGCGTCTTCGGGAGACAATGCAACCTCATACTTGCGGAATACCTCACCCAACCCCTTACTGACGGACCTGAACCGTTAACGGCCTCTGATTTGCTCAGCACTGGGAAATTCGATCCCTCCAGGCTGCATCCCATAGAATATTTGGGGGGGACGGCCTGGATTTCCTTGTTCTGGAAGATGATAAGCGGAACCAACTTCCAGGTGCCGAGACTGCGCTACCAAGCCGTGGCTCGGCTGACGACTTGTGTTATGGGATAAGTACAACCTATTTGTCAGGTACTACTTATTTCGTTTTTCAGTTAGCTGCTGTACTCTTGATTGATATGTTGTTCTTTTCCGGATTAGGCTTAGCTCTTTGGGGATTACGTGAAGGCAGCACGCGCCAACTCGCCGTCTCAAATCCACGGTTACGGTTGAACAGCATTCTCAACTCGGTGACTCGGAGAGGTTCATTCATGGGTAACTCGGCTGGCGTTTTGGGTATGGTTGCTTTTCTACAAGCTATGACGTTTGCACTGAACACGTCTTACAGCCCTCGTATTAATTCATCTATTGAGGGAAACACGACGCCCACGGAGGCACGGCAGCGAGTGCAATGACTGAGGCGCTTTTCAAGTCGACAGGTAATGTTTATTTTCAGAATGTTTGACACCAATTCATCATCCATATGGACTCTCCAGCTGGTGTCCGACCTATGCTTGCTGATGACATGGGCTGCTGGTATTTGGAATTTAGTGAAGCGCTCTCTATTATAGCGCACGGACCAGAGAACCGCCACACTATGTGCAATCATTTCTGCCACATTAATTATACGGTCTGGCTAATGCATCATACCTCTCAACGTCTTCCAAGGGCCGTCACCCTAAATGAGGCAACAGACAGCCATTCCTTGCACGCTATGCAAGGAGAACATCGGCGCGCGGGGGCTCAACAAGACACGATGGATTTAATGCGTGTCTGTAGCGCCCGTTGCACTCGGCCGCTGGCGGGTAGCCCCTCCCTTACGTAATCGGGACTTCAGTGCGATCCACCTCACCCTGCATGAGGCTTATGAAGCTAACCCCATTCTGGAAATACACTCTGCACCCACTGGATATCCGGGAAGAGACATTCTTACGTGCTTTGTGCTGCCTCAAGGATGGGGGACGGACCGTTCATACTCACAAAATCAAGCCATGGAGCTTCGACTGTGGCGTATCATTGGTGTAATGAATCATTTGATCCTAGTCACTGTTTCTTGAGATTACATGCGCTAACAATGCGGCCATGTCGTGGACAACTCTGCAACAGAAGGCTAAATTGATTGATAAGCCTGACCCCAAAGTGTCTGAAAGCTGAATCTATCCCGCTCGTTTCAAGTCACATTCTTTCTTGGACGAGCACAACCATCTTCTTCCCCTGACTATTTTCAACCCCCCTGATCACGGTTTTTCGAAGTAGCTCATCCGCATCCACCGGCTGATATTCACGTACCCAACTCCCAGAAGCACCGATTCAGAGGACCGTCAATGTCCCTTCCCCAGCCAGACAATGGCGGCCATGCCCTTACATGGGATTCTAGCGTAAGGGTAAGGTGTTGGTTCCGCTCTGGAGATGGGATGCTTCGTAACCACATCTTCGTCAACAGATACGCACTGTGTCTGATTTATCCATGTGCAGTGAGCAGGATGAACACCCAGCCACCCAGGATATCCTGCATATGATTCCATCAGTTGGAAAGACAGTTGTGCCTCTCAGTCAGCTATGTGACGAACTGAGTCGAAGTACTCAAGCCGAGGGTGCTACGGTGACCTCAATTGTTCGGTATTCAGGGAAGGGTAGCCTGAGCCATCGGTTTGTACTTCTCGCTGGAGAAAGAAATGGACACGAGTTTTGGATTCGTCTTGATCGCCGCCCCAACACCCAGAGCACATTCAGATTGCTTTTCTCACCGCCTGACGGAGGCGCGAAAGATGTGGTGGGCCGCACTGTACAACTGCTTCCGAACTCCCTTTCCTTACTCGTCATCTAGGCAAATTTAGCATTAAATCAGGCGCACGTTCTCGAAGACCAGGAGAAAATGGAAGCTCAAGTACATTTTCCCACTCCTATTCCTCTTAAATCTTTTGGAACGGTACTCAATATCATCCGGGATGGCTCAACGTTATATGGACTGAGAAAAGTGAAGTTTCTCCGGTTCCTTCGAGGTGGTTGGTCCTTACGAGTCTTCAGGAGAATTGCTGGTTTTTTTCATCTGTTATCCAGGAGATATCAATTCAGTTTTTCGGTGGCTCCTTTCGTAGACTAGATCGTCTGAACCACCCAACCTTGTCCTACCCCCTTCGTAAAGCAATCAAAGCGAGGATGTATGCCATGCACCCCCCACCCATCGCGACCTCGATTAAAGACCTCGAATCGCTCGCCCTTATGACACATGATCCAAAGATCCGAACAGTTTTCGTAAATCTAGCGCGGGTTACTGAGATTCAGGCCGTAAGTGGAGCTTCCCACTGTTCCGCCTTGCATCGCCATCGTGACCAATTAAATTACTCAGAGGCTAGTGCACTGCTGCAGCGTAGATGATATCAAAGTTTGGCCAGGCCTCAAGCCATCTTTGATGCAGCTGGCTATGGATTGTCAAAGCGTTGTTTACGAGCATCTTCATTATTTATGTGATGTCACGGGTGCACGACAACTCCAGGATCTTGCATTGGTGTGCGTACGCTATCTTTCCTTGGTATTCATGCGCTGAACTTGGCGTCCCAGTGACTTTGGTCATAAATTGGATGAGTGGCGACGGTCAGGTGGGTCGGCGCTTGGGCGGTGTGACCGTGTCATGAATCAAGATGAGTTTGAGAGTTTCAGGTCAGTGGCGAAACGATTTCTAGCTACGGCCGTGAGTTTACTTGCGCTGCTCCTCTGGTCCCTCTGACTAAGTGCTGCTCAGTTTGGCGACACGGAAGCCGACGTTAGTGTCGAATGCGACCCAGGACTGCGATGGACTCGTCAACAAGTGTCAGCGTCTTCCGACCTTGAGCTCGCTCGGTGGACGATCAACCAACTTTCGTGCTGCAAATCTCTGGAGCATATGTCGCGAGAATGCCGGTATCAACTGAATAAAGACATTGTTGAACTCGATATAAAGTTCGACAATGTTTTCCCAAAAAGAGCTCAATTCGCTTCCAAAATTTGGTCCTTGCTTGTATGTCGAGTTGACTGCAACAACCTGGAAATTGTCCAAGTTCTGGACCCGTTCATACGAACATTGTTGCCACACTGGATAGTTGCTATGGGGCTGATGGACATGGTCGACGCTGCTTGTCTCGATCTCTATCGTGTGGGGAATTGGATGGTGCGCATTTTGGGTGTTTACTCATTCACGGTTTTATGCTTACCTATATGTGCGCAGCGTGGGTCCTCCGCTATGAAAGACCACCGGGTGTTCATATCACATATGCACAGGTTCATGCTTCGTTCGAAACGAGCGCTGAGCCAGTGCTCTTTCCTCATCTTTACCGGTTCCATACCATTCGAACTTGAGCCCTACTTGGTGTCCTCGATTTCTTCCTCATTTTCAACCATTGTATCGCATGACGCTATTTCGGTTACTTCTGCGGGCACATCCCAAGACGCATGGAGTCGGGGACCCATGAAGCGCCATGTTCATCAACACGATGTATGCTCCGTAGCCTACTCCCCCGACGGTGCTCGGCTAGTGTCGGCTTCAAGAGATAAGGACGTCGATGTCTGGTGCCCCAGCACAAGTACCCTGCTACACACATTACACGTACCTTATCCTTGCGTCTTTGTTACCTACTCCCCGGATGGCTCACATGTCGCTTGCGCAACGGAGAACAATCGCGTATACATTTACGATGCGGAGAAAGCAACCCGGGTTGCCAAGCTCCTGGGTCATTCTCAGCGTGTCAATTCTCTCGCATACAGTCCATACGGCACGTGGCTGGCCTCTGCGTCTCACGACAGGACTATCCGGATCTGGAATTCACTTACCGGATCCTCCATCGTTCTTCGCAAGCACTCCGATGCTGTCATCTCCGTTGCATACTCCCGCAGTGGTACTTTTCTGGCGTCAGCGTCATTCGACGGCTCTGTTGGAATATGGGATACAGCGACAGGGCACTTGCGTCGCTCTCACCAGGTCCGTAGTGCCGTGGGTTGCGTTGCATTTCATCCGGACAACGAACGCGTCGTCTTCGCCTGCCACGATAAGTTGGTGGGTGTTTGGAATTTTGAAACTGGGATTATAATTCCGCTCGAAGGCCACAAAGATGTTGTATATTCCGTTTCTTGTTCTTCCGATGGGGCTCGCTTCGCCTCCGGTTCGGTTGACAATTCCGTGCGACTCTGGGATGCCGCAAATTGTCGCCACATTCGCGCCCTCAAAGGCCACACTGACAACGTATATTCCGTCGCTTTCTCCCCGGGTAATGCACATGTGGCGTCGGCGTCCCGAGATCGCTCGATCCGCATCTGGGATGTGAGGAGCCTTCGACCTCGGAATGGCTCTAAACGTCCCTTTACCATTGCCACTTCCCTAAATAGGACACTAACTGCTGCAGTAAGTGAAAGCAAGATCGTCCACATTATCAACAAGTCTTCCAATCCTCCAACCACACTGCTTGGTCATACCGATTCCATTACGTCCGCGTGTTTCTCGCCTGACAATGTACACCTTGCTACCGCTTCGAAGGACCTGACGATAAGGGTTTGGGAAGTGGCCTCCGGCAGATGCGCGAAGAATGTTGTGCTGGATACTGCAGTCCCTGTTGAACTAGGAAAACTTGAGGCTCCATACCATTTGAGCTATTCGGAGGATGGCCTTGTGCTTCGTGTGTTGGCCCCAAGAACGTCCAATGATATCGAAGAGCAAGCAATAATTTACTTCGATGCACAACAGTGGACATTTACCTCGAAAGCGCCCCAGAAAACCTCTTTTCCTGGGACATATCTGCCAGACCGATTCGCTCCCGTAGTACTTGAACGAAGCTGCCTTTGCGTGCGCCGCAAGGACTCGAAATTAGCGTACATATGCTGGCTTCCTGATGATTTTCAGCCTGTATCCGATGTATTGCAAAATGGGAGGCGTGTGACAGTTGGTGGAAAAGGAGGGGAGGTGGTCCATGTCAACTTTGAGGGTTGGGATCTTTCGTCCGCATTGAGCTAACGATGATGTACGGTGTATTGCCGCAGAGTTCTGATGCGCCGAACCGCCACAATCTTCGGTAGTTGTTAATCGTCGAACACTGGTTGGGTCGACTGGCGCGAACGAAAGCCAGAAAACTCTTGCATTGGCCTGGACGAAATATTGTTTTCTTGTTGTTCCCCTTTCTTGAATGGGGAGCCAAACTCATCTCCCCCTATGCTCGCACTCTTACTGCCAGTAAGTGCTGGCACCCTATGACAATTGAGGCTGGGCCTTGCACGCCTCGGGGCGGGGATCTTGCGGCAATGGACCTAGCTAGGCCACTATGGAATATATGGCGGGAATCGTCAATTATCATCGATGACGCATATTAGCTGCATGGCTGCTTCGTTGTCGTGGCTTTCTATAAAAACTTTACGCCCTAGCTTCTTCCCCTAGTTGGTGGTGTCAAATTGCTTGCGCGGGCAAGGTCACAGCAGGGTCACAACATCACACCAGCGTGAAGAAATAAATATTAATTAATCACGCAATTGTCTGATATCGTGATCTTTTTGGGAGGCGTATTGGCTCGCTTTCGCCCTCTGCAGTAGCACCGACGGCCGCGGGATCAAGCCTGGGAAAGTACCTACATCATTTTTTAAGTGTTACTCGAAAATATTGGACGGACCAACTGCTGACACACATACCGGACGTTGTGGGGGGTACTTTGTAGCCTCTGTCTGTCGACACTGAACACCCCCATTAGAGTAAGTCCTGCAGTGACTTGTGGTTTCCTACATTTGTTTCGTTGGAGAGCGAGATGTTGTTGGTCCCTGGAGCAATGGCCGTTAGATAGGAGACAGCTACAAGAAGATTCAACTAACTGCTCCAGTGCCAGTTGAGACCCGCTCTTGGTGGGCCCGACGCTGGTCGTGTGTTCCTATCAGTCCCAAACCCTTATATGTTATGCCTCACGAACCCTGGATTCTTTCAGCTCTACTGCTTGCTAATGGAGATTAAGTTAGAGTTAGCACTGGGTCTGGTTTGCAGGGGCGAACCTGAAGTCGAGTAGTTCCTCCCGCTGTACTCTTCGGAGGATACCCCCCTCCTGGGGCCGAGGGCTGCACAAGAGACGGTTCAGCGATAGTGTCGGGCACTCCTTGGGCGTGCGGGACTTGGTACTTACGTCGGTACCTCTGCTGGCACAACAGCCCATAATGGCGAATATGAAAACCCGGATCAACCGAGCAGCCGATCAATGTATGGGAGGCTTAGCAACGCGGGCGGTAAAATAGACGCAGGGTGCCAGTCTGGCCACTGCGAATGGCTGGGATACTATGATTATTTCATGGGGTGCAAGGCTATGGCGTCGAATAAATCTTTCCGGTGGCAAATCTCCACGTTGTTCCTGCAATGCATGATTGAACTACCAACCACCTCTCCACCGTCACCTATACATAGCATCTCCAGCCCAGCGTTTCAATATGGAACTGCTTAACCTAATGGCTTGTCATTTGTTGAGACGATAGGTCGAATATGAACAGTAGCTACCATGACCTGTGGGTTTCAGCTAGAAAGCTACTCCGTCATCGTCCTCCCCGAATAGTACCATGCACCTGAACTCGCCATTTTCTGCTGAAATGAATATCCCTACTTGAATGTTTAGTTCATTACGTCCCTGAAATTGGGTGCCTCCATTTATCGATGGCGAATGGGGATTAGTGGTCTATTGATATAGAGTGGTTGTAGATTAGTGGCTCATTAAAGTAAATAGGGTCCTTCGGGGGTCCCCTTCCATAGTTTGATAAAGCAATATTTTTCGTACCTAGGCATGTACATTAACGTTATCATTTCCATTAGTGCAATGTCGCTTACCTGCGTATTACTCCTACAGTCCATTTCAAGGAAGACATTAGACCCTAATCCCCGCTAGCACGGACTTTCTGCGGAGAAATACTTTTGGAATTTCTGGTTGTGCTTGAGCTGCACGGGCACTCACCCCGAGGTGGAAATCGAACTGAATTACTGTTCCAGCGCATCAAACCATACCACGGCGCAGGGCTGCAGAGACCCTTTTAAGGAGATAAATCCCAGCAATTTCCAGCAGATTCTGAAACTGACATGCCTTCCCGCTCTCGTCGCAAGGTGCAGCTACAGAGTCCTTTCCGCCAAAACTGTGCCAACTCTATGACCCCTCCATCTATGCAAATAATACGTTTCCGATAGCTGGTTAGGCTGTTTCTTGCTTGGAAAAGCTGTATCTCTGTCCCAACTCAGCCCCTAGAATTATGGAGCACGCGGAAAGGAGTTGTAGGGAAGCTCACGATCATGGCGGTGGCGAAGTTGAAGATATTGTCGCGTCGATGCATGCTACTCCCGCAATAGCCTGTTTCCCAAAAAAATAGTACTCGATACCGCACAGAAGCCGCGGCCATGCTTTCACCGTGTTTCATTGTCGCATTAGGATAGTTTCTCATCCACCTTGCTTGACATACCCTCTTCATCTGTCAGCAACTTTCATTACCCTACACCCGCATCAGTGCCCCGTAGCTCCGTTATTTTGCGTACGTTACTGTGCGCATCTCTACTTGATTGGCGCCCAGGCGCGAGGAGCGATGGACGCCATGAGTCAAAGTTCGGGCTCTCACAACCCTTTCTTACCCCCCAGCGACATCCT